ATTTATCATATTATATAAAATTAACACAAATTTCTGAACCGTTTGATTGTGAGACATACTATATGTGATATGTCAAATTTGACAGAAATTTTTCAGCTGTGCTATAAATTCATGTTCGTTCGAAAGCGCTGGTAAATTGCGGAGAGTAATCTCAACTTTGTCGCATATAGAAGGCGAGCTATAATCAAGAGTGACTTATGGCATAATTAGCACATTTCCCGGTTCCGGGTAACAGCCGTCTTCTTGCGACGAGTGCGCACTCGCAAGAAGAAACCCGCGTTCACGAAGCAGGCAATTAGCACGGAGGGAGGAATGTTCTTTTGAAGGATGGAAAGATTTCCATTGGATTGTCTCTCTCTATGGAATTTTCTGAAATTTTGAATATCAAAGCTCGGAACTTTATCTCTGTAATCTTTTACCGCACTCTCAACCTGAAACGAAAAAGCACGCACTCGACTCAAACTTTCTATCTAACTATGTGTCCAAACTTTAACCATAAAAGCTATCTGAGCACTAAAAATTGAAATTATAGAAAAAAATTCCTTCAGACGATATTTATGTGTGCGGTTCGCATTTCTCTAATCATTTTAAACCAAAGAAATCGCAAGATAAACCGCAAGGATCATTTTACTTTAAAACATTTCATGTTAATTTTTTTTTCATCAGACACACATGAATGTCAAAAAATTTAAAAATTAGAAACATGAATGTGTTAAATATTTAACACAAAAATTTTAACGGAGACCGTTTTTGAAGAAAACGAATTTTTCTATTGTATAGTGCTAAAGTTTCTTATTAGTAAAAATATGTTGTAAATGAAGATTTTTTAACTTAATACTTATTTATGCACTTTACTCTGAAAACGTTATTTATTTTCTTATGCACATTTGTTGACTTGATTAAAGCTTTCAACTAAATATTATTTAAAAAATAGGAACGATATATTAAATTCGACCCAAACTAGCCAAAGAAAATTTTTATTTTATTTTCACAACGTTTCAATCATCTGTTTTTGGTCCTTTTCAAGTGAGAAACTAGAATAAACAGATACAATTAATTAAAATTAATAAAGATAAACATTTTGATGTTAACGCGAGAAATTGAGATTTACATGCTTTCTTAAATCTCAATTTCTTGCGTTAACATCAAAATATTTATCTTTATTAATTTTAATTAATTGTATCATTCTAGTTTCTCACTTGAAAAAGACCAAAAACAGATGGTCGAAACGTTGTGAAAATAAAATAAAAATTTTCTTTCGCTAGGTTGAATCGAATTTAATATATATCGTTCCTATTTTTAAATAACACTAGCGACTTTTTAAGAATTCAATTTGATTAAATATTATCTTGTTAATTGAACATGTAAACATATTTAAATTAAATATAACATATTATAAATCTAACAAAACATATATTTTATTCAAATACTAATATATGTTCAATTAAAAAAAGCAATTTAGTTGAAAGGTTTAGTCAAGGTAACAAATTTTATTCAGCGCAGATGAATTTTTTTAGCCTAAGTTCACTCATTAAATAAACAGCAAATGTTGACGCGCGAATAATATCTTATTTGAAAGAAATACAAAAATCGCAAAATGCATACATTTATATCATAAATGTACATATATTACATTCGCTCTTTCCTTCTCGCGACTCCGGCAACCAAATATTTCGACGATATACTCGTATATTGAAACAAATCGGTTTCTTGCCAGCGTATCCGATCAGCGGCGAATTAAATGGGGTCGAAATGATTTATCGGGATGGTTGGCTCGAAATGCGAGGAAAGCTGTATTATTCGGTGGGTGGGTCACCTGCCCAAAACGACAAACACGACGAGAACTGACCCAAATTCTCGCGCATCTTCCCGGATTCCCTGGACACAGAATACATACAAGGCACTTCCGCATCCGCAAACTACTCTCTCGTCCTCCTTTCGCGAATAAGTTTTATACCGATCGAAAAGTTTCAACCGTAAGGAAGTAAAAGCCCCGATTGTTCCACTTCGGGAACGCGAAACTGGCCGTCGATCGGGAAATTGCAGATTACTCTTGGTCGCGCGAGCTTTACGACCAGGTTGCTTTTATGCACAGGGCGTGTCCCTCGTTTTTTCTCTATCTCTCTTCAACGTTCACATGGTTTATCTCTCTGTGTACACTTGATTTATTTTACAATCTTACGTTAAAGATAGATGATGGATTTTCTCTTTCGAAACGCGCCTTGATAAAAATGACAAAAATCATTACAACTTTCTGTAGAATTATTTTACATATTTAATGGGTTCTTCAGATATGTAAAATGTTTATAAATATTTATTAATAATTTATCAAGTTTGTAGACAATTTTTAAATTAATTTAAATTCTCTTCTGATGTGCTTCTATAGCTATGATATTACTTATAATATTATATAAGTACACGGAGAGAATTTTCTCTTAGAATTTATCCTGAAAATCATGGGATAATTGGAAGAATTTTATAAGAGTTCCTCTGATTAATATTTACCACAATAAAAAAATATTAATATGTACATAGTAAGATTAATCGAGTATATTTTATTGTAATAGATATTAATATTTTTATTGTGGTAAATATTAATCAGAAAAATTCTTATAAATTTTCCCAATACCATTCTAAGAGAAAATTTTCTCTGTGTATTGAAAAAAAATTTATTTAATTCGAATAAGTATTTATTTCAATACTGCCAAATGAACCATTTATTTGATATGAAAAATATTTATTTGATGTAAGAAAATCCTTTTCAAAACAAATAAATATTTATTTGTTTCAAATAAATGATCCATTTGGCAGTATTGAACTAAATATGTATTAATTTAGTTTTTTTTTCAGTGTATATTAATTATAATCTCTGCTATGTGCATGATGAAAAAATAATCGATATTGCATATTTCTGATATCCCTACGAGAGAGAAAGTTCTCGACTGCTACCGTTTGTATCCCGAGATATGGAAAAAATGCACAAAAGCATAGCTCGCTTAAGCGTAACGCAAGGATTGCACGGCTTCTATTATTGCAAAGCAGCCCGATGAGTTCTCGAGATTATACGCTCTCCTGGGAGATATTCCTCCCCCTTTTTCCTCTCATATTTATACTCGCCGCCACGAGTTGGTTCTACGTTTTATCAACGAAATTACAAAATACTTTCTGCATGCTTTAATAACGCTCCAAATGCGCAAACTTGACTTAGTAGAAATGTGAATCTGGAATCCTCCGTTTAAAAAATTAATTTTTTAATACGGAAGTATTTCTCAAAGACAATTAATTGTCTTCCAGATAACGAATAAAAATCTGACGGGGAATCTCTTTTATTTTGCTAGAATTTTAACATAGAAAATTTTCGATATGTTCTAGAGAGCACTAAATATTGAATTAAATTAGAATAAAAAAAATATGGAGTGTATCGATTTTTTGCATTGAAATATTGCATCTCCTTCGTCGTATTTCTTGACAAACATATTCTGTATTCTTTGCGGAATAAATTATAAGAGCTTACTGCAGTGTGCCGTGTGTGCGAAGCTGGCATATCATTTCGCGGAATATCATGATTTGTTAAGAGTTCTGACTTCCTTTTTAATAATTCTAGAGTTCCTGATAGACTCTTGAAGATCCATTGGAATCTCACCTTTAGGCTCGAAAAGATGCATTTTTCGAGTAAAAAATTGTTTAAAAAAATTTCTATCTATTTTAATTATCAGAACTCTTCAGAAAAGTAATTTGTACACATTCAAAATTATACAAGAACTGCTTTATTATAAGCAGAACTCTTGATCTCTATATATAGAGGTATCTCATCTGTATTTTAGTTAAATTAATATTTTTTTGCTTTTAATAAATAGAACTCTTCTTAGAACTCATGTAGATCTATAAATCTACTCAATTCTGATAATTTCTGACAAGGAAAATGCCGTAGGACAAAGTGATATGCTTTGTTAGAATCTCACTTTGCACCAAGCGATTTTTTCGCTTTAATGAATAGAACTATAGGTTTAATCTATCAGGAACTCTAGAACTATTAAAAAGGAAGTCGGAACTCTTAACAAATCATGATATTCCGCGAAATGATACGCCAGCTTCACACACACCAGTGTGCCTCCTTTGAAAGAAAGGCGACTTTTTCGCCGATAGGGAATCGAAATTCCACTTTTTCGCCGAGTCCTCCTCGTAGGAAACTCAATTAACGATCTCGTAGAATTAATCCCCCAGCTGCGGCAGCCTGCATTCAAACGAGGTCCTCGAGGTTACATCGCGCTCATCGGAAAGAGTAACAGAGCTGATTGGCGTTCGCGCAAATAACTTCGTTACGAGTTCCGTCACGAGTGCGGTTCACGTGGATTTAGCTCCTGCGGTGTCTATCGAATCAGTTTCCGCTATCTCTTTCTTTTTTTTTTTAACTCGATTATCGGAAAACCCCCGGAAGCGTTCTCGTCGCTCCCGCGATAAAGTTTACTCGTGAATATAAAATTGCTATATATTTAATTTTTAAAGATATAGGTATACGTAATATTGGCTGAAGAAAGGATCATACGATTCTAAAAAATAATTCAAGACTCTCGTTTTGTCATGAAACGCTTAGATTTTGCGGCAAATGTATTACTAATTAATTTATTAAAAATTGCTATATTTAATTTTTAAAGATATAGGGTATACATAATAATATTGGCTGAAGAAAGGATCATACGATTCTAAAAAATAATTCAAGACTCTCGTTTTGTCATGAAACGCTTAAATTTTGCTGCAAATGTATTACTAATTAATTTATTAAAAATTGCTATATTTAATTTTTGATGTTGTCAAAAAATTGCTATATTTAATTTTTAAAGATATAGGGTCTACATAATAATATTGGCTGAAAAAAGGATCATACGATTCTAAAAAACAATTCAAGACTCTTGTTTTATCATGAAACACTTGGATTTAGCTGCGAATGTATTACTAATTAATTTATTAAAAATTGCTATATTTAATTTTTGATGTTGTCAAAAAATTGCTATATTTAATTTTTAAAGATATAGGGTCTACATAATAATATTGGCTGAAGAAAGGATCATACGATTCTAAAAAACAATTCAAGACTCTTGTTTTATCATGAAACACTTGGATTTAGCTGCGAATGTATTAATAATTAATGTATTAAAAATTGTACTTTGTTTTGTTTATCTTTTCTATCCCTTCTTTAAATTTCTAATTACAAAATATATATAAATATATTATATGTAAATTATATCGTTAAAAATATATTATACATTAATGATTGTCAAGATTAGAGATTAACCAACATCAAATTTCATTACTAGCTACTAAATTGAATTTTTTAATCTGGATGTAATAATTTTCGCAGTTCGATCAATGAAATTTACTGTCACGGAGGTTTACCGCTTCATTCATAAAGCGAATAAATGATGATGAAAAATGAGCGACCGCGAGGGCTCGAAGATGCGGAGCACCGATTCCGCTAATTAATCTGGATGTAATTAATTGTTGATTTTGATTGTGCAGGTTGTTACGCCGCAGAAGTGTGGGGACGTCTACCTGTACGACCTCCCGGCGAGTCGGGGGAGTCCCGCGCCACCCTCCAGACACGACTCACCCCTCAACTCGACGAACAATGAGCATTCGCACAATACAGGTACGTATTATTCGCAAACTAAACACCCGGTCTGTATCCGAACGGTCGATTGTGATGAAACTGTCTGCTACAGCTTATGCATTAAGTAATTGAGATATTGATTCATTTCGCAAAACAGAAAAAAAAATTTGATGAAGTTTTGGGGTAGTTTAGCGGATGAATTTTTAATTAAAATCACGGATGCACAATTTTCATTATTTTACATAATTTTTTTGACAGTTTGGAATATTTACCTCTTGTGAAGCATATTTTTTTATTTTAAAAATTTAATCAAATTTCGTAGCCTGCGGACAGCATATTTTTCTGCCAAAATGCAATTATTTTTGTGAATAAAAATATATTGATAAAAGCATTCGTTGTGCTTACTGGAAATCTTACTCCCTTGTTATCTACACTTTCGCCAAATAGATTCCGTTGTTCGTCGTACAAAGAGGTCCCGGAGACCCGTAGCAAGAATCTCACACCTTGTTAGACAGGTTCGGACAAGCTAGCTCACAAATCCCATCCAAGATTATAAAGGAATTTCTCTCCGTCTCTTTTGTCAAATGGGCAAACTTGTACCTGCGCAGGGCGATACATCAGCGGCAGCAACAACAGCGTGCGGAATTCCGTGGACAACGGAGGCAGCGACGTGAACGAGTGTTACGACGTACCGCCGCGCGCGATCCCGGTGATATCGTCTCCGACGAGCAGCCCGAGCCCGGCCCCGTCGTGCTACGACATCCCCAGGCCGCCGACATCCTGCACCCCGAACTCGAATTGCTCCGGCATCACGCCACTGGATTGCTACGACGTGCCACGGCCTCTGCAACCTCTCACTCCCAGCAGCTCAGCCTCGAGTCTCACCAACGACGGGTCCCTAAGTGGCTCGAACAGGTACGGCTTTCGCCTTATTCCTCCGAGGAATCCCTCCGAAATGCGCTGGTCCGGATATGGTCGAGCTTGCGCAGCCGAAGCATCTTGGAGATTTACATGAAAAAGAAGAATTTTTGAGTTAGGAAATAAACTGAACAAAGTTCCGGAAACCCTTCAGGGAAATGATTTGAAGATTTATATATAAATGTCAAAAAATCTCGAGACTTCTATATCAATAATAAATTTAAGAAGTTTTCATTATACCTTAGTTGAACTCTTTTTTTTTGGTTTCGTTACATGGATGTTCTGAATTCCAGATCGAGTTTGGCCGCTCCGGATTATGATGTACCTCGACCACGTCTTCCAGTATCCTCGTTGCCGTCCCGACACAACACCCCTGTTCCCAACACCCCGACGCCGCCGCCACCCTCGCAACAGATTTACGACGTGCCAGTCAGCAAGGAGCTTCCGCTGGAGTTGGACTCCGCCCTGGAAGGCTTGCAAAGATTGCAGAATGAGGCGTCCGCCGCGATAGCGAGGTTACTGGGTTTCGTGAGTCCTGGCTGGAGAACGCCACAGCGACTGGACGCCACTCTTATGGACCTAAGGCTGGCTGCTCTCAGACTCAGAACGTCTCTGCACGATCTAGCTGAATTCGCTGAAGGTGATTGCCTACAGCTCCTTCGGTTTAATATATATATTTTTTTTAATTTATATAGCTACTCTACACATTTCATCATTTTTCTAATCTTATGGAACAATGTAAAAGACAAATCTCCATAGAGAAAAAAAAATGATAAATTACGAGATAAATTAGATTTTGCACAATTTTATCTACAATTTTGTATAAACTTTCTCGAAATATTTTCTATATTTAAATATAGATTGCTAAATTTTGAAAATGCTATTTTGCGCACAGGCACGCTAGGCAATGCGGGCAAAGCGCCGGACAAAGGTCTGGCAACGAAATTACGGCCGCTAGTAAAAGCGCTTCGTGATTCCGACAAGCTCGTGCAGGAAGCCGCCACCGAATTGGACACGATGGAATGGGACGCGAGCAAGCTCTGCCGCGGCGGTGGCGATACACCAACACCTACTAACGGACCCCCATCTTCGTTGCTACTGCCTGCACAGCCGGATCCCCTCGATCAGCTGATCGCGTGCGCTCGAGCGCTCACGGAAGACGTTCGTCAGGTCGCCAGTTTCATTCAGGTGAGCATCCCTCGCAACCGTGATATATTTGTCGGGTAATTCACTTCGCAATGCAATGGATTCTAATTGAATCATAGTAATAATCCTGAAGAAAACAGAATGAGAATTAATATAAATTGAAATAATAGAATTAATATATGAAAATGAATATAAATTTTCTTTGTTTTATATTTTATAAACATTTTTCTACATCTTTTCTAGAATAATAAATTGTGGAAATGTAGTTGAGAATCTTAAGTCGTTGTTGCTGATCGAGATGCTCTACGTGTACAGGGAAATTCCACGTTGCTTTTCAAACGAGCGTCGATCATTTCCACGGGTAGCAGCAACAATAGCGGCGCCGGGGAGGATTACGACTACGTGAACCTCGATTCGCGAGAGGTCGTGGCGAAACAGCGGGAGGAACTACGAGCCTTGCTGCCGCAGGAACTACGTAGCAATTACGATCTACTTGTATCCGAGGCGGACAATGCGGCGATTCAGATGCCACCCACGACGCCGACGCCCATGGACCCGAACGACAAGCAATTGCTGGCCTTTTACGCCGCACAGGTGATCACGCACGGCGCGCACTTGACTCACGCCATCGACGCTTTTCTACAGACGGTCGAGCACAATCAACCACCTAAGGTGAATCAAGTCGAAATTTCTACTACTACGAAAAACTTTGAAGAGCTGGTATTCTCAGAGAATTTTGTTTTATTTTGAAAACTCAGGGAATTCTCATGGAATTTATTTATTTAATAAATAATTAATTTGAGTAAATTAATATTCCTTAGGATGTTTATAATCAATTATTTTTCGTTTTCTATTTTTATTTTATATCGTAATCTTGCATATATTTTTAGCGTTTAGATATAGTGATATATCGCACTTTGTTAGTGTCCAAATTAATCTTACAATTAATAAATCAATATTAAATCTTGAAAATTACGACACTTGTCATAACGTACAGATTATGTTTCAGACCAGCTAATATATAATTACACAAGACTATTATTTTTTATTATTATTTTTCGACGATATTGGCTAAATCGATCCACAGTATTTTATCATCATTGTCTTCAAAATAGAGTAGATCTATTATAATTATTTTAGAAATTCTTATAATTTGTAAAAATCTTTTGTTTTTTGCAAATGATATAATAAGTGCGTTACGATAAAAGAGTTATGCATGTTTAGTTTGAGTACTATGTTTTTTTTTTTTTCAATATATCTTGAAACGCATTAAGTAGATATGTATATGGGTCTCGATAATGATAACGATGGAATATATCGGTAGATATCGACGGTGCTATCGTGAGACAAGATGTTTAAATTAGCACACGTTAATTGCATATTTTTATTATTTTTTCACGATGACCTCTTTTTCTTCACACGTGCATTGCACGCAGTCAGTTACAGATAAGCCGGTTAGTAAAACGGACACTGTAAAAATTCGAAACAAAAAATATATTAAGAAATTAGAAAATTATGTCGCCTAGATCATAAATATAAAGATATGATGAGACACAATTATCAATAATTAAAATTAAAAATCCATAATTATAATTTAGTTCAGATATATTTCTATAGGGTATATACTCTTTCTATTTTAAGTTTTTATTAAAATGTGATTTTTTGATTAACAATATATTTTTAATATAGAGATTTTATATAAATTATAAATTTCATAGAAAATTAATATTCCTTATTTATTTAATAAATAATTAAATATAATTAATCTAAATAAATTAGTTATTCCCTGAGACATTTATGATAAATTATATTTTGTTTTACATTTTTAATTTTGTCAGAGAATTCTGAGAAAATTTTTTACAAAATTTGAGTAGACTTCTTGTTTTAAAAAGATCTTAATTCCAAAAATTCTTATATTGAACAATATAAAATTATTTAAAAACAAAAACATCTTAATCATTTCTTTGACAAAAAAATAATCTAATATGAAATTACAGGTTTTCCTGGCCCACGGTAAATTCGTCGTGCTGAGTGCACACCGGTTGGTGCACATTGGCGACACGGTTCACCGAAACGTGACACGCAACGACGTGCGTACACGCGTGTTGCAGTGCGCGAACGCCCTGAACGAGGCACTCGCGCAAACCGTGCAGAAGACGAAGCAGGCCGCCCAGTTCTTCCCGAGCGTCACCGCGGTCCAGGAGATGGTCGACAGCGTCGTCGATGTTTCACACCTGGCTAAGGATCTCAAAGTCGCTATGATACAGTCCGCTCAACAGCCCTGAAGATTTTCCTCGCGAAACGCTAATCGTGTAACTACAAGTTCCTTGAATTGAGATGCAATCCTTACCTTGGATTGGTAGGTCTCTCTTTTTTTTGTTCGTTAAACTCTGGGACTGCGGTAGAATTCGTAGATAACGCTCGAAGAATCGTTCTAGAAGAATCTAATCTGTTACAGCGTCTTTTTTGTCGAGGTTTTTTGAACAAACGTCGCTGAGGAATCTTACAACGCGTTCGTAGAACAGAAATATTATTTTCTTGTACAAAAGAGGATCAAAAGTATCTCAGGAAATATTCAGTGGATGATCCTTCGAGCGTCATCTACGAGATGTGAATCATTGATGATTGTTATCTCGAGATTTAGTCATCATCGAAGAATGCAATGAGTCGAGCATTAGCGCGAAAGTTTGCTTGGGATCCTGACGACAGTATTTTTAAATCCTAAACGGCGAGATAATCAAACGAGATGACCCGTATACATATATTATATGCTTCACAAAGCAAAAACCAAATCTCCGGATACCGTACAGAACTAATTATCTCCCTTTGCATTATAAAAAAAATTGTGGCCTAAAATAGGAACCTGCTACTGCCAAAGCTCCGGTATTTAGATCGTAAGAAACGAAGGAAACCTTGGAACGAGTGTCTTTGTAATGTACTCGAGAAATATTAACATTGTAATCTTTCATAGAAAATATATAGCCGTATCGTTCAACTAGACGTTTCAAGTAGACGTGTGGAGTATAACGAGGAAGTATAACAATAGCTTTCTGGCACGTGCGAAGCATTCCCGAAATGGGCTTCCGCGACTTGATGTAAGACACCCAGGTTATCCACTCGTTTCGGAATATGGAGCTCATTTCGGATACACGCCAACAACGTACGCAGCTAAACGTGTTAGTAGTCTCGTAGATGTACGTATACAATATACAGTAGAACATATACATATACGACAACGCGTATTCATATCTCTCTTTTAGAGCTGGTTTCATCGATGTCGGTTAGCTTAATAATCTTAGATTCGCTGATTCTCTTAAAATTAGATTAAAAGGAAAGGGAAGAATAAGCTAAAGTTAACTGATATCGCTGAAATCGGCGATTAGTGATTTTTTAGCAACAAGTTCTTCGAGTTCAAGTGTTTTTCCATAGAAGAGAATCACCATTGTGCTTTTACTATTGAAGGCAATGCGAAAGATCGATATGAATACCTATGTCAAATTGTGGAACAACCGCGTTTTTGTTTTTCTAGTTCGATCGTATGTCAAAAAATTGACACCAAGAAAGAAAATCGAATGCAGGGAACATTCTTTTTGGGATACCCTACGCGCAGAGGCGAACTTATATTACTTGTTACAAGCGATTCTTTTTTGAGGACAACTTTAAGAAGGAAAATTTTATACGAAGCTTTTTTACCGCCGGGTTACGAATTTTTCGGGCGCCCAGGTCTTTTTACCAGGCTCTTCCATAACAGCGAAAATCAGTCACAAACGCGACGGATCAAATTTATGTGAAATATTGTCGCAAGAATTTCAACGGCAACTACGCATATTCGCGAATTTCTTTTCTACAACGAGGCCTTTTTTATATAGCGAATTTTTATAGAATGAATGTGTTTTTATCAACTTAACGCAGATTCTTCTGTAATAGAGACTGACTGCACAAACAACAAATATCTAGAGAAACATCAAACATCGTAAAGATTGTTATTCTTTAATGTCTTGCATTTCTGTATCATTGTGATAAATCCAGTCATGGAATTAATTTTTTTTGTCTAAATCGTGTATCGTAACTTTTATCTTTTTATATTAACACACAATTGTAATTAATATCTTCACGTTAAAAAGACCAGATTATTTTCTACATGGAGAGAATTTATATGTTTTTATATATTTATATATGTTTCTATATTGTCATTATATATTTTACAAAAATTCACTACGATCATGTTTGACAATAAGCCAAAAATTATGCTACATTGTAAAATTATAAAATATTTTACATATTTATCATTTTTTGGCATCTACTTAAAACATTTAAAGAATCGTAAGTTTTTAATATATTGTAAAATTGAAATTTTACTATAGGTAATTTTAGTCAAATTAATCAAACATATTTTACATCTTATTGTGATAAATATTAATTAGAGAGACCAAATTTTTCCAATACCGTTATTGTCATTACTATAAATTCCAAGAGAAAATTCTCTCTGTGTATTTATAACTAAATTATTAGATAATTTAGATTAATTTCAAATGCATTACATTATCGAAGCCAGGGATATGTATATGATCCAACCGCTAATTTGCGGCGCAAGTTGTTTTGTTGGCATTCACGTGCGAAAGTGTACTTAAAAATAACTTGCGACTATAGTAGGATCCGCTCAACACAATTCTCGAAACCATCCAACTTATTTATTGGAGTTTTACTGCGCCTCGATTAAATAATGAAGATATAATTGTGTGACTGTGACGCGCGGTTATATGTAATATTTCTAGCCGTATATTAAGCTGTAACCGGCTGTTTTGTTGCAGCTTTAATGATAACGAGCATTTATTAGAACTCTTTTACTCTATGAGAATTTTTATCTTTCGACGTTCTTTTTTCTCAATTAAAAGATTGATTGTCGTAATTATTATTATTATGAGATAGATGAAGCGATTCTTTTTTGAAGGCGCGACTTATGACATTGATTCTACAGTTTATTTTTTAGAAGTTATACACCCAAGCATATCGCATGAAGAGAAACGTTTATACATGAACCTCGAGACCTGTATTATAATTTATTAGCGAAGTGTTTTTTTGTAATATAATACACACGTGGCAGATAGTTACATAGAATCTAAAATGTATATTTCAAAGTTTATATATAGCCGATAGGTGCTTATCATTCGCGTTCAATCATCGCATATTTAAGTATAGCATGTCATTAAGTTAATAGTTAGAAATAATTTTTTCTTTTTTCTTTTTATAACGCAAGTTGTGACGAATGTTGTTTATTCACATCACCTATCACTGAAAAACATAATTCGTCGTTTCTCTAATTTTCTTTTTGTACAAAGTACCTGGATGATCCTTTCACAATAATTGTATATTATTCTTGCGATCACACAATTCGTTAAACGGTATTTCATATTATTGTAAACATAAGAAATACTTACAAGCTACATATCGAGAGCGATTATTCTAAGATTAAGATGGAGAAATTGAAAAAAGAAAAAAGAAAGAACTCTCGATATAGCACACGTGATATCGTTTTAGAGGAATTTACTACACATCGAAAACTCGGTTTATCATAATGAATCATATGCTTTCGGTAGTTTAGTCTAATGTAATAGTTCGCGCGAGGACTATTCATTTTGTCATTGAAGATTTCTTCGTGCCGTTCAATGCAAAGATGCCGAGATGCGTTATGAAGTAAATAATTGATTACGTTATGTTAAGAACCTCTTATTTGTATATATACATAGATATATATTTATACATATATTATATATACATAACTATTCCTATTACAAAAACGGAGTATGTATACACAACACACACATACGCAATAGTATATCCGAGATGCAATAGTGGAATAAACCTGTTTTAATATCGTGCAATGTCAAAAATAATTTTTAAGCCAAAATATGCTGAAATAATCGAAAAGTACTTCAAAAGAAAAATATCTATCGAAAGGAATATTCATAGATTCGATTTTAAATGTAAGGCTAAAGTACGTAAACTGAATTCACGTTTTCACAGTGCTGTCTAAAATATTTTTTCTCCTTTTTTTTTGAACGACCCTTACCCTAACAACGCCTTGAAAGATTAATTTTGTATATTGATGCATTACATGTACATTATAGTTTCGTTCATACAATAAAGTCTCAAGAGAGAAAAAAATCGTGTGAATAAAAATAGACAATCTTTCCAGAAAATCCTTTATTCCTTATGTTACAATTTATCAATTTTTTTTCTTTAATTACATTTTGATGTGTGAACGAAACTCACAATATAAATCTATGTAATATAATCTGTCAATTGATAGATACAACAGTCCCAAAGTTCCATCCCTCCCTTGTGTAAACCTTAACAAGTAGCTTCTATGCACAGTTGTATATAAAACATTTATATTAATGTGTATCTGGTCAGACTTTGATAAGTAGAAACTCCACAAGAAGCAACTTTACGTATTGATAATTATTTTCAATTAATTAGTATTCAGCAATCAATAATAGAAAATTTCTTAACAAAAAAATATATATATTAAATGGATGTTTTCAAATTTATTCAGTTTTAAGAACCAACCTGGTTTTGACAGCAGCAAGGGTGAACAGACTAAGCGTGGTCTCCGCAGCATCTGCCTAGGTGTGTGTGAACGTTGCCTTCCTTGTGCGCTCTATCTCTGAGAGCTTTTTCGTGATGAAAGCTAGTAAGATCTCGCTTCATTGCATAAGCATCTTCGCCATCTGCATAGTATTTCGGTTCTACCTCGGACACTTCAAACTGCAAGCTGCTTGTGTATAAATTTAGGGCTGCTCGATTACTCCTGCGGACGTGCAGTGAAACATACTTCGCCCCAAAGCATTCCACCATCGCTCTGGACGCCTGATTCATCAATTTCTGCGCGATTCCCAATCTTCTGTGAGAACGTTTCACTGCCAAACTGGTAATGTGTCCATGAGGATTGTCTTCGCAGTCCTCCTCCATCTTAGCAAGCACGTATCCTACTATTCTTCCTTTCTCGTCCTCCGCTACATAACTCAGCTGCGGCCAGGAAAGAGCATGGTACAGATAGTACTTCATTTGGTAATTTTCAGGTAAGCATTGCAAATTACAATGCTGTATGTTCAACAAGTCTTCCGTAGTTGCACAACGTATATTTACAGACATCTTGATCAGATATGTTTTGTCTTATGCAGTCGTTCATATAAATATTATAGCTTCAATATTGTCTAATTAGTCACGACGTAGTTTCTTGATACGTGAACGACCGTTTTTCAAATCATTCACAGAGGACGATTCGCTCATTCCTTTTCCAGTCAGTTCTCTTACGAAGCGGAATCGCGATAGGAAGAACGTCCAGACTAAGTACCAACCTGTGACAAAAGGAATTATTATGTAAATTAATTCGATATTAAAACAAAATAATAATATACTTAAGTGTTATAATTTTATTTACCTAGTTTTATAGTTTGAATTAAAAGTAATTTGTTGATTTACTTATATGACTTGATAGCGAGAGATTGTTCTAATTTATTAATATAAATTCACAATTACAATTTTGTACTCAAATATATTTTATTATATATATATATATTGAAAATGAATAATATATATAGAAGTGATAGAGAGAACATGAAAAAAGATGCACTAATAAAGTATTAAAACGTATTGAATATTTGTCTATACACAATTACATATATATATTATATAATATATAACAATACATTCACACAATGCACATAAATTATCATGAACGATTAAGCTAAACATTGAAAATATGCTGCATTGTAAAATTTACATAAAACTTTTTGGCATCTATTCTATTGTAAAACACTTAAAGAACCATAAGTTTTTAATATATTTTAAAATTATTGAAATTGTACTACATATTTTAGTAAAATTAATCAAACATTTTATATCTTATTGTGTTGTGTGTGTGACAGATATTAATATTTTTATTGTGATAAATATTTAATCAGAAAAACTTATAAAATTCTAACAATATCAATATTATCCCACGATTATTATGAATTTCCAAATAAATTGTAAGAGAAAATTCTGTGTAGGAAAGGCTACTTTCGCGTGATCCAAAAAACTTGTTCCGATTACACAATTACACAACGATGTCGTAATCGAGCTGCTAACATCAGTAACATGTTGCTTACCCATCACAACAAGGAGGAACACTATCAATAAGCTGAATATGACGGAGAACGCCGCGAGGAAAATTTCCGGGATTTCCATCAAGAAACGAAGAAAGGGAAAGAAAAGAAAAACAAAATAGAAAAGAGGAAAAAATTTCCTACACTTTGTGTCGTACGCGCATAACTATTTCAACGAAAACTTCTCGTAACGACGAAGGCTCAAGCGCGAACATATGACATTTGACACAAGGACAGGAGCTTTCCGTCTATCCCTCGCGACGACGAGTAAACGCCATTTTGAAAATCGAAGCTTTTTAGAGGTTATGACTCCCCTCTCTGGACCCGCGATTCTTCATCCGTAAAAATGCACGTAAGCGTCGCGTTAATTCATCACAATTGCAAAGCGCTCTCGCTTACGACGCTTACCAAAGTCCAACTGCAGCTTTAATCAGCCGACATCGCTTCCACGAGGCTTCGAATCTTTCTCACCGGTGAATCGGGTCTGTCCTGCCGACTGGAAGCGCACCTAACCTGACAGATAATTCCACAATGCCTTGAAGTTGCGTCAACTTTTGGCGCGTTCGAGTCGCACGTCACGTCGCATCTAGATATTCATGCTCCGTGACTGTTGGACGTCACGAGAAGCGGCAACGTCCAAACAGCTGTTTTTGACACACACTATATATATATATATATATATATATGGATGTATATATACAATATTTGATATTTAATATAATTATATATAAAATGTGTATATTTACATTACATATATTGTTGGTTTTATTTATGAATAATAAATTTTATTTATAAATATAAATTTAATAAATATATATTAATAAATAATTTTATTATAATTTAATGTGGATAATTATTGATATGTAAAATAATTACTATATCTTTTTACTTTTCAGACTATGCAAGATGAGAAATAACAATTTGTTTAATCACTGAATCTAGGAAATTATGCAGTGAAATTTAAAAAAATTATGTGTCAGAATCTCATCAATTATCTTCAAAAGATATACATACATATATAATGTTTATTAATTTTTATTTTATATGTACAACTGTTTTGTAATCTAATTATTAAAATATTAAAGAGTGAAATAATATTAAACTATAAAGTAATATTCAAAAGTAGCAATATATAGTGTATAGCAACTTTACTTTTTATATTGAAGCAAAACTATACTACAATCTTTTTGTTTTTTCTTTTAATGCAACTTTTTTTTCTTTTTTTTTTGATATTACATAAGATACAAATGAAATAATTAAATAATTAACTTTGAAATACAAAAAAAAAATATATATTTTTTTTAAATATTTACTCAATTTTATATATATATATATATATATATATATATATATATATATATATATCATTAAGTATATATTTTATATTCATTTATTTTTTATTTGCAGTAATCTTATGCACTTGATATTATGCAGCTATCAATTAAAAAATATGCACGAATTTTAATAAGTATTTACATTTGTTCATAAAGATTATAAACTCGTGCATTTTAAAATCTTAACTAAGAAAAAATATATATATAATTAGTTTTTACATACATTTGCATGTGTACAATAACTTTACACATCTCTGTTATCTTCTTCTTCATCTGGTTCTTGTAAATGATCTAATCTGAGTTCTTTTGAACGATCAACTTTAACCACAGGTCTATTCTGTTTAGATTTCTTTGGTTTCTGTCCAACTACATATTCCGGCAAGACAATCTTAGTACTTTTGAATACAAGTTTACTGTCTGCTTCAGAATGTTCCGTCTCATCTTTCGTCTGTGGTTTTCTAAATCTGATTTGCGACGTTGTACATTTCTTAGATTTAAACTCCGTGGAACCTTGCGAATCTGATTCAAGTTCGACATCCATCTTCTCCTCACACTGATCGACCTCTTCCTTTTCCCTGCGTGCCTTCAGCTCCTTCAGAAATGACATGGCAGCTTGCATGTTGCTGCGATCTGTCATGTCCTCGCTAGATACATCATCCAAACTATACTTGACCCATTTGTGCGGATTTCTGTGATAATCTGGGATATTCCTGAAATTCGCACGCGGTGCTGGACCCTCGGGACGTTTGAAGATGCTCTCTTTGCCACGAAATTTCTTCATTTCTCTCTTCTGCCTCCGATCGTCCCTCGAAGTTAAACTCCTCTCGCATTCGTCCATTTCGGTATCCTCCACCTCGGATATGGAACGTTTGTTGCAGCTGCTTTCGGCGATCGACAGCTGATCGAATAATAATCTCTGTCTGTTGGCGAAAGCTGCGTCGCCGCCTCGAAGAGTAAAATTATTGGACGTGTGCATTTTTCCTTTTTTTTCTATTTTGAAGGCGACGATACACCTCGCTATAAATTATTAAATTTAGTAAATTAATTGAATAAAATTTAAAAAATTTTAAATTAATTACCCTAACAGCACACATATCCCGATGACGTCACATACACAATTTGACATTTCATACTACGAAAAATTTCTTCAAAACGAAAAAGTTCAGAAAACATCGTGAGGATGTTCGAATGTCCTCTAAATATCTTGCGAATATATTGTGCTATTAGAACATTATTTATAATAAAATATAAATAAAATAAATTTTAAATTAATTAATAAATTCTCAAATTTATTATTATATTTACTATTATTATAACATTAGCACATATGAAAATATTACTTAAATATATAAAATATCGCATTTCAAACCTTCAAACTGTCTGCTTTGGGTTATGTTTAGGTGTCGATAATCGTTCGGAAGACGCACACTGTTGCCAAACGTCAGTCTAGTCTAGTTATAGACGTGCGAATATCTAGATGAGAATGCGCTCGATACAAAAACGTCTGACGTCAGAGACACAAGACATCAAATGACAGTTCATCGACCAATCAGAACGAAGAGATCTGTGTTCCTTTGCTCCGATTGGTCGATCGACGCGATTAGAAATTTTTCGTAGTGTGAAATGTCAAATTGTGTATGTGACGTCATATGTGTGTGTGTGTGTGTGATACAAGTGTAGTACTTTACGGTACACGTAGACGTGACATAACCCTTCCGCCTATTCTTCGTTACTCCGCAATATTTTCCGGTTTGACGATGTAAAAAGCGTTCCTATTTACATATTTTAATGCACGTGACATTTGCTGACGGATACCGTGGATAAGAAAAATTGTCGCACGATGAATCTGAGTAAAACCGAGAAATTACTGGCTGCAAAAAAGAAGGTACGTCATGGATGATTAAACGCTCGTTGACAGCTTTTCTAAGCTGTCATATTTGTACACGTATATAAGTAGCGTATGGATTAATTAATCTGTAACGATTAACGAGAGCATTATTTATATTATCTTACAAAGTGAAACTGTCATCAAATCGTAAATGTTACAAATTATTAAAATGTGGAATATGTGAGATAAGAATTTATTTATGGCCTAGGATTTTTTATACAGTTTTAAACTCTAGTATTTATTTTGATAAATTTGACTTTGTTGTAGCTAAAGGAATTTCAATTACAAAAAAAATTACAAGTACAAGAAGCCCCAAGCAAGCAGCAAGATGCAAACATAACAGATGAATCCATATCACAGGTGACTATTTAATAATAATAATATCTAATTTATAAATCTCTCATGTATGCTGTTTGTTAAATTTTAATATTGAAATGTTTTTAATAGTGCCAAACAAATTGCCAAACTATGGAAGTAGATAAATCTTACGATCAAAATAATCACAATGAACTAAAACATGCAGAGAACTTGATAAAATCTGAAGAACATCTGGATAAAATAAATATTGTACATAATGAAGGAAATGCTTTAAATCATACTTTTAGTGGTACTAATGACTTAATAGATACAACAGAAAATAAAATAACAAATGAAATGACAGAAAAGAATTTTCCCATTCTGGAAAACCGTTTAGAAAACACTGTATTATATGAAAGTGATAATAAAGACGTACATTCACATCTTCAGCCAGATTCACAGTTTGTGGAGAATAATGGGAAATATAATTTAAACACGGTGGCATCTAATGGACCATCAACGGTGCAAAAAGAACATTTGTTAGAAATGGCCTCAGAAGTCGCTAATGTGCTTACCGATGATACAGATCATAATGATCCATCTTTGTTTGATATTGATCTGAAATGTCGTAATCAATTTTTAACCACTTGTCTGGAAGAACAGAAACAACTTGTGAATGATTTGCACATTCAAGTCAGTCGTTATGTGAGTATAATTTGATTTGCTCTGTAATTTCAATATTGTATTACATGTAATACATGTCTTATTGTTTTTATGTGTGGAAATATAATAGCATAGCAGGGTGGCTGAATTGGAAGAAATTCTTGCTACAAAGGATTCCGAGTTTGAAGCCAAACTCGTTCGTGAAATAAATCCCCTGAAGGAGCAGTTGCAAGTTCATACACAAACTACTGGTATTCTTATAGCAGAAAAGGCAGAACTCACAGCAGCTTTGGCACAAAGTCAGAGGACTGCAAAACAAAATGCAGGTTAATTTATTTGTAAAATATTTAAATATTCAACATTTTTATTCTAAAAATACTCCAAAACATTTATGGTATTGTTATAATTAAATCTCTGATCTAAGTGAGAGAATATGTTAGTACACCATCAGTGTATTATTTTAAACACTATTATTTAAAGACTCGTATTCATAATCTAAATATTCTCACACAGATTTTCTAAAAAGATTACTGTGTGTATATAATCGTTATTTTATTTAAATTTCTGATATTTAGAGGAATTAGAAGAGATGAGTGGAAAATTGAAACATAGCCAGCTTCGTATTAATGAGCTCGAAAAAGAATTAACTCAAATAAAGAGTAATTCTACTGACACACAGAAAAACGCTCAGCAAATTCAACAAACCTATGATGAACTTGAAAAAAAATATTATGAACTTAGGTATTACACATGGGTATTAATTTTTTTATACAAACTATTTAATTTAATTAAGTATATTGTAAAATAATCTATTTTCTTGTAGAAGAGAAAAGGAAGACCTAGAATTAGAAATCTCAGAATTAAAACAAAAGTTAAATTTAAAAAATACTGAATTTATTAGCCTACAACAGGAATTTCAAGAGAAAGCAGCTTTACTTTCTTTAAATGAATTAAGAATACAACAGGTAATTTTGTGTATAATTCTCTCTTGAAGATTGCTATCTCTTATCTTAAAATAAAAATAATACCCTAAAAATAATAAAATAAATAACAAATACAAATTTGATTACAGTTAACGGATACATCACAAACATTAGAATCTCAACATCAAACTGTCACAGTACTGGAACAACAATTGGCTCAAATGAGAGAAACTTTGCGATTAGTGAATAATGAAAAGGATGAAGCTAGTAGGCAATATCAGAATTACGTACGACAATTAGATGCGCAACAAGTAAAATTGCTTAGTGAGGTATGTATAAACGTTCTATTCATAAAAAATAAAAGCATAGAAAATTTTAATTGAAAAATTACAGGTTGAAAATGGAAACAAATTAATCAATGATTTAGAAAGCAGAGAGAACAGTTACGTACAACGTTTATCGGATTTAGAACAGCAACTTCAACATGAAAGAGAGAAAAATGAAACTTTACTTCCATTGCAAGATCATAATAATGAGATAAATAATTGCATGAAATATATCGAGGAATTGACTGAGCGGGAGAAAAAACTGCATTCCACATTAGCTGAAAAAGTAAAAATATTCACAGAAAATAACAGTTTATAAAACAAAATTTGTAAAAACAAAATGTTTTTTTATAACATAACACTTTTAGGAAACGCAAATTGAAATGTTAATAAAAGAAGTGCAAGAATTACGGGATACAAAAAATGATGAAGCAGATGCAGTGAAATTGGTACAAGCTCTCGAAAGCGAAAAACTTGGCGCATCCAGAGCTGTTTTACAAAATCAACAATTGAAAGAACAATTAACTGAAATGGAAAATGCTTTTGTTACACTGGTGAGTAACATTAAATCATACATCACAATAACATAAACCTCAATCATATAGTGTAATTTTTCTTTTAATTATAATTACTTTTCCAATTCAAGAAAAAATCTTGTATGTATACTTTTATTTAAAAAATTGGTTAAAAAATTATAATTGTCTTTTTTTCAGAGTAATGCCAAATTAGATTTGACAGAACAGCTTCAAGCTGAACGAAATATTGGCAGAAAATTAAATACGAGATTGAATATGGTTGAAACAGAAATGGATAATTTAAAAGAAAAACTAAAAGAAAAGGAATTATCTTTAACAGAGTTGGAAAAAGAAAAATTGCAAAATGCCCAAATTACAGATCAAATGCAGCATTATCAAGCTCAATCTCATAATGCGCATACGCTCCAACAAGAACTGCAAAATGCTTTGGTAATTTGTGAAAAATTGTTAATAATTATTTGATTTTATAAATTAAAAAGATTAATTTATAATCTTTATAATCTTTTTTCATACCTAAAAAGCAATCTATTTGAACAATTAACTTTATCTAATAATTACAATTTATATATTACAGGTTTATATAGAAAACTTGAAAAAAGAAAATGAAGAACTTGCAAAGAAATTGGAAAACAAAATACAAGAAGAAACACGTTTATCCGAAGAATCTGTAAATGATCACGAAGATCGATCTACAATAAAGAATGAGCAAAATCATGATAATATTGTAACAACGCAAAACTCGCCACTGCCAAAAAATAAAGATGCTTTAAATAATTCTGAGCCTATTATAAAATTAGAAAAAAGGTTTAAAGAAACAATGGAAAAAGTTGCTGAATTAACTGACGAAAAACAGAAATTAGAACATCTGGTTCTCCAACTCCAAAGTGAAACAGAAACAATAGGTAAGCTATATTTTTAATCAAAAAATTAACAAAAATTTTTCAAATATTATAGTTTTTCAAATATATAGCATGTAATTATTTTAAAATATTAATTTTTAACTTTGTGCATGTGATATAAATTTTTGTTTTATAAAATGTACTTTCATTTATGTGAATTCCTCAAAAATCCTTTTTGAATTTTTATTGATAAATTATAAAGTCGATTTATTCTAATTTTATATATATTTATACAGGAGAATACATTACTTTATATCAGAAACAACGAGCAGTTCTAGGAGAGAGATGGAAGGAAAGAGAGCAAACTTTCCGTCAGCTAGTAGAGCAACGTAATCAGCAACAAGAACAATTACATAAATTAAAAGTATTAGTAACTGAATTGCTTAAAAAACATCCTGAAACACTGATAAGTTCTACAGAAACTTGTATGGATTACCATAAAAGTAAATTTAACATATTTAATACAGAAGAATTTTCCAGCTTTTAAATATTAAAGATACACATTCATATTTATATGTATATATTATTTTTTACAGAAACAAATGTTGATGAACCCGCGCTTTCTGAAAATGAAAAGCAAGAAAATGCGGAATTACCATTGATTGAAGATAAAACGGCGTCGGAAATTCTTGATCTTTTGACAGAAATCAAAGACTGTAAAGATGCATGTATTATAGAACCTAATTTTCATTCATGTCCATGGTGCTCCGGAAGACTAATTACTGTGTAATCATGAATAATAAATTTATTTTAATTTTATTATAATAAAATATCATATTTGTGCAATATAATATTACATAGAACGTAATATTTGTATATAAAAGATTCTAGGTCTTTTCTAAACTTCTGTATCAATTTCTTGTAAAACTTCAGGTGTAAGATTTTTGTCTAAAGAATTGCTTTATAAATATACAGTGCCTTGAATAGTTTTACAGATAGAATTTTTCTTTGTACCTATATCTGGCAAAGGAATACTTTTTTCTAAGAGCATAAAAAGAATCAGGATCAGATTGTTATTTTGTAAATAAATGCCCAATATTATTATGAAATTTTTATTTTTGTATTAATTAAAAACATACATACTATGCCTTCAAAGCATATTTCCTCTGTGGAAATGCAGAGTGCTTGCGTATTTCCTTTAGTGTTTTCCTGCTTGCCTGATAGGGAGTAAGAACACGACGCAGAGCCCTAGTCTTCTTGGGCCTCAAATCCAGAGGCTTGTACTTTTTGTTTTTATAAAACAAGCGAAGATTTCCCTTTTGCTTCTGGTGCATAATAATATACACTCGTGCAATAGCCTTCCTTACGACACGACTAATAAGAATGAAAATATTATTACAATATGTAATTATATATTATTTGATTTCACAAAAATATGTATTGCACAAAAATATTACAAGCTGTATATAAAATTAATTATACATAAACAACTTACATCTTGGATAATTTTGACGCAGCTCCTCCAGTTACCTTGGCCACTCTTAAAGTAGTCAATTCTGTCTTGAGCTGCTCAAGTTGCTTCAGCAACTCCTTCTTGTCTTTGGTCCTTAATTCGGAACACTTTACTTTAACCTGAAATAATTCAACACATGTTTAAACGCATTTTCACGTATTGTATACTATTAGAGTCCGAAGTGCTACATTATTTGAAATCAGATTAATCGGTTTTTTCTCCCAAAAAATAATTGCAAAAAAATTAGTAGAAAAATATTTTATTTTTTGCCCAATTCATAATTTAATAATAATAATGCTTCATTAATGACAATAATGATTGAATAGGTTACGGCGTGCAATTTTCCTTGTGAATAAAAATGAAAGAATAATAAAGCATCTACTGATTAAATCGCATCTATCGCACACTTTTTACGGAATAATCAAAACATATTAATCATTGATGTTTTAAATAAATTCGGATTATTTTATACGTTTTACTAACCATCTTGAATCGGTTTCTCTCGACAAGGAAAAGAAACGTACAGCAGAGAAAAATCAGAAAGCGGTCACCGAGATTGAGCAGCCACGTATACTAACGCGCCCCTTGACAAAGTGGACGTAAACTATGTTGTGCGCTCAGCATGGTAAAGTAGCTACTTCATCCACTGAGTAGTTTGAATGCCTTCTAGAATCAAGTAATTCATGGTAATCAAATCCATCATGAGTTTTTGGAAAGTAGCGATTTGTTGCGAGAATTCGTGATATTTCGAAGAATATAAAGAGAAAGAAGAAAAGAAAGGAGAAAAAAGGTATGAACAATAATATATATTATATATAAATAAAAAATATATATATATTTAATAATAAAATAAAAAACTATATGTACAATAAAAATATATATTATAAAAAATATATATACAATCAGGATTATAATTGTACAATTCCAAGTTTGCGATCGTTTGTCGCATAAAGATATCACAAAAAGTAAAGAAGAAGATAAACAATGGGAAAACACGAAGTGGGCACACCAAAGTACATTGCTAATAAAATCAAAGCGAAAGGATTGCAGAAGTTGAGATGGTATTGTCAGATGTGTCAGAAACAATGTCGGGACGAAAATGGATTCAAATGTCACACGATGTCGGAATCACATCATCGTCAGCTGTTGCTGTTCGCTGAGAACGCTCATCGATATATGGATCAATTTTCGAGAGAATTCTCCCAAGGGTATCTGAATTTATTAAAGAGACAGTTCGGTACTAGAAGAGTACCAGCGAATCGAGTATACCAGGAATACATCTCCGACAGAGGACACATACATATGAATGCAACGCAGTGGCTTACTTTAACTGCATTTGTCAAATGGCTTGGACGCAGTGGACAATGCGTTGTGGATGAGACAGAAAAAGGTATGTCATCAAAATTGTTTATGATTCTTAATTAAAATTAAATTAAAAATGTAAGGTTGAATTTTTTAAATTTAAAAAAAAAAAATATATATATATATATATATATATAAGTAAATAAAATTATATTTAAAGCGTTGAGTTTAAGTAAATTAAATAAATAATTGAATTCAAATGATAAAATAATATAAATGATAATATAAGAATTAGAAAAATTAAGTATAAGAGAAAATAAATAAGAAATTTATCCATGAAATCCTAAATATCTTTTTTAATTTTTTTAGGCTGGTTTGTAACGTATATTGATAGGGATCCTGAAACACTTGCTGCGCAGGAGAAGAAAGCAAAGAAAGAGAAAATGGATAAGGACGATGAGGAACGACTAATGGATTTTATTGAAAAGCAAATAGAAAGAAATGCAAAGCAGGATGCACCAGAAGAAGAAAGTGAGACATTCAAAACACCATTAATGCGTTCTGAGAATGATGCACCTTTAGTTCTCGATATAAAGCTAAAGCCTAAACCAAAGTTATTACCTGTACTCAATATAAAGCAGGAGAAGAAAAGTGAAAACAGTATTCAAGACCAACCAGTTTCCAGCAAATCACTTGATGAAAGAGAGAAATCAAAAAGGTCCATTTATGATGAGACAAAATCTGTTAAAAAGTTAAAAAGTGACAATAATCCCCTGAGATTGAAGGTTGGCTTAAGGAAGGTTTAATGGTTAAAGTAACCACAAAAAGTTTAGATGATAAATATTATAAATCTAAAGGCGTTGTTCAATCAGTTGAAAAGGATGGTTTTGTCGCTAAAGTAAAACTAAAAACACCAGATGAAGTTGAGGGACATATTATACGATTGGATCAAGAATATTTAGAGACAGTAATTCCTGCAATAGGCAAAGAAGTCCTAATTCTTTGGGGAAAATATAAAGGCAAGATAGCAATAGTAAAGAAGTTACATATAGAACACTACAGTATAGATGTTGAACTCAAAAAGGACAAAAAAGTTGTGGAGAAGCTTCCGTATGAACAAGTATGCAAGTATGTAGATTGAGAAACAAAATTGTGCGAAAGAAAATTAGGAAAAAGACAATGTATTTTTATTATCATCAATAATGTCTTGCATTGCTTATTGCGTTAATCTAAAGAGCACCTGTGTACAAATTTAACAATCAATAAGGTTTCAAAATATGAAATTTTATATGTGAAATTTTTTGCGATTTAAGAGACAGAATTTTTAAAATATTTCAGACAACTCCATTTAAGACAACTTTTTTATTGAATATCAATACATTGTCAATTATGTTTATTATATTAATATTAATTTTTTAAACATATGTATTAGTTTGTACATGCATAATGTATATGTATAAGATAAGTAGATATATATGAAATTATAAAGTAAGTAAGAATATCATATAAATAATAAAACAATTTGAATATCAAATTTACAATGACAATTTAAAGATAAATTTGCTTTTTCAAACATTTTTGTATTATATATACAGTTACTTATCTATCAAATATTGTACATAGTATATACTGTAGAAGAAATTTTATTTATTACAATGTCTAATGTTACAATGTGTAAGACTAACTGGATAATATCATGGATAATAAGAGAAACTAAGACACAATATAAATAATAATTAAATATACATAAAGAATTTTAAGTGGATTTGATAATCATTCGTTCACGCATAAATGGTACTGGAAAACATTCTATATCCAGTAAAACAATACGACCATTAATTTTAAACAATATATCTCCCGCATGTCTACGCTTGAATATTGGTACAGCAGTAAATTCGCCGAATGTTACTATTTGTTTTTTGAACGATATCGAGGGCACGAATACAGCTTTGTACAATTTCTCTGTAGCACTATGATAAATTCTAAAAGGAATTATTCGACTGCATAGTATAAGCGTAGTACATATGCCAATACAGCAGAGCAACAAGAGTATTTTTTTCGGTTTACTTAGAGACATTAGTATGCCACCCCCTTCAAATTCTACTCCTTTATCCATTGGTGGATCCATGAGAAATTCAAGTCCCATAAGACACATACCATAAATAGCACCTATCCATCCAGCAGTGTGACCAATGATCATAATACCATTGACAATTTTTTGCTCTCTGTATACAAGTTTGTAATCATTACTTATATTGTCTTTGAATCTGAATTTTCGTTCCATAAAGGCATTTGTCTTATTAGTTAAATGCTGATTATATAGTCTTCTGTTGACTTGAGTTACAGATCCAAAAATTATAGTCTTGTGAAAAGCAGCTCGGTAGAAAATGGGAGCCTTGCTCAAAATACAGGCCATTCTTGTACAGTCTGCAATTCTGTAATTTTAAATGTAAATCTATATGTGTATGTATGTACGTGTGCATTTATGTGTACACATAAATAACAATTAATTTATCAAATTTACAATTAATGTATATATAACAATTATGGTATTAATTTTTTATTTAATTATATATATATATATATATATAATTGTATTTTTTTTTAAATGTTATTCATTATTTATAATTATTTACAAAAACATTACTATAATAATCTCTCACTATATATTATCTTGCGTAATATTTAAACTAAACAATCTGTAAATATAAATATCATATGACAAATAATGAAAAATAATTTAAATTTAAAATCTAAAAAAATTAAATCAAGCTACATTTTGAAAAATGTTTTATCAGATATATTTTAAGAGTATAAAGAAATTAATATATGTCAAATGATAAAAATGTTTTATTTTATCGTTCTCGATTATTAATCAAATCAGAAATGAGATCTTTGCTCAAATATTCGTATAAGTCAAATATTTCTTCACGATGCAATAATATAATTTACGCTCTGTAATATAAATATCAATAATATTCACCACAAGTAAAGCAAGTGTTTTTAACACGTTTCGTCCAAATTAGGTTAGTTTCCTGGAAGTATGTAACAGTTGTGTTCACGCACGCGTTGTATATTTGTTTCTATTAATAATGTCTTTATTCGACGACAATAATTCGGATTCCGATGGAGAATTAAAAATAAATACGCAATATGCCAGCATTTACGATAACTTTCGTCAAAAGGAGGAATTACATAAATGTGAGTAAATTAATGTGATGCTAACCTCAAAAACTTTATAAATTATATATTGAACATATTTGTTATATATATATATAAATAAAAAATTAACATAATTAAGTTACAAAAAAATACTACTTAATTATTATGTGTGTATTAATTTAATGACATTGAGTTCACATAATATTTATAGAGGTATAATTAAATTAAAAAAAGATAATATATTTTCTATTAAGTAAAATGTGTTTTTATATTTTTGTACATTTTGCAGTAAAGGCAAGATATGGAGAGGATGCTGCAGCTTCAGATGAATCCAGTGACAGCAGTTTATCGGAAGATGATGAAAATGTACGTTTACTGCTAACAACTGTTTTTATGTACTTCTTTAAATATGTTTTAACTTATAAAATAATCTTGTTGTTTATCTTTGATTTGTGTGAAACAAATTGTTATGACAAATTTAATTACATATAATAATACTCGTTGATTCCAAACAATAACTAATTTTTTTTTTTTTTTAGATCCATAATCCACAATTTGATAAAGAGTTTCTTATAACTTTGGCTTGTTTGAAAAGTGAAGATCCACGTATATATGATGAAAAAGTTAAGTTCTTTAGTGATAACATCAAACCTGGAACATCAGAAGATACTGAAGCAAATGAACAGAAGAAAAAGAAATCGACGAAAGAGAAGGCTCTTTATTTACGTGATTATGAACGTAAGATTATAACGGAAAGAGATGGACGATTTAGTAGCAGCGAAGATGAAGATGATGCAGGACAAAAAGCCAAATCTAAAATACATACTTATTCAGAGGAACAAAAACAATTAAAAGATAGTTTTAAACATGTTTTAAAAGATGAAAATGAAGATGAAGACACTGAGTTTCTTAAAATAAAACAAAAAACTGATGCTGAAAAACATAAGGTATTTAATTAACTATTTTATATTATTTTACAATGTACAATTAAATATTAAAATATCTTTAATTCCATACATTTTATAAAAATAAAGACAATTTGAAGAAAGTGCTTAATAATGAAGATTAGAGAAGATAATTAACTATCTTTAGCTATATATCATTATATAATTGTAATTATTTTATTTACTTAGGAAGAAGAGTCATATAAGGAATGGTTGAAAGGTCAAAAGGTGAAAATAGATCCCAAGGATGAAGAAATGCTTAAATCATTACGTGAATTTTGGACAGATCCTAATTTAGATTCAAATGAGAAGTTCTTAAGAGATTATATTCTAAATAATAAGTACATGAATAAAGAGTCTTATGATACAGACTTAGAATATAATCAGATGATTCATGATAGCGATGAGAATTTGTCAGAAGATGAAAAAACTATTCAGAAGCAAGAGGAATTTGAACACAAATATAATTTCAGATTTGAAGAACCAGATCAAGAATTTATTAAAAGGTATGTTATATTATTAACTGATTACATGTTAATTACTACACATACATATATAAATGCATTATGTATATTTTTCTATAATTATATTTTTTGTAAAATTTTTATTAAGGTATCCACGAACAATGGAACATTCCATGCGAAAGAAAGATACACGCCGAGCACAGAAAAGGGCCGAAGTTAGACAAAGAAAAGAAGAAGTAAAGCAACGACAGAAAGAAGAAGTCAAACAATTGAAAGCATTGAAAAGAAAAGAAATAGAAGAAAAGATAGACAAGTTAAAAGAAATCACAGGTAATATGAAACTTTTCAATTTCTAAACTAAACATTTCTTTTCTAAACTAAACTTGTATGAAATTGTTTAAATATTTTTTATTTAATATATTTATATTAATTATAGGAGATAGTGATATACATTTCGACAATGCATTTGATTTTGATGCCGATTTTGATCCAAGTGAACATGACAAAAAGATGAAAGAACTTTTCAATGACGAATATTATGCTGGTGGTGAAGACGAGAACCAGAAGCCAGAATTTCCAGAGATCGACGATGAGTTGGATATTGAACCTACATGGGACAAATATGACCCAACAACAGAAAAAGTTGACATGGAAGCTACATCGTATGAAGAATCTCATTGTGAAGATCCAGATTTTAATGTACTTATTATCATTTACATATGCATATATATATTTCGCCGATATATTTCAATATATTTTATACAGAAACTTTACTGATTATAGATGGATGCTGATTACAATGAATCCCGAGATTTACAATCCGAACTCATTGAAAATACGAAGAAAAGAAAACGAAGGAGGCGCTCTAAATTCGCTGAACTTATTGCAAAGGAGAAACCAAAATTTGATCCAAAACAATTTCCTTCTTACAAAGAATATTATGATCAATATTACTCATTGGATTATGAGGATATGATTGGAGATTTGCCTTGTAGATTTAAATACAGGAAAGTTGTGCCAAATGATTATGGATTAAGCATTGAAGAAGTAAGTATTATTTATGTAATAAATTATAATTATAGCATATTAAGTAATAAATATTGAGTAATAAATTCCATAAATTCAAGAAAATTATTTTTAATGACAAAAGTTCTCATAATTTAATTTAATATAAATTTTGTCTTTCAAGATTTTAATGGCTGATGACAAAGAATTGAACAAATGGTGCCCTTTGAGAAAAGCTCTTAAGCATAAACCAGATTATGTAGAAGAAAATGATGTCCGAATGTATAAACAAAAGGCTGCAAATGAAGCAAATAAACAAAAAACTTTTAAAAGTTTATATATGTAAGTATTACACGATTAAAAAGATGCATTATATTTTCTGGATTATATACTAACTGCACATTTTTGTATAGGAATCCTCAAGAAAAAGAAGAAACTGCCACTGAGCAAACTAACACTAGCAGTAAGAAGCGCAGGCGAAAGAAGAAAATTGAAATTAATAATCCTAATGTGAAATTGATTAATAATGATACCATTCCTAAGAAAAAGATTATGAATATTACAGAAAATAATATGCAGAATAATTCTCATGCTAACAAAAATGATGAAAAGGATGAGCAAAAGAAAAATGTAGTGGATAAGAATGAAAAACGAAAAAACAAATTAAGAGCCGATGATGATACACCTAGTCTTAAAAAAATGAAGCTAGATAAAGTGAAAAAGGAAGATTCACAGATAGAAACGGATAACTTTGTTAAGGCAAAAAATAACGGCAAGAAAACATCCTTTTCTATGGAGAAATCTACAACTTCTCAGAAGAAGAATAAGTTTAATAAAACGAAGACCGGTAAACGCAAATCAGATAACGACGATCCAGTGATGTCCTTGGAAGCAGAAAGATTAAAGACATATGGAATAAGTGCTAAGAAGTTTAAAAATAAGCTGAAATACGGTAATAAAAAATTTTGACCCTCTGTAGATATACAGCTTTAAAATATATGTAATGTATAATAGAGTACATCATATTTTTCCACTTTTTAGTATTTAGTTTTTTAGTTTTTAGTATTATTTTCCATTTTTTAGTATTTGAATTTTATTTCTTTTATATCTTTTTATCTATCTCTATATCTTTTTGTTTATCTCTACTCACACTGTAAAGCTACAACAAAAGCTGTAGCTGAATAGGTAGATTATATATATAAATATAAGTAGTTTAATGAAGGCAAAGATAAACGCATACATATACAAATACAAGGATAGAAAAGGGATAATGGTCGGCGACTGCGCACACCCTGCGAGGAGGAGTGGTCTTAGGGTTAAAGGCGGATCCGCTCTCAGATGATAAACGACATTTGCGGATTATTAGGATTGTAGGCTGCTGTTTGTGTTTGCCTTTCCTCAATTTCCATCTCTAATCCAGCCCGTATGCTTCGGTCGGGAGAAAAGTGCACCCCATTGATCCGGCACAATGTACAGATTTCACTTACCATATTTTTTTTACCCCCGACTCGTTGAAGAGACTATATAACTATAATTTTGAAAAATTTTTATTACACACTGCAATTGTTTCTACTTTCTAAAAGTCTCAATTTAATCATTTTTTGTAAATTTCTTCATTCTAGTATCAGAGCATTCAACATTTTTATACTTTGATACTAAAATTTAAAAAATTACAGGCTTGAAATATTCATATTTAAATATATTTATGTATATATATTTTTTTATTTTTTATTATACAATATATTTTACGTCGATTTTTTTAATGGGATACTAAAGTATAAATAAAACTCGGTTATTAAATTGAATAAAATATAGTCGCGTGTAATTTAAAAAAAAGATTCAATCATTTATTGAAGAAAAGAATAATTGTGTAATAACAATATCGTCGATAATGTATATTCGCGATGTCTCTTAAGAATTTTATTTAACGAAAAGGGACAACGGGACACTTCCATTCGCAAACCGGTCCGCACTCAAACCCTCTTTATCCCCTGGGTACAATAAATCAATCCCTTTACCCCGAGACGAGAGCATTGTAGTAGCAGGTGGCTCGTGACGGCTACCTACGTTCACGCCCTTAATTCCCAATTAATGTTATCCTCGATGTAAACGGCTTCTGTACATCCCCCTTGTTCGCAAAAAATCCACATTCAAAAAGAAAATGTAAATAATTATATTTTATTATTTAATATTATTATTTAATATCACTTAATATATATATATATATATATATATATATGTATATATTTTTATGTATCTTATTATATTTTATATGTATATATTAAATTTTTTTGTATCTTATATTATAATTGTTTAATGTATCTACATTATATATATACATACATACATATATACATATATACATATATATATAATTATATAATAATTAAATTTTTGTATAAATGATATATAGAATGAAACATGATATTATTCAATTTTCTAATAATATTTCAATTCTAATCAAATTTTTATTTCACACAAAAATAATAGCGTTTTCGAATTACACGGGTTTGATCAACCCGAGATCGATCAATCGATTATCGAGGCTCGACCGCTGACGTCAGTCTCGCTATCGAGTCGATCCAAAGCGCTACAAGACTGTGTGCAGTGATTTTGCGACATACGCGCGAAATTGCAGAAGGTAAATAAACTAATAAAAAGAGGAACACGAAATTCACACACGTATCGAAAAAATATCGAGTATGTGATACAGTGCTTATAAAAGTCGTGTCGTCAACTGAAGTGAGGTATTTATAGAGAGAGAAAGAAGAGAAAGAAAGTATAAAATCGCGCGCGCGAAAGTTTCGCACGTGTAAAATTGATCGGGATTAGGAAGCTGCTTCGACCGAGTTAGGTGCTATTGAATTACGAGAGGACCGAATTTCACGGGCTAACGCCTCCATCTGGATGGGAGTAGTCGAGCAGGGTAAGTGCACTTACTTGGGGTACTGTAATTGACACGATATCCCTGTCGGCGTTCTAATTGCCGGAAAATTGTCGGGGTGAATTCGGCCATCGGAGCCTCGTTAACCAATCGGGCAATTAAATACTTTGCAGTATCATTTCTTTTTCCATCTCTGACATTGTCAGAATGAGAATATATATTATATATATTTTTATATATCATATATATTTATATATATATTTTTTTGTATTATATATTATATATATATATATATATATATATATATATATATATTATATATATATTATATATTATATATTATATATATATATATTATATATATGTATATATATATAAATTATATTTACATTTTTTTAAAGATGAGAGTTATAGAGCAGAGAATTTTTTGTTATATTTTACCGCAAATTTTACTACAAATTTTATATGAACAATTAAGCTGGATTGAAAATATTACTTGTAAAATTTATACTTATAATTCTGTAAGTGTTTTAAGTCGAATAGATGCGAAAAAAGTGATAAAATATTTTATAAGAATTTCTCTGATTAATATTTACCACAATAAAAATATTAATATAAGATATAAAATTTCAATAATTTTAAACTATATTAAAAACTCAAGATTTATTAAATGTTTAAATAACAGATGCCTAAAAAGTGATAAACATATAAAATATTTTATATGTTTACTGTTTTGACATCTATTACTTAACATGCTTAAAGAATCATAAGTTTTTAATATAAGTATGTAATTTTTAATATATTTTAAAATTTATTGAAATTTTACTATATATTTTGATACAATTAATCAAACATATTTTATATTTTAATGTGCAAATATTAATCGAAAAAATTCTTATAAATTTTTTGAATACTATATTGTCCCACGATTACCATGAATTTCAGGATAAATTCTAAGAGAAAATTCTCTTTGTGAAGAATTATAAAATTAATTTCGCTCTACAGACTTTCTCATACAATTATCCTGCTTATAATAATCGATAGATTGAAAAGCAAAAATCATTCATATATTTATAAAAAGATATATGATTTTATTTTATTAAATATTTCAATTTTTACATATTTTTTTATAAAAGAGATATTCAATATATTTTCTATTTTGCATCACAAATGCACACAAAATATACATATTTATTAAAACAATGACACACGAATTTTTCAATTAAAAAATTTTTACGAATCAATAAAAATAACATGTGCAAAATATTTATATTTATTAAGAAACATAAGTTGTAAGAGAATTAAGTGTAGTAACATTTTCATCGTTTACTGCAGTGGAATTTTGTCCAGAATTTGGTCCTCCAATATCTCCAACTTGAATGAGAATTACAAGATACGTAGTGACTGAACCAATAACCTGAGAAAAATAGAAAATTTGATAATTTATATATTTTTTTATTTAAAAAATTCTCATCTTTCTTTCTCTCTCATACAGAGATTTCTGAATTAAATTATAATTAAATGTATTTTAATCTAATTAAAAAATTTTCACACCCTGTTTTTTTAACATTATCACGCTACATACGAGACTTTTGTAACTTTTATAGTTAATTACTTTAAATACAGGTGTAGAAATTATAAGGCTTAGGCTAAAGTACAAAATGATAAAGTAGATAAAAGCTACAACTTTAACTTATAGAAAAATATGTTATTAAAGTAAAGTAGGTCAATTAACACATTCATCGACGCGATTACATAATTCACAATTTAATATATATTGTACAATAAATCTTCGAAGCTGTCACGTTCGAATACTTTATATTAAATTTAGATAAAATTACATAACTTACCCCATGAATAAACGTATGATTTAGATTGAAAAATCCACACGCCGTAAAGACCAACGGATTTTGTATCAATTGCAAAGTAAAGTCTCGTATCTAAAAAAAATTAAATATTAATTTTTCATTTTATCTTTTTGTGCTATATTTAATTAACACAAAAAGTTAAAAGTTGTGCAGTATTTAATAAGGCGATAAGGAACTTGCCTCCGCGCGAAATTCTTTGCTGGTGGATGGCTCGTACAATTCGCAGATTATGTCACCTGTATTTGCGGCCTGTAAAAGATGTAAATATACGACACAATTTATCTCATTTTTTAACACTTGAGAAATTTAAGACAATTAAGATTTTATCAATTATTTTGAAAAAATATGAAACTGTGTTGAAGATTATTTTTATTATAAATTCCGAAAACTTTTTCAATGCTTGCCTCAATGCTCGCCAAAGCGCACATATGATTTAATACGAGGACCTTCGACGCGTAGAATAGAATCCAGCCGACGATAGGTATCATCTCCTGTCGGAATGTCTCGCGGCTGATATTGGACATCCAAAAATCAAATAAGCATAGTACAGAAGACTAGTGATAAAAACGAACGATATCGTCATAGAGAAGAGAATTTGTATGCCGTACGCTTCGTTCGTGCTCCTGCAGGCCTTGGTTAATTCTAGATGAACTTGCCTTTGTTCACACAATATAAATAAGATTAAACTCTTAATTAATCAACCAAGTCATTTCGAAAAAATACATCATTGTAAAATCATTATATTAGAATGAAAAACAAATGTGCTGTATGCGAGCGTAAAATTAAGGAAAGAATTTCTTTAGAATAATAAAGAAAACTGAATTAATTTTTATTTATTTAGGATATGTAATAATGAATTTGTTACACACTGAAAAAATGTATTAACTTGGCTAAACTTTTCTACTAAATATATTATTTTGTTAATTGAACATATAAAAATATTTAAATTAAATGTGTAACCCATTAAATCTAACAAAACATATTTTTGATTTAAATATTAAAATATATGTTTAATTAATAAAATAGTATAATTTAGTTGAAAGGTTTAATAAAGTTAAATTTTTGTTCAGTGCACACATGCGTGTGCTACTTTTATAAGTACACAAAAATCATAAATGTCTTTACTTAAACGTTTGGAATAAAGATCTCACTTGACAGCCCTCATTGTGTCAGTGTTCTCTTCAGATCTACGATCCTGTTGCGTCGCGGATGTGAAGGTCTTATTCCATTCGTCCTTCATTTTTAGCACCCTTTTATGTTGCGGCGAATCGGGGGTAGTAGTTAACATGCGTTGCAGCAGACCATTTAGCTGCTCGAATCGAATCTTTGCGTACCTTTAATTAATTTTTATTTCAGCGAAATAGAAACAAAAAATCGAGTTTATTTGATATAATATTTAATATAGTATAGTATGATAATTTTCACAATAATATAATTTAATATAATAATTTCCACAGTTAATTTATTTTATTGAAATGTCATTTCGAACAACTTTATAATTATATGATGCAATATGTATTATAATTATATAAATGATCAAAAATCTAAAATTCTTACATTTTATATAAAATATATATAAATATAAAATATTTCTTATATTTATATTTTATATAAAAATATAAGTATAAAATATTTTTTATATTTTTATAAACATTTTGATATTTAAATGTTTTTCAAAGTGCTTATATACATATTAAATTTTATTATTATATTCAAATGTAGGATAGATCAAGCTTGATTTGATGCTAGACGATAAGAAGAAGTCTAATGTTATAATATTATTTTTATTGTAATTATATAAGCTCTTGTATATTGCTTGTATGTTCAAAATAGATTTTATCATACCTGACCCAATGCAAAAACGACACGTCACTCACGTAGAGTAAAGCGACGGGATAGTTTACGGCGAGTATAAGAATAATTCTGACATGTATAGATGTTTCTTTTACAAACATACTATCGTAATTAATTACAACAAATATAATAAATATCAGCACAACAGATCCGAGCGCGTAAAGTTGACTCAAATATAATTTCCGATAGTTCTTCTGTAATCCCATTTGCTCCATTGTTTTCTCGCACATCGCAATCCGCATTATTGCCGTTTTCATATACTATAGAATTAAAAAAAAAAACAAGATACTAGTCGCTGTTGAATAAAACCATATAGCGTATTTCTGTTCGAGAACAGAAAAATTCGAGAAAATAAGACACTTTTCATATACTCTAAAAAATTGAGTATTTTCAAACCACTGAAACTCAGCAAAAAATGATTGTAGACCAAAAAATTTTTTTAAAAACATTATAATGCTTAAAGTTTCAACTTTAACGTGCTATCGATAGCTTTAAAATTTTTTTATCTTTCTTCTTTTATGCTTTAAAAAATAACACATTGTTTTGTTTCTTAAAATTACTTATTTTTGACACTTATCTGCAACTCAATAAAAAAAATCTCGAAAATTCAACTTGAGTTCTATAAACTACAACATTTTACAAAATGCTTTCTTTTAATTTTCCTATATGATTTTTTTTACCAAATTATACAATTTTATAAAACTAAACCTATAGTTTTTAGAAATGACGTTAACGATGTATTTGGCAAAGAACAAGAAAGATAAAAAAATTTTTTTATCCCTGATAGCGCATTAAAAGAGTGAAAATTTTAAGCTTCAAAATACTTTTTAATTCTTATCCACGATGATTTTTCGCCGACTTTCAGCGATTGAAAAAATAGCTCAATTGTTAGAGTATGAAAAATGTTTTTTATATATTTTTTAAATAGTGTATCTATATGTATAATAAAATGAATCGTGTTAGATTTGAAGATTCTTCTATTTTCTCTTCGCGATTCATCTTGAAAAATTACCTTTCTCCTCAACCAACCGCAAGGGACAAGAAGCAACGTGCAACAGATGTTGGTGTAGAAGATCGCTTGGAATATCATAACGCCGAGCTTTTCTACCTTACGCGTGTAGGAGATATACAGATAATCCATCGCAAACTTCATCAGAACGCAATAGCTCACCAAGCAGAACAAGGAGTACCCGATGTTCACGATCCTTCCACGCTTGCTGGTCCAAATTCCTATCCCAAGAACGAAATTTGCCACAAGCAGCGGCATGATCATCTCATGCATGGTCTTCGGCTGGAACATCTTGGATGTTTGTAACATTCGTCGAGCTGAACAAATAGCACCTTTCGCCGATTGTCAGCGTACACATGTATACATAATACACACGCAATGAGAACAACGCCCACACACGCGGCTATTTCGCAGTTGAGGAATAAACGATGAATATCAAGGGTTGGCCATACGTGTCACTTCGCGTGTTCCAGTGCGAACAGCGTAATGCTAAATGCTACCTTGATAAGTGGTCGATGGTAATACGAGGGTGGTTGGTGGTCGAACAAATGGCGACGGCGCGACTCAAATAAAGGATATTCGCGATGTCTCATCATGAGTCGTATGTCCCGAAGGATTCGTCCGTCTCATGCATGATCGATATTGACTTACGAGCGCATTGCGTGAATGTCCTTCGCTATTTCTATCAAATTAAATACTCCGCAAATGCGTAAATGTTCGTTTTAAAGGGAAATTTTGATAGAAACTTATATGTACATATAAAAATATTACAATTTATGCAGTCATCGAAGAATGACAATTGTTCGACATAATTGTTAAATTTATTTCTACGCACTTTTCAGTATTATTAAACTTTTAATGAGAACCGATTAAAAGTAGCAAGTAAATATTAATTTCTTATTAAAATATTAATTTATTTTAAGTTATAGATGCATGTATATGTACATATGTTGAAGAAATATTGTCTCATATATATGTACATTTTTAATTATTTTTGCAAAAACATGGGAGCGGAAAAATCAATTTAATTCAATGATATATTAATTTGTAAAATGACTAATAACACAATGACAACAATTATTGAAAAATGTACTGTAACATAAATAATAACAAATTTAAATAATGATAAAGCGTGATGAAATAACAACGAATATATCGAGTGCCCATGATCTTATAATGGATGAACACCCACGAGACTTTACTGTGGAGATCGATATCATGCGAAATATCAAGCTATATAAGAGCTATCTTGTTAAGAACATCGGAAGAGTTAAAAGTATTATGTACTACCATAATTGCAAAATAGGAGTTTAACATACAGTAGAATATTAAAAGTCTCTTTCGTTATAATATTAAATTATTTTAGTAATTTAAAGAAAATTAATAATTTATATTGAGTATTTTATTGCAGATAACTTATAAATATTTGATTTAATAAATATAATTATCATGCATAATGTAAGAAGCTTCAAGTTCGAGAGGTCCTATACTTTGATATAGATTTTAATAATATACTATCAATGCTGTAGTAATAAAGGAAAATGAAGATGGAAATTCTATAATATGTAATGACTTGGCACATTTCGAATATATACTAATATGATCATGTAATATTTTATGTCTAACAATTTTTGTAGTGAGTTGTGCAACGAGCAATTAGTTTTCATTCAAATCGAGAATGTTAAACATCTAGAGATATGACGTGTAAAAGTATCTTCTATTTTATTATGGTTTATATATTGTTCTATTTAAATAAGGAAAAATTCTTGATTTATTAATGCCACATAAGTTTTATTTCTATAGAAAATAATAATGTAATCATAAATTTATTTATGTATAAATAATTTTTTGACAAAAATCAGCAAATTTTATTCTTTAAATAAGGTGCGCTTCTGAATAATGACAATAATTATTTTTTTAACAATACTTAGAATTCAATATATACTAATACGTCCGATACTTTATCGATCAATTTGTCCTAAAATGCAAGTATAAATTAATTATTATAATCAACAATTGTTATATCAAGACTTTTAACATTTCGATCTTACAATTTTTATGTATGTTATTGTATTATATCACAATTATATATAATACAATAATTCCCCCCGTGGGTACACCTTGACGTGGTGGGAGGGCCCTAGTACCTGGATGGTTAATCCTTTAAGATTTATCCTAAAGGATTATCCTGAATGAGAAGCCAAGTACCCAACGCGTCGCGTTTTCGCGTAATTAATTTCTCGATTTCGGACGTGCCTTATTTACAAGTATCGCGTATATACAAGTGCGAGAGTGCCGTTAAAAATGTCTTATTTAGAAGTGCGGGAGTGCCGTTAAAAGTGTCGCGCGTGTTAATCAATGGACAACTTGATGACCTGAGAGGAGGAGAAGGCCTGGGAAAGGCATCGAGCATCGGCAGAACAACCCTGGGGTGAGTATTTATTATTTGTATATTAATTGTTATAAATCGCGTTTATAAAATGCGTTAATTTGGTATATTTATTTGAACAATTCAAATGAGTTTAAATAAAAAAAAATTTAGAATTTTGTAGAAGCTTCTACTTCTAATAAAAAGTAATCTCTTTAGAATTGATAAAATTAATCTATTAAATATCTGTTTATTATTGCCCGCATCGAATATAAAATATTCAATGCATATTAATAATAATTTGTTAAATATTATTTTGAACGCTGCTACAATATAGATTTTATTTATTGTTACAGATTAAACTTCAATAACGTCAACTCTGCTGTTGTGCATCGATCAGTGAGTAAGAAACTTTTATTTTATTTTATAAAACCTTTATAAACCTTTCGCACACTTTAATGAAATTATTAATCATCTAATTTTGACAAAAATTTTCATTTTTGAAATTTGATTGTTGCTATTATTACGATTTATTTATTTTTTGTATACATATAATGTATTTTTATTTTTACTTGATATTCACATCTATACACTTGTGATTATAAGTCGCTCTACATAAAAAGTCAATGTGTAAGACAAAATTGTGACAATTACAATTTTGCTGCATTTTCTTTCTTGATTTCCCATAAATAATTTATAATGATCTATTAGAAAATCTAAAGAGCACATAGAAACTCATAAACGATTGTTACGAAAAATGCAAGTGGGTTAAACGAGCAAAACAAATCTCGAACTTTGAAGAGACCAATTATATATCTATTAAAGAGTTAATTGTACATAAAGCAATGAGTAATTCGTTGTACAAACATAACGTAAACAATACGTAGCAAAAATAAAAATAATAAAAGCGAGTCACAGAGAACTTATTATAAAACTATGCACAGAAACACAACGTTTCCTTGATATGATACTAATTAATTAAATAAATCAGGAAACATCGAAATATGACGTGCAAAAATATCATTTTTTATATTATTGTTATATTAATGAAATAAGAAAAAATTCACGGTACAATCTATTTCATTAAATATCATCAGTTAAGTTCTCCAGAGATTACAAAGTATAATTCTAATGAATAAAATTTTAATTATATAAGCTAAAAATAAAAGAATTCATTGAATATCTTGCAGAATTTATTAAAGAAAGAAAAGGATTTATTAAATATTTTGGATAAAATAATTCTACATTGCTTTATTTTACATAGCCTGTATGTTTACGACATTTTTGTTTGATTGATATACATTAATTATTTTACAATTTAAACTATATATTATTTTATATATTATTTTACAATTTAAACAATAATACTAAAATTTAATTATTTAATTATAATAATATTTATAATTTATATATTATATTTGCATTTTGAATAGTTTAATCAGACTCCAATGAGTTGCTTAGTTGTACCATGATAACTAAGTAGGTCGTTACAATTTTCAACATCTATAAATACGAAAAGTATAACATTATTATATTAAATATATATATATATATATATATATATATATATGTAGATATATAATAATAATAAAAAATTATGTGATATTGAGAGAACATAATTTAATACATATATTATCTATTTATAAAATTTTTCATTTTTAATCGAAATAAAATTATAAAAGCAGTTTTTTAAAAATATGTATATATATTTTGTTTCCAGGATATTGATAGTGTAACTTTTTCTAAAGTGAAAATGCGAAAAGTGGAAAATTTCTTCCAATTACACATCGATTTATTTTAAAGTCAATGCGTGATAAGTAGAAATTTTTCACTTTTCACGTTTTCACTTTAGAAAAAGTTACACAATCAATACCCCGAAAATTTCCTGAAAATTATTAATTTAAAATTAACAGTTTATAATAACTCGATACAATTTGATACAAACCATAGTAACAACTTGATTATCCAAAGAAATACCATACGCAGAAAATCTCACCGGACTTTGTAATATTTGAATACCAAATTGTTGAATCTAAAATAATACGTGAAAATTAATGCTATAAAGGATATAATACTTAAAAATAATAGTTATAAAAGGTGTAATATCGTAAACAGACCTCCTCTTGCATACCAGAATCTGTATTGCATCCGTAAATCGAATAAACAATCTCGATAGTTTTATTCCCCTGCACAAGTATAAATATTAATTGTTTAATATTAATTAATTAAATTACGTTAATTAATATGTATTAATTAATTAATTAAATTTCTAATTAAATGATAATGTGCACAATAGTTTACCTCATCAGCTGCATCTTTGCAAACGCGACTTAAAAATGTAATTTTCAGAATATTAACAACATTTATAAATAGAATTACTATAACTGCGTGCTGCATAAAAATGATTGTCATCTTTTGTTGATGTTCAATATATCGAATATACAAAATGTAGAGCGATGCAATTAGGAGTATAATAGTTATTCCTATTTCAGAAGCTATCTGTATGCCGAAGATTATACATATTGTTTTTGATACTTTACACAATTCTAGATGAACTTGTCTAAAAAAAACACAGTTTTTCAGACAATTAAAAATATTCTTATTTGAAAAATTCTTTAAAAATCTCTCTCTCTCTCTCTCTCTATCTCATAGTTTTATTTCACACGAAAAAGTTGATTTAGATTATTGATATTCAACAAATTATTTCGTAAGCAAAAATTACAAGAATCTTAATATTACATATTTCAAAAAATTTTTATTGACATTTGATTTATTATTTATAGAAATTACCTTACAACAATTTAATAATTCTTCATAATTTCTATACTCACTTGATTACTTGTAACAGATACATATGTTTCTGACCTTCAATCGTTACAAAATTGTGTCTTTGAGACCGATTTCGAAGTTCTCCTCGTAATTGTTTCTGAAAATGAGATGGAAAATGTAATTGAATGTGTAATTTGACAAATATTATTTTTTTGATACATAAAATATTTTTTCCAAAATTGTACCTGTCGACAATAGGATAATATCTTCATAGGAATGAAACACTTTTGTCGCTCAACATCCATGATTTTAGCATAATCTTTCATTTCAAAAAAGCCCAACTTTATCTCTTTTGCTGGTAACGCCGACATACTTTCATATAAGAGTTTGTTAATCAATTTAAATTTTATTTGTAAGCATCTGCATAACGGTATGTATTAGACATTATTATTTTTTAAACATTAATATTATTACATTTATTCTTGAATAAATGAGCAATAATATCTACCGATTAAAGTTACGAACATATATATATATATATATATATATATACATATTGTAAGAACAAACTTCTAAGTTGCTCATAGAGTTTATACATTCATTAATAAAGCCAATTTACATACTTTACTAATATGTAGAATTCGAAGATTATACAAGAATTGACAGTCAGTATATAAAACATTGCCACTGAATAGTAGATTGTAGCAGCTTGTACTTTTGCAAACGTTACAATAAAGACGAAAATGCATATAGATAAGTTGAGTAGAAACCAGACAAACATTACACCGAATATTATAAAACGTATTTTATCATAATTTATTACTGCTCCAAGCTGTCGCAATGTTTCGTCGATCTCAAAGTTTTTTTTATAGCAAGCTTGCAATTCCTGCACAAATGTTAAAATTTATACGAAATATTACACAAAATATTTTTAAAAATACACATATATAGTTCGTCGAATGATGCACGGGTTAACGTTTCCTTTATCTGTGTTTGATTTAGAAAATTATACTTTATATAGGATATTATTTCTTTATTTCACACTTACCTTCGTATGCCACCAACCGAGCAGTAATTTAACAAAGATGAAATAATTAACAATATGGGCTGATTTTTCGTACACAAAGTATTCTAGCTTCAGTAAACTAACATTTAAATAGAAATCTCCTTGCAAATATCTTAAGCCATAGAACAAACCATAAATAAATAAAAGATAAATTAAGCTGAGTATAGGTCTTGGCCGACCACGAGGATATTCAAAAGCGCGAAGTCCTATTAAACGGTTCAGAGTTATCACTGGTGCCATCACCTCGCATAAGTTTTTCGAACGTGCAAATAGCTTCATAATTACTTCCTTTCTCGTATTATGTTCTTCGAAAATTTTAGTCATTCGATTTGAATATTCTTCTCTTTAGTCTTCAACTGATTAGACACCTGAGATATTTAAAATAAGATAAATATAGTTAATAATAACATATACATTGTATAAATAAAAGGAATTTTTGTTGATTTCCAAATTAATTAATTTTAAAACTTTGACAAAATTATTAACCAAACTTTGACAAAAAAATTTCTTTTTGATAACATTAATTATTTTACATTATATTTGATCAATAATTTATTATTTATTCCTCGTGTTTTATAGTTTTAGTGCATATAATATTTTTTTTAATTTTTTCACCTATTTATATTAATCTATTCATTTACGATCATTGTATATGCAATGTGATTATTCTGGATTAAGTCACTTTTTCACTACACTTTTGTCCTCGATTTCCTATAATTCGTAAGTTAACCATCTACCTTTATGTGAATCATCTAAGGAACACATGAAAGTTCACAAGTGATTATCATGAAGAACGCAAATGTGTTAAACGAGTGAACGAGAATAAATCATGGATTTTGAAAAAGAAACACAATCTATTATATATTTACATTTGTCAACAGTATGCGAAGCAACGTCCAATTTGTTGTACAAACCCTCTTATAGAACTCGCTTTTATTATGTTAATACTTTTAATACGTCAATTATAAAATCCTGCCTCGATGATAGCACGTAAAATGATTACTGGAAGAAGGCTTTACGCAAATTATCGTTATTAACCACATTTTTTACCATGGTTACCGGAGACTAACACTAAGCTTTTTGTGTGCCTAGTTTATTTATGACTGTTATGCAGTGTTAATGCAATTATAATAACATTTGCAAGGCTGTGACTTGTATTTTTAAATGAAATAGAAACGCGTAATAAGCAAAGTACGTTAGTAAAAAAATTAATTTATTTCTCAACGCTCTACAAACGCTACTTGCGAATGATAGAGCGCCAGTTTCAAGGATAATTCATTTAATTAATTTAAATTTATTAAAACTAATTAGTTGTTCATAGAACACAAAATTTCCTTATTACCGTTGATATCAATAAGTAATTAAATAAATCAAGAATGTTAAACATATCGAAATATTACGTGCAAAAGTTTTTTATATTATTGTTATATTAATGAAAGAAAAAAGCGCGTGATACGTTCTATTCAATTAAGTATAGTTTGATCAATTAAGTATTCCAAAATTAAGTACAAGGTCTAATTCTATAATTTATCATCAGTATATCATCAGTTAAGTACTTCAAAGTTTACATAGTATAATTCTAATGAATAAAATTTTAATTAAGCTAAAAATTAAAGAATTTATTGAATATCTTACAGAGTTTATTAAAGAAACAAAAGGATCTATATTTTAAATATTCTAAATAAAATAATTCTACATTGCTTTATTTTACATAGAATGTATGTTTACGACATTTATGTTTGATTGATATATATTAATTATTTTACAATTTACACTAAATTATTTTATATATTATTTTACAATTTAAACAATAATACTAAAATTTAATTATTTATAAATTTAAAGTGTCAAACAGGCAATAAGAGCCAAATCGCGGATGATATTTAATTATATATATTAATAATTATAATTTTTTATATATAATTTATATTAAATATGTATATTACATATTTATAATTTATATTATGGATTTTGAATAGTTTAATCAGACTCCAATGAGTTGCTTACTTGTATCATTATAACTAAGTAGGTTGTTACAATTTTCAGCATCTATAAATAAGAAAAGCATAACACTATTGTATGTCTGTGTAATAGTATAACTTAAATATATATTTATTATATATGTACATATATAATAATAATTAAAAATTATTTGATATTGAAACGTAATTTAATACATATATTATCTATCTATAAATTTTTTTTATTTTCAATCGAAATAAAATTATAAAAGCAGCTTTTTATTTCATGATCCGTAAAAAACTACTAAATTTTTTAAATATGTATATATATTTTGTTCACAGGAAATTACCTGAATATTATTTACTTAAAATTAACAGTTTATAATAACTCGATACAGTTTGATACAAACCATAGTAAGAACTCGATTATCCAAAGAAATACCATATGCAGAAAATCTCACCGGACTTTGTGATATTTGAATACCAAATTGTTGAATCTAAAATAATAATTAGTGAAAATTAATGCCACAATGGATATAATAATTAAAAAATATAACACTTATAAAAGGTGTAATATCGCAAACAGACCTCCTCTTGCATACCAGATTCTGTATTACATCCGTAAATCGAATAAACAATCTCGATAGTTTTATTCCCCTGCACAAGTATAAATATTAATTGTTTAATAATAATTAATTAAATTACGTTAATTAATATGTATTGATTAATTAATTGAATTTCTATTAAAATAATAATGAGCACAATAGTTTACCTCATCGGCTGCACCTTCGCAAACGCGACTTAAAAATGTAATTTTTAGAATATCAACAACACGTGATAGGATTATTATAACTGTTTGTTGCATTGAAGTGCTTGTTATCGTCTGTTGTTGTTCAATATATCGAATGTACAAAGCGTAGAGAGATGCAGTTAGGAATATAATAGTTATTCCTATTTCAAAAGCTATCTGTACGCCGAAGATTATACATATTGTTTTTGATATTTTACACAATTCTAAATGAACTTGTCTAAAAAAAACACGGTTTTTCAGACAATTAATTATAATATTCTTATATGAAAAATTCTTTGAAAATCTTTCTCTCTTTCTGTCTCTCATAATTTGATTTCACATGAAAAAAGTTGATTTAGATTATCGTTACTTAACAAATTATTTCATAAGCAAAAATCACAAGAATCTTTGTCAAATATTTAAAAAATTTTTTATTGCCATTAATTTTGTTTAATTTTTATTGTTATTTATTCATAGAAATTATTTTATAAATTTGACCTTAACAATTTACTTCATAATTTCTATACTCACTTGATTATTTGTAACAAATACATATGTTTCTGATTTTTTGTCATTACGAAATTGTGTCTTTGAGTTTGATTTCGAAGTTCTTTTCGTAGATGTTTCTGAAAATGAGATGGAAAATGTAATTGAATGTGCGATTTGACAAATCTTATTTTTTGATATATATAATATTTTTTCTAAAATTGTACCTGTTGACAGTAAGATAATATCTTCATAGGAATCAAACACTTTTGTCGCTCAACATCCATGATTTCAGCATATTCTTTTATTTCAAAAAAGCCCAATTTTATTTCTTTTGCTGATAATGCTGATATACTTTCATATAAGAGTTTGTTAATCAATTCAAATTTTATTTGTAAGCATCTGCGTAACGGTGTTAGACATTATTTTCTTAAACGTTAATATTATTACATTTATTCTTAAACAAATGAGCAATAATCTACCGGCTAAAGTTAATGAAAATAAACTTCTAAGTTGTTCATAGAGTTTATATGTTTATTAATATACATCACTAACTTATACAACAACATACTTTACTAATATGTAGAATTCGAAAATGATAATAGAATTGACAGTCAGGATATATAAATATGCCATTGAAGTGCTGATTGTAGTATATGCATCTGTTTGCGTCCACAATACAATGAAGACCACAATGCACATAGTTAAGTTGAATAGAAACCAGACAAACATTACACCGAGTATTATAAAATATATTTTATTATAGTTTATTGCCGATCCAAGTTGTCGCAATGTTTCGTCGATCTCAAAGATTTTCTTATAGCAAGCTTGAAATTTCTGCACAAATGTTAAAATTTATACAAAATATTACACAAAATATTTTTAAAAATGTAGATATAGTTGGTCGAATGACGCACTGGTTAACGTTTTCTGTATCTGTGTTTGATTCAGGATATTGTATTTTATATAGGATATTATTTCTTTATTTCACACTTGCTTACCTTTGTATACCACCAACCTAGCAATAATTTAACAAAGATGAAATAATTAACAATGATGTCTGTTTTTTCGTACACAAAGTATTCTAGCTTATGTAAACTAATATATGAATAGCTTTCTTCTTGCAAATATTTTGAGCCATAGAGCAAGCCATAAAGAAATAAAAGATAAATTAAGCTGAGTATAGGTCTTGGCCGACCACGAGGATATTCAAAAGCACGAAGTCCTATTAAACGGTTCAGAGTTATCACTGGTGCTATCGCTTCGCACAAGTTTTTCCGACGTGCAAATAGCTTCATAATTACTTCCTTTCTCATATTATGTTCTTTGAAAATTTCAGTCACTCGATTTGAATATTCTTCTCTTTCGTTTTCAACTGATTAGATATCTAAGATATTTAAAATAATTTAAGTTAATATTAATAACATACAGTACAAATAAAAGAAATTTTTGTTGATTTCCAAACTAATTAATTTCCCAACATCTAATTACAGATGCATTTCACTAACTTTGACGAATTTATTAATCAAATTTTGATGAAAAAAATTTATTTTTGATAAAATTAATTATTTTACATTATTTGATCTATAATTTATTATTTATTCCTCATGTTTTATAGTTTTAGTGCATATAATTTTTTTTTATTTTTTAGCCTATTTATATTAATCTATTTACTTACGATCATTGTATATATGTCATGTGATTATACTGGATTAAGTCACTTTTTCACTACACTGTTGTCCTCGATTTCCTATAATTCGTAAGTTAAAAATCTACCTTTATGTGAATTATGTAAGGAACACATGAAAGCTCACAAGTGATTATCATGAAGAACGCAAATGTGTTAAACGAGTGAACGAGAATAAACAAATCGTGGATTTTGGAAAAGAGACATAATCTATAATATATTTACAAGAGTCAACAGTATGCAAAGCAATGTCCAATTTGTTGTACAAACCCTCTTATAGAACTCGCTTTTATTATTTTAATAATTTTAATATTTCAGTTATAAAATCCTGCTGGCCTCGATGATAGCACGTGAAATGATTACTGGAAGAAGACTCTACGCACATTATCGTTATTAACCACATCTTTTACCATGGTTACCGAAGACTAACAGTTTTTTGTGTGCCTAGGTCATTTATGACTGTTATGCTATGTGTTAAAGCAATCATAATAACATTTGCAAGATTGCGACCTGTATTTTTAATTGTAATAGAAACGCGTAATAAGCCAAGTACGTTAGTAAAAAAATTAATTTATTTCTTAACGCTTTACAATCGCTACTTGCGTATGTTAGAACGTCAATATCAAGAATAATTAATTTAAAAATTAATTTAAATTTATTGAAACTGATTAGTTGTTCATAGAACACAAAATTTCTTTATTACCGTTGATATCAATAAGTAATTAACTATTATCGTTATATTAATGAAAGAAAAAAGCGCGTGATACGTTCTGTTCAATATATATATATATATAAGTATACTTTGATCAATTAAGTATTCCAAAATTAAGTACAAGGTCTAATTCTATAATTTATCATCAGTATATCATCAGTTAAGTACTCCAAAGTTTACAAAGTATAATTTTAATGAATAAAATTTAATTATGCTAAAAATTAAAGAATTTATTAAATATCTTACAGAGTTTATTAAAGAAACAAAAGGATCTATATATTAAATATTCTAAATAAAATAATTCTACATTGCTTTATTTTACATAGAATGTATGTTTACGACATTTATGTTTGATTGATATATATTAATTATTTTACAATTTACACTATATTATTTTATATATTATTTTACACTTTAAACAATAATACTAAAATTTAATTATATATATTAATATTTATAATTTTTTATATATAATTTATATTAAATATGTATATTACATATTTATAATTTATATTATGGATTTTGAATGGTTTCATCAGACTCCAATGAGTTGCTTACTTGTATCATTATAACTAAGTAGGTTGTTACAATTTTCAGCATCTATAAATAAGAAAAGCATAACACTATTGTATGTCTGTGTAATAGTATAACTTAAATATATATTTATTATATATGTAAATATATAATAATAATTAAAAATTATTTGATATTGAAACGTAATTTAATACATATATTATCTATCTATAAATTTTTTTTATTTTCAATCGAAATAAAATTATAAAAGCAGCTTTTTATTTCATGATCCGTAAAAAACTACTAAATTTTTTAAATATGTATATATATTTTGTTCACAGGAAATTACCTGAATATTATTTACTTAAAATTAACAGTTTATAATAACTCGATACAGTTTGATACAAACCATAGTAAGAACTCGATTATCCAAAGAAATACCATATGCAGAAAATCTCACCGGACTTTGTAATATTTGAATACCAAACTGTTGAATCTGAAATAATAATTAGTGAAAATTAATGCCACAATGGATATAATAATTAAAAAATATAATACTTGTAAAAGGTGTAATATCGCAAACAGACCTCCTCTTGCATACCAGATTCTGTATTACATCCGTAAATTGAATAAACAATCTCGATAGTTTTATTTCCCTGCACAAGTATAAATATTAATTGTTTAATATTAATTAATTAAATTACGTTAATTAATATGTATTGATTAATTAATGGAATTTCTATTAAAATAATAATGAGCACAATAGTTTACCTCATCGGCTGCACCTTCGCAAACGCGACTTAAAAATGTAATTTTTAAAATATCAACAACACGTGATAGGATTATTATAACTGTTTGTTGCATTAAAGTGCTTGTTATCGTCTGTTGTTGTTCAATATATCGAATGTACAAAGCGTAGAGAGATACAGTTAGGAATATAATAGTTATTCCTATTTCAGAAGCTATCTGTACGCCGAAGATTATACATATTGTTTTTGATATTTTACACAATTCTAGATGAACTTGTCTAAAAAAACACTGTTTTTCAGACAATTAATTATAATATTCTTATATGAAAAATTCTTTGAAAATCTTTCTCTCTTTCTGTCTCTCATAATTTGATTTCACATGAAAAAAGTCGATTTAGATTATTAATATTTAACAAATTATTTCGTAAACAAAAATCACAAGAATCTTTGTCAAATATTTAAAAAATTTTTTATTGCCATTTAATCTTGTTTAATTTTTATTGTTATTTATTCATAGAAATTATTTTATAAATTTGATCTTAACAATTTACTTCATAATTTCTATACTCACTTGATTATTTGTAACATATACATATGTTTCTGATTTTTTGTCATTACGAAATTGTGTCTTTGAGTCTGATTTCGAAGTTCTTTTTGTAGTTGTTTCTGAAAATGAGATGAAAAATGTAATTAAATGTGCGATTTGACAAATCTTATTTTTTTTATATATATAATATTTTTTCTAAAATTGTACCTGGCGACAGTAAGATAATATCTTCATAGGAATCAAACACTTTTGTCGCTCAACATCCATGATTTTAGCATATTCTTTTATTTCAAAAAAGCCCAATTTTATTTCTTTTGTTGATAATGCTGATATACTTTCATATAAGAGTTTGTTAATCAATTCAAATTTTATTTGTAAGCATCTGCATAACGGCATATGTTAAACAATATTATTTTTTGAACGTTAATATTATTACATTTAATGTTGAACAAATGAGCAATAATCTACCGGCTAAAGTTACGAAACACACGCACACGCACACACACATACATATTATTACACATATATATATAAAATCAAAATAAACTTGTAAGTTGTTTATAGAGTTTATAAATTCATTAATAAAGTTAATTTACATACTTTACTAATATGTATAATTCGAAGATGATAATAGAATTGACAGTCAGCATATAAAATAGTTCGATTGCACAGCTGACTGTAGTAGATACATCTTGCTTTTTCGCAAACGCTACAATAAAGACCGTAATGCATGTAGATAAGTTGAACAGAAACCAGACAAACATTACACCGAGTATTATAAAATATATTTTATCATAATTTACTGCTGCTCCAAGCTGTCGCAATGTTTCGTCGGTCTCAAAGACTTTACTATAGCAAGCTTGAAATTTCTGCACAAATGTTAAAATTTATACAAAATATTACACAAAATATTTTTAAAAATATACATATAGTTGGTCGAATGACGCACTGGTTAACGTTTTCTGTATCTGTGTTTGATTCAGGATATTGTATCTTATATAGGATATTATTTTTTATTTCACACTTGCTTACCTTCGTATACCACCAACCTAGCAATAATTTAACAAAGATGAAATAATTAACAATGATGGCTAATTTTTCGTACAGAAAGTATTCTAGCTTGTGTAAACCAACACGTGAATCGTTTTCTTTTTGCAAATAACTTGAACCATAGAACAAACCATAAAGAAATAAAAGATAAATTAAGCTGAGTATAGGTCTTGGCCGACCACGAGGATATTCAAAAGCACGAAGTCCTATTAAACGGTTCAGAGTTATCACTGGTGCCATCGCTTCGCACAAGTTTTTTCGACGTGCAAATAGCTTCATAATTACTTCCTTTCTCGTATTATGTTCTTTAAAAATTTCAGTTACTCGATTTGAATATTCTTCTAGTTAGCTTTCAGTTGATTAGGTATCTGAGATATTTAAAATGAGATAAATATAGTTAATAATAACATATACATAGTAACAAGAAATTTTTGTTGATTTCCAATTTAATTAATTTCCCAACATCTAAGTACAAATGTATTTCGCTAACTTTGACGAAATTATTAACCAAATTTTGACGAAAAGAATTTCTTTTTGATAAAATTAATTATTTTACATTATTTGATCAATAATTTATTATTTATTCATGTTTTATAGTTTTAGTGCATATGGTTTTTTTTATTTCTTCATCTATTTATATTAATCTATTCACTTACGATCATTGTATATATGTCATGTAATTATACTGGATTAAGTCACTTTTTCACTACACTGTTGTCCTCGATTTCCTATAATTCGTAAGTTAAGAATCTATCTTTATGTGAATTATGTAAGGAACACATGAAAGCTCAGAAGTGATTATCATGAAGAACACAAATGTACTAATCGGGTGAACGAGAATGAACATATCGTGAATTTTGAAAAAATGACACAATTTATTATATATTTACAAGAGTCAACAATATGCGAAGCAATTATGACCAATTTGTTATATAAACGCTCTTATAGAACTCGCTTTTATTATTTTAATACTTTTAATACTTGAAATATAAAATTTTGCCGGCCCCGATGATAGCACGTGAAATGATTACTGGAAGAAGCCTTTACGCACATTATCGTTATTAACGCATCCTTTACCATGGTTACCGGTGACTAACACTGAACATTTTATGTTCTAGGTCATTTATGACTGTTATACTATGTGTTAATGCAATTATAATAACATTTGCAAGATTGCGACTTGCAATTATGATTGTAAGAGAAATGCGTAATAAATCAAGTACATTAGAAAGAAAATTAATTTATCTCTCAACGCTCTAGAAACGCTACTTGCGAATGATAGATCGTCAGTTTGAAGGAAAATTAATTGAAATTAATTTTTTATTAAGACTGATTAGTTGTGCACAGAACACATAATTTTCTTATTACTGTTGATTTTCTTATTACTGTTGATATCAATAAGTGATTAAATAAATCAAGAATGTTAATCATAATGTCGAATTAACGTGCAAAAGTATTTTTTTCTATTATTGTTATATTAATGGAATAAAAAAGCGCGTGCTACTTTCTATTCAATTAAGTATAGTTTAGTCAATTAGGTATTCCAAAATTTAGTACAAAGTCAAATTTAAAAATTTATTAGTACATCATTAGTTAAGTACTTCAAAGTTCACCAAATATAATTCTAATTAATAAAATTTTATAATTAAGCTAAAAATTAAAGAATTTATTTAATCTCTTACAGAGTTTATTAAAGAAACAAAAGGATTTACAAATTATACATTCTGAATAAAATAATTCTACATTGCTTTAGTTACATAGAATGTATGTTTATGATGTTTTTGTTTGACTGATAGACATTAATAATTTTACAATTTAAACTATATATTATTTTATATATTATTTCACAATTTAAACTATAATACTAAAATTTAATTGTTTAATTATATTAATATTTAACATTTTTTAATATAATTTTTATTAAATATGCATATCATGTATTTATAATTTATATTATACATTTTGAATAGTTTCGTCAGACTCCAATGAGTCGCTTACTTGTATCATGATAACTAAGTAGGTTGTTATAATTTTCAGCATCTATAAATAAGAAAAACATAATATTATTATATTAAATATAAATTTATTATATATTTTGATATATAATAATAATTAAAAATTATTTATTATGTGATATTGAACATTTAATGTTAAATTTCACATAATTAATCATTTTTAATTTAATATATATATTATCTATCTCTAAAATTTTCTTATCTTCAATCGAAATGAAATTATAAAAGCAACTTTTTATTTCATGATCCGTAAAAAACATTACTAAATTTTTTAAATATGTATATATATTTTGTTCGCAGCAAAAATTACCTGAAAATTATTTACAGTTTATAATAACTCAATACAATTCGATACAAACCATAGTTAGAACTTGATTATCCAAAAAAATACCATACGCAGAAAATCTCACCGGACTTTGCAATATTTGAATACCAAATTGCTGAATCTGAAATAATAATAAGTGAAAATTAATACCACGATGGATATAATAATTAAAAATAATATTTATGGAAGGTATTATATCACAAACAGACCTCTTCTTGCATACCAGATTCTGTATCACATCCGTAAATCGAATAAATAATCTCCATAGTTTTATTTCCCTGAACATATATAAATATTAATTATTTTATATTTATTAATTAAATTACATTAATTAATATGTATTAATTAATTAATTAAATTTTTAATAAAATAATAATGTATACAATATAGTTTACCTCATCGGCTGCATTTTTGCAAACGCGACTTAAAAATGTAATTTTCAAAATATCAAGAATACTTGTTAAGATTATTATAATTGATTGCTGCATTAAAATGTTTGTGAGCTTGTGCTCTTGTACATAAAACCGAATGTACAAATTGTAGAGAGTTCCCGTTAACAACATAATTGTTATTCCTATTTCGCAAGCTGTTTGGACGCCGAAGATTATACATATTGTTTTTGATACTTTACACAATTCTAGATGAACTTGTCTAAAAAAACACAGTTTTCAGACAATTAAAAATATTTTTATTTGAAAAATTCTTTAAAAATCTCTTTTTCTCTCTCTCTCTCTCTCATAGTTCTATTTCACAAAAAAGTTGATTTAGATTATTGATATTTAACAAATTATTTCGTAAGCAAAAATTACAAGAATCTTAATATCACATATTTCAAAAAATTTTTATTGACATTTGATTTGCTTATTTTTCATTTATAGAAATTACCTAACAACAATTTACTTCATAATTTCTATACTCACTTGATTATTTGTAACAGATACATATGTTTCTGATCTTCAGTCGTTACGAAATTGTGTCTTTGAGATCGATTTCGAAGTTCTCCTCGTAATTGTTTCTGAAAATGAGATGAAAAATGTAATTGAATGTGCGATTTGACAAATTAATTTTTTATATGTATATATAATATATTTTTTTTAATTGTACCTTTCGACGGTAAGATAATATCTTCATAGGAATTAAACAGTTTTGTCGCTCAACATCCATGATTTCAGCATAATCTTTCATTTCAAAAAAGCCCAACTTTATCTCTTTTGCTGATAATGCTGAGATACTTTTATATAAGAGTTTGTTAATTAATTTAAATTTTATTTGTAAGCATCTGCGTAACGGTATGTGTTAGACATTATTTTCTTAAACGTTAATATTATTACATTTATTCTTAAACAAATGAGCAATAATCTATCAACTAAAGTTAATGAAAATAAACTTCTAAGTTGTTCATAGAGTTTATATGTTTATTAATAAAGTTAATTAACATACTTTACTAATATGTAGAATTCGAAAATGATAATAGAATTGACAGTCAGGATATATAAATATGCCATTGAATTGCTGATTGCAGTATATGCATCTGTTTGCATCCACAATACAATAAAGACCACAATGCACGTAGTTAAGTTGAATAAAACCAGACAAACATTACACCGAGTATTGTAAATATATTTTATCATAGTTTATTGCCGATCCAAGTTGTCGCAATGTTTCGTCGATCTCAAAGATTTTCTTATAGCAAGTTTGAAATTTCTGCACATAAATATTAATTTATATATATTACACAAATAATTTTAAAAAATATACATATATAGTTCGTCGAATGATGTACGGGTTAACGTTTGCTTTATCTGTGTTTGATTCAGAATATTGTATTTTATATAGGATATTATTTCTTTATTTTACACTTGCTGCTTACCTTTGTGTACCACCAACCTAGCAGTAATTTCAAAAGGATCATATAAATAACAATAACTTCTGATGTATCATACAGAAAGTATTCCAGCTTCATTAAATGAACATTTGAATAGTATTCTTTTTGCAAATATCTTGAGCCACCACAGCACAAACCATAAAGAAACAAAGATAAATTAGGCTAAGTACAGGTCTTGGCCGACCACGTGGATATTCAAAAACACGAAGACCTATTAAACGATTTAGGGTTATCACTGGTGCCATCGTCTCGGCCAAGTTTTTGGACGTCCGAATAGCTTCATAATTACTTCCTTTCTCGTATTATGTTCTTTGAAGATTTCAGTCACTCGATTTGAATATTCTTCTCGTTAGCTTTCAGCTGATTAGGTATCTGAGATATTTAAAATAATATTAAGTTAATATTAATAACATACAGTAAATAAAAGAAATTTTTGTTGATTTCCAAAATAATTAATTTTTTAACATTTAATTGTAGAAGCTTTTTGCTAACTTTGACGAAATTATTAACCATATTTGACAAAAAATTTTTTTTTTATAAAATCAATTATTTTTCATTATTTGATGAGGAATCAATAATTTATTATTTATTCCTCATGTTTTAGTTTTAATGCGTTTAGTATTTTTTTATCTTTTCACCTATTTACATTAATTTATTCACTTACTATAATTGTATATGCAATGAGATTATATTTGATGTCACTTTTTCACTACACTTTTGTCCTGGATTTTCTATAATTCGTAAGTTAACAACTACCTTAATAAGTCATCTAAGGAACACATAAAAGCTCACAAGTGATTATTATAAAAAACTCAAATGTGCGCTAAACGAGTAAACAAGAGCAAACAATATATATTTACAAGAGCCAATGTACGCGAAGCAATGTGCAATTGTGTGTTTTATAAACGATCTCATGAAACTCGCTTTTATTATTTTAATAGTTTTATTATAATTATATAATTTTGCCGACCTCGTTGATAGCACGTGAAGTAATTACTGGAAGAAGGTTGTACGCACATTATCGTTATTAACACATCCTTCACCATGGTTACTGACAACTAACACTGAGCTTTTTGTGTCCTAGGTCACTTATGACTTTCATAATGTAGTAATGCAATTAATTACATTTGCAAGAATGTGACTTGTTTTTGTAATAGATACGCGTAATGAACCAAGTACATTAGTAAAAAAATTAATTTATCTCTCAACGATCTAGAAACGCTGTTTGCGAATGTTAAAGCGTCAATTTCAAGGAATATTAAATATCTCATTAAAACTGATTAGTTGTGCATAGAACACAAAATTTCGTTGTTATCGTTGATATCAATAAATAAGTATAAATAAATTAAGAATGTTAAACATATCAAAATATGACGTGCAAAAGTATCTTTTTTATATTATTTTTATATTAATGGAATGAAAAAAGTGCGTGTTACGTTCTTTTCAATTAAGTATAATTTGATCAATTAAGTATTCCAAAATTTAGTACAATGTCTAATTCTCAAATTTAATTAATTATACTGTATATTTAATGACTGAAGATAAAATGATTTATTAAATATCTCGCAAAATCTATTGAAGCTAAGAAAGGAATTTATTGAATATTCTGAAATAAAATATTAAAATAATTTCACATTGCTTTATTTTACAAAGATTTTATATTTACGACATTTTTGTTTCATAAATATTAATTCTTTTACAACATAAACTAGAAATTCTAAAATTTAATTATTTATATTAATACTTATAATTCCTTAAATATATGTATATTAAATATACAATATATATTTAATTGTAAGATTTATATACTATTGAAGTTGTTTAAATAGTTTTATTCGACTCCAATGAGTTACTTACTTGTATCATGATAACTAAGTAAGTTGTTATAACTTTCAGCATCTATAAATAAGAAAAGCATTTCATAATTAGATATCTGTACAATATTATAATTTAAATATATATTGATTATACAGTATATGTATATAGATATATAGCAATATTAAAAATTATTATATTGATAACATAATTTAATATATATTATCTATCTATAAACTTTTTTTTTTAATCAAAATTAAATCATAGAATTAGCTTTTTATTTCATAAATTATAAAAAACATTACTAATTTTTTAAAAATCGATACAAACCATAGTTAGAACTTGATTATCTAAAGAAATACCATACGCGGAAAATCTCACTGGACTTTGTAGTATTTGAATACCAAATTGCTGAACCTGAAATAATATTAAGTGAAAATTAATGCCATAATTAATATAATAATTAATAATAATAGTTATATAACCAATGATGAAAGTTATATATCGCAAACAGACCTCCTCTTGCACACCCGATTCTGTATCGCATCCGTAAATCGATTGAATAATTTCGATAGTTTTATTTCCCTGCATAAATATATAAATATTAATTATTAGTTAAATACCTCTATTGAAATAATAATATGAAAAATAAATTGCCTCATTAGCTGCAGTTTTGCAAAGGCGACATAAAGATATAATTTTCAGAATATTAATGATACTCAGTATGATTGTCACAGCTGTTTGCTGTGTCACATTGTTTGTGACTTCGTGTTGTTGTACAATATATCGAACGTAGAAATTGTAAAAATATACGGTGAAAAACAAAATCATTATTCCTATCTCGCAAGCTGTCTGTATGCCGAAGAGAAAACATACGTTTTTTGATACTTTACACAATTCTAGGTGAACCTGTCTAAAAAACATTTTTTAAACAACTAAAGATATTTTTTTAAAAAAAAAACTAATTTTTTCTTTTCTCTACTTCTCTTTCTTTCTTTCTTATAAAGTTCTATTTTATATCAAGAATAATTTGATTTCGATTTTAGATATTCAATAAATTGTTTCGAATTCGTAAACAAAAATCATTAATTTTAATGTCAAATATCTTATAATTTTGATATATTTAATCCTTTTGCTTAAATCTTATTGTTATTATATATTTATGCAAATTATTATACAACAATTTACCCTATAAGTTTTATACTCACTTGGTTACTTGTAACAGATACATATGTTTTTGACTTTCTGTCATTACGGAATTGTGTCTTTGTGATCGATTTCGAGGTTTCACTTGTAACTGTTTCTAGAAATGGAAAATGCAAATAAGATGGAAATTGTGATTGAATCTGCGATTTAATTATTATATTTTTCTGATATAGAAAATAAATATATATTATCCAAAATTATACTTGTTCACAACGAGATAATATCTTCGTAGGAAACAAACACTTTTGTCGCTCAACGTTCATGATTTTAACATAATCTTTCACTTCAAAAAAGCCCAACTTTATTTTTTTTGCCGATAATACTGACAAACTTTCATGTAAGAGTTTGTTGATCAGTTCGAATCTCATTCGTAAACATCTGCATAATGGTATGAGTTAGATATTATCATTTTTTTTAATATTAATATTATTAAATTTATTTTTATATAAAATGAGCAATAATCTATTGACTAGTAATATATGTTTCATATAAATATGTGTATATACAATATGTATATATATATAATTATATAAAATTAAAATTTCTAAGTTATTGATAGAGTTTATAAAGTCAGTTTACATACCTTACTAATATACAGAATTCGAGGACGATAATAGTATCGACACTTAATACATAAAAATATGACACTGTAGTGCCAATTGTACTATATACATTTGATTGCACCAACGTTATAAAGAAGACCACAGTGCATATAGAGAAGTTGCATATAGACCAGACGATCATTACACCGATTATCATAAAATACATCTTAGCATAATTTATTGTCGATCCAAGCTGTTGCAATGTTTCGTCGATCTCGAAAATTGTTCTATAGCAAGCTTCGAATTTCTGCACAAATGTTAATTTATACGATATAAAATATTCTTAAAAAATGCACATAATTCGTCGAACGGCACATTCATATGAGTTCACGTTTCTTTTATCTGTTATATAATTTCACAAGATATTATATATATATTTATTTCACATTCGCTTACCTTGGTATACCACCAACCCAGCAACAATTTAACAAAAACCAAATAAATGATAATCATTTCGAATATATTATACAGGACGTTTTCCAACTTTAGTAAACGAAGGTTTGCGTAGTATTCATCTAGCAAATACGTTGAGCCGACATAATATAAACAATAAAGAAACAAAAGATAAATCAGACTGAATATAGGTCTTCGCTGACCACGAGGATACTCAAAAGCACGAAGTCCCACTAAATGGTTCAGAGTTATTATTGGTGCCATCGCCTCGCACAAATTTTTTGGACGTGCAAATAGCTTCATAATTACTTCCTTCCTCGCGTATGATGATTCTTCGATTAAAAATTTGATGACTCAATTGAAATTTTCTTGAACCTTCAACTGAATAAGCATCTGCAATATTTAAAATTAGATAAATATAATTAATAGTAGCATACATATATGTGGAAACAAAATGGTCACTTTCTGTATTAATTAATTTCTCAACATCTTATAAAACAAGCATTTTGCAAACTTTGACGAAATCATTAATTTAATTTTGACGAAAAAATTCCTTTTTGATAAAACTGATTATTTTGTGTTATTTGATTGATAATTTATGTATTCTTCACGTCTTAGTGCATATAGTATATTTTTATTTTTTTCTTTACCTGATATTTACATGAGATTAATCTATCCATTTAATCATTTTATGCAGTGTGTTATACTTGACTAATATAGGTATATAAGTCAATCTACACAGATAGCGTGTCAAACTGTGTTGTGACAATCACTTTTCCACTATACTTTTGTGCTCGATTTTCCATAATTCGTAAGTTAACGATTTATAAAACATCTAAGGAGCACATAAAAGTTCACAAACAATTATCATGAAGAACGCACGTGTTTTGAATGAGCGAACGTAAGCAAACAAATCGTACATCTTGAAACGACCTATTTTATATATATATATATACACGAGAGTACACTGTGAGTGAACTAATGCGTAATTTGTTGTACAAATGCTCCCATAAGACTCGTTTTTATTATTTTAATGTTTTAATTATTTTAATTATGAAATTCTGTCGATCTCGATAACGACACGTGAAAAAATTACTGGAAGAAAACTACGCATATCGTTAACATTCATCACCATTTAATGTTGACAACTAACATCACACTTTCTATGCCTCGTAAGTCACCCGTAACTGTCATACTGTAATGTGTTACTATATAATATGTAATTATAATTTCATTTATAAGATTAAAGCTAATTTAATAGTAATATAGAAACGCGTAATGAACAAAATACATTAGTAAAAAAATTAATTTTTTTTTCAACGATCTAGAAAGACCCAGACGCAAATGGTATAGTACGTCATTTTCAAGGAAAATTAATTTTTTATTAGAAATTTAATAGAAAAAGTTCGCGATACTATCTGTTTAATTAAATATAATGTATTGAATTAAATAAACGAGGGTAGCAAAAAGTACAAATTTAGTACAAAATCTGATTCTAAAATTTTTATGGCTGAATAAAATACTGTATTATGTAATATTCTATACAATATCTTATTATAATAATATATAATATATAAAGTCTATTAAGATAAGAAAAAACATCTATTGAGTATCTTAAATTAAATAATTTCACATTACTTTATTTTACACAGCTTTCATATTTACGACATTTTTATTTGTTATACATTAATTTTTTTATTAATTTAAACTATAATTTTAAAATTTAATTATTTATATATATTATTAACAAATTTTTAAATATAATATAAATTTAAATATGCATATCATATTATACATTTTGAATAGTTTTATTCAATTCCAATGAGTTGCTTACTTGTATCATGATAACTAAGTAGGTTGTTAAAATTTCCAGCATCTATAAATAAGAAAAGCATAACACTATTATATATCTGCGTAATATTATAACTTAAATATATATTTATTATATATGTAGATATATAATTATAATTTAAAATTATTTGATATTGAAACATAATTTAATACATATATTATCTATCTACAATTTTTTTTATTTTTAATCTAAATAAAATTACAAAAGCAGCTTTTTATTTTATGATCCGTAAAAAACATTACTAAGTATTTTTAAATATGTATATATGTTTCATTTCCAGAAAATTATCTGAAAATTATTTACTTAAAATTAATAGTTTATAATAACTTGATACAATTCGATACAAACTTTAGTAAAAACTTGATTATCCAAAGAAATACCATACGCAGAAAATCTCACCGGACTTTGTAATATTTGAATACCAAATTGTTGAATCTGAAATAATAATAAGTGAAAATTAATGCCACGATGAATATAATAATTAAAAATAATGAAATGAATTTTATGAAAGGTGTTATATCACAAACAGACCTCTTCTTGCATATAAGATTCTATATCGCATCCGTAAATCGAATAAATAATCTCGACAGTTTTATTCCCCTGAACATATATAAATATTAATTATTTTATATTTATTAATTAAATTCCATTAATTAATATGTATTAATTAATTAATTAAATTTCTAATTAAATAATAATGTGTACAATAGTTTACCTCATCGGCTGCATCTTTGCAAACGCGACTTAAAAATGTAATTTTCAAAATATCAAGAACACTTATTAGAATTATTATAACTGTTCGCTGCATTAAATTGTATGTCATTATCTGTTGTCCAATATATCGAATGTACAAATTGTAGAGAGATACAGTGAGAAATATAATAGTTATTCCTAGTTCGCAAGCTATCTGTATGCCGAAGATTATACATATTGTTTTTAATACTTTACACAATTCTAGATGAACTTGTCTAAAAAAAAAAACAGTTTTTTAGGCGATTATAAATATTCTTATTTGAAAAATTCTTAAAAAATTTTTCTCCCTCTCATAGTTCTATTTCACACGAAAAAATAGATTTAAATTATAGATATTTAACAAATTATTTTGTAAGCAAGAATCATAAGAATCTTAATGTCAAATATTAAAAAAAATTTTTCTTGCCATTTGATCTTGTTTAATTTTTATTGCTATTTATTCATAGAAATTATCTTATAACAATTTACTTCATAATTTATATACTTACTTGATTATTTGTAACAGATACATATGTTTCTGACCTTCTGTCATTACGAAATTGTGTCTTTGAGACCGATTTCGAAATTCTCTTCGTAACTGTTTCTGAAAATGAGATGGAAAATGTAATTAAATGTGCAATTTGACAAATTTAATTTTTTTTATATAAATACTATTTATTTCAAAATTTTACCTGTCGACAGTAAGGTAATATCTTCATAGGAATTGAACATATTTGTCGCTCAATATTCATAATTTTAGCATAATCTTTCATTTCAAAAAAGCCCAACTTTAGCTTTTTTGTTGATAATGCTGACAAACTTTCATGTAAGAGTTTGTTAATCAATTCAAATTTCATTTGTAAGCATCTGCAGAACGACATGTGTCAGATATTATATTTTTAAACATTAATATTATTACATTTATTTTATATATATACACACATAATCAAAATAACTTTTAAGTTGTTCAGAGATTATAAGTCAATTTATAAAGTTAATTTACTTACCTTACAAATATGTTGAATTCGAAGATGATAATGAAATTGACAGCCAATTCATAAAAATATACTACTGTAGTGCCAATTGTTATATATACATCTGTTTGCATCCTTACTTCAATAAATACCATAATGCACACAGACAAGTGGACTACAAACCAAACGATCATTACACCGATTATTATAAAATATATTTTATCATAATTTATCGCAGATCCAAGCTGTCGCAATGTTTCGTCGATCTCGAAGATTTTTCTGCAGCAAGTTTCAAACTTCTGCACAATTAATTTATACAATACAGAATATTTTAAAAATTGCACATAGTTCGTCGAATGGCACACTAATCACACAAATTAATGTTTCCTTTTTCTGTGTTTTATTTATAAAATGTTATATATATTTATTTCACATTTGCTTACCTTTGTATACCACCAACCTAGCAGTAACTTAACAAATATCAAATAAATAACTATGGTTTCTAATGGTTTATACAGAAGGTGTTCCAGTTTCAATAAATTGACGTTTGAGTAATAGTTGTCTTCCAAATACATTGAGCCACTATAGTACAAACAATATAGAAACAGAAGATAAATTAGGCTGAGCATAGGTCTTGGCTGACCACGAGGATATTCAAAAGCATGAAGTCCCATTAAACGGTTCAGAGTTATCACTGGTGCCATCGTCTCGGCCAAGTTTTTCGGACGTGCAAATAGCTTCATAATTATTTCCTTCTGATTAGTTAAATTTTCATCTGATTAGACATCTGAGATATTTATTGAAATGAGAAATATTATTAATAATATTTTAATTAATAATTTGTTTTTTTTCTACGTCTTAGTGTATGTAGTATATTTTTAATTTTTTTTTTACCTGATATTTACATTAATTTAATTTATCCACTTCTTGTATGCAGCATATTATATTTGATTAATATAACTCGATCTACACTGATAATAATTAAGGTATCAGATATTATGGCAGTCATTTTTTCACTACACTTTTGTTCTCGATTTCCTATAATTCGTCAGTTAATAATCTGCTTTTGTAAAACATCTTAGGAGCACATAGAAGCTCACAAGCGTATGTGAAAAACACAAGCGTGTTAAACGAGCGAACGTAAGCAAACAAATCGTGGACTTTGAAATGACATATTATATAAGAGAGTCAACTGTATGCAAAGTAACTGTGTGCGTAATTTGTTGTACTCTCGTAGTACTTGCTTTTATTAATTTAATTATTTTAACTTGAAGTAGAAAATTCCGTTAGCGTCGATAACGGCACATGAAATTATTACTGAAAGAAGATAACGCGCGCACATTAACTTTATTAACACATTCATCACTATGATACGCTGGCGACTTACACTGAGCTTTCCGTGCTTCGTAGGTCACCGGTGACTTTCATATTATAATATCTTAATATGCATTTAATTACACTTGCAAGATTGTGAGACTATTTTAACTGTAATAGAAACGCGTAATAAAGAATGTATATTTAGTTAATTTAATCATCTAGAAAGACGGTAGTACATGGTTTCAACGAAAATTAATATTTCATTAAAATTGATTAGTTATGTGTACAGAGAATTTTTTAGCTCAATATTAAGTAATTATATAAATAGGGAAAATTAAAAGTATAAATATGACATACAAAAATATTTATTTATTATTATTATTATTTATAAAAAAAATGTGCGATACTATTTCCAATTAAGTAGTAATATATTTCAAAATTTAGTACAAAGTCTAATTCTAAAGTTTTAATAGCAAAAGAATAAAATTGAATATTTTATTGAATAGTCTGAATAAAATAATTCCATATCTGTTTTATGTTATATAATTTTTATATTTACGATATTTTTGTTTAATGTTTAATACATTATTTGTTTTAAAATTTAATTAAAATTATAATTCTAAAATTTAATTATTAAAAATTAACATTTATAGTTTCTTAAATACAATATAAATTAAATAAATTAATTGTATATTATATTTAAAACTTATGTTACATTTGTAATCGTTTTATTCGACTCCAATGAGTTGCTTACTTGTACCATGATAACTAAATAGGTTGTTACAATTCTCAGCATCTATAAGTAAAAGCATAACACTATCATATCTGTACGATGTTATAAATTGTACACACACATGATATATATATATATATATATATATATATATATAAATTATCTATATATGAAATATATTAGATTAAAAATTTTTTTTAATTTTATATATTACGTTTCCAAAAAATTAACAAAAAATTATTAATTAATACAAAATTAGCAATATATAATAACTCGATACAAACCATAGTTAGGACATGATTATCCAGAGAAATACCATAGGCGGAGAATCTCACTGGACACTGTAATATTTGAAGACCAAATTGTTGAATCTGAAATAATTGAAAATGATCATTAATGCTATAATTGATATAAGAAGTAGTAATAATAGTTATATAATTAATGTTGAAAGTTGTATGTCGCAAACAAACCTCCTCTTGCACACCAGACTTTGTGTCACATCCGTAAATTGAATAAACAAGCTCAATAGTTTTATTTCCCTACAGAAATATAAATATTAATTACTAATTAAATTTCTAATAAAATAATAATAAGCAAAATAAATTACTTCATCGGCTGCACGTTTGCAAACACGACTTAAACATGTAATTTTCAAAAATTGAATGCCACTCATTAAGATTGTCACAGTTAATTGTTGCATCAAACTGTTTGTAAAAGATTGGTGTCCTTGTGAAAAATATCGAGTGTACAAATTATAGCCAACCCCAGTAAGAAACATAATAATCACTCCTATCTCGCAAGCTGTCTGTACACCAAAGATAATACATAGTGTTTTTGATAATTTACACAGTTCTAGATGCACCTGTCTAAAAACCAATTTTTTAAGTTAAAATATTTGAAAAAATTTTCAATCTCTCTCTCACACACACAGTTTTATTTTACACAAAAATTTGATTAAAATATTCAAATTGTTTCGTAGACAAAAGACAAAAATCACAAATCTTAATCTCAAATATTTTAAAAATGTATTGACACATTTAATCATTCAATTTGATTATTCAATTTTTATTGCTATTAATTATAGAAATTATTTTACAACAATTTATTTCATAATTTCTATACTCACTTAGTTGTTTGTAATAGATATTTACGTCTTTGACATTTTGTCATTACAAAATTATGTTTTCGATTTCGAAGTTCCCCTTGAGACTGTTTTTGAAAATAAGATGAGAAATTCGATTTGATTGAATTTTGTTTTTCTGATACAGTAATATTTTTTCTGTGGTGCAATTGTCGACAACAATGAGATAATATATTCATAGAATATAAACTCTTTTGTTGATCAACATTTATGATTTTAACATAATCTTGCATTTCAAAACAGCCCAATTTGATCTCTTTTGCCAATGACACTGATGAACTTTCATGTAAGAGTTGGTTGATCAACTCAAACCTCGTTAGTACGCATCTGTAGAACAATATGTGTTAGATATATTTTTTATTTTAATATTATTTCTTTTATTTTTATTTAAACGAGCAATAAATCAAGACTTAGCTCACACAAACAAATAATTTCTTATAGTTTTAATCTTAGTCTTAATTTTAGCTTTAAATTCTTACGTTCTAATTGAGAAAGAGAATACATATTTGATTAGATTAAACTTGATTCAAATAAATTTCGGAGTTTACAAAGCTAGTTTACATACTTTACAAATATGTAGAATTCGAAGATGATAACAGAACTGACAGCCATTGAGTAGGAATATACCACAATCGAGCCGACAGTTCTATATGCATCTGAATGCGCCCGCATTACGATGTAGACCACAACACATGCAAAGAAGGTGAATGAAAACCAGATAACCAGTACTCCGATCGTTATAAAATATATTTTATTATAGTTTACTGTTGCTCCAAGCTGTCGCAATGTTTCGTCGATGTCGGAGATTTTTCTGTAGCAAGCCTTGAACTTCTACAAATGTCAATTTATACAAATGTTTTATTTGCAATATATTATATGTACAATATATTTATTTCATACTTGCACAGTCGAAAAATTTATGTTAAATTTAACAGATACCACATGTCCCAAATGGTCCACAGAAATTTTCGTGTTAATTTAACATAATATGGATATGTTGAATGAAAATACAAAATTGTGTTAATGTTTTAATATAAAATAAATGCGAAATTTCAAATAATTTAAAATAAATTTTGTGTAAAATTAACATATTTTTAATGTAAAAATTAATTAAAAATATGTTAATTTTAGATTTTATCATCTCTACTTATATTATAAAATAGAAAATCAAATTTTTTTTCGGTAAATTTTAACAGATAAATCTTGTCACTAATAAAGCAGAACATATTTATTTGTGTAAAATTAAACATAGATACATATTGTTTTATTTTTACATATTTTTTCAGTTTTAAATTAACAATTAAATTCAATTAATAACAGCAATATGTTAAATTAACAAAAAATTTTAACAGAGACCGTTTTTAACAAGAAAACAAATTTTTCTACTGTGTATGCTTACCTTCGTATAGTACCAGCCCAACAACAGTTTAATAATGATCAAATAAGCAACAATATAATCCAACATTTTGTATAAAAAGTATTCCAGCTTTAGTAATTTAATACTCAAGTAATATTCTTCTTCCAAATGCCGAAAGCCAACATAGTACAAACAGTATAGAAGCAGAAGATAAATTAGGCTAAGTATAGGTCTTGGCCGGCCACGAGGATATTCAAAAGCACGAACTCCCATTAAATGATTTAGAATTATCACTGATGCTACCGCTTCAGTCAAGCATTTTGGACGTTTAAATAGCTTCATAATTCTTTTGTTCCCCATATCGTGTTTTTTGATTAAACATTCGATCTCTCGTTTAAACGATCTTGTCTCGAACTTTCAGGTGATCGAGCATCTGAGATATTCAAAATCAGATAAATATGATTAATGATAGCATATGCGAAAATAAAATAGTTTTTTGTTGATTTCGTATTAATTAATTTTTCAACATCTTACAACAAAACGAACAAACTTTGAAATCATTAATCTAATTTTGAGGAAAAATGTCTTTTTTGACAAAACTAATTATTTTGCAATATTTGATTACTAATTTGTTTATTTTCAATATTTTAGGAACATGTAGTATATTTTTATATTTTTTTTACTTAATATTCACATTAGTTTAATCTGTTCACGTTTGATCATTGTATGCAGCATGTTAAAGTTGACTAATACAAGTCTACACAAATAAACGTGTCAGATCGGATAATGTTGTGACAGTCACTTTTTCACTGCACTTTCGTCTTCGATTTCCCCATAATTTGTAAGTTAATGATCTACCTTTGTTAAACTAGGAGCACATGAAAGCTCATAAACGGTTATCACAAAGAACGCAGGTGTGCTAAACGAGCGAATGTGAGCAAACGAGTCGTGGACTTTGAAGCGATCTATTATATATCTACACTAGAGTCAACTGCCTGCGAAGCAATGAGTAATTTGTTGTGTAAATGCTCCCATAGGGTTCGCTTTTATTATCTTAATGCGTCATAAGGTACTGTCGATCTCGATGATGACACGTAATAATTAGTAGAAGAAGATTGCGCCCACAATCATTAAACGTATAAAAATTACATGAGAGATATCAGAATAGAGATGTATGAATTAATTGATAGCAATCTATCAATTTAGTATAACGATCTACAAGATCAAAAATATATATTGGAGTAAGATTCTAAAATATGTTTTTTTCATAATATCGATTTTTATATTATTCTTCTAAAGGGAATTTTTTCATTTTATCTTGAAAATTATTTCTGGAAAATAATTGAATAATTTAAAAGCGTAATTTAGGGACTTGATGGTAGTGATAAGCTGATTAATACATAAGAGAAAATTATAACTTTATAATTTATAATGTTATATTTTTATAATATTTTTCTTGAATACATACAATACACATCGGATCGGATGACTCATATGATTGATTATACATGCTAATTATACATCGCAGCATAAACACATCGTTAGCATAGCATTTGCTAACACTGCAAAATTATTATTATTAAAAAGAAAAAAGAAAATTATAATTGAGATGTATGAGAGAGCATTTAGATATAAATTTAGATATAAAACTCATAATTATAGAAAATACATTATCTATGAATAGTAAATAAACAAATTAATAAATATTGTCTGATTATATTCATACGATCGATATTTTTAATTGCTTGTCCGTGAAACATACAGATAAATTCTTTTGTGTAATGGTTCATCACTTATATCGCCATTATTATTCGTCCACTTTTTATACCACCTATTAATCTGTTTACATATGTGATGAAAAATGGATGATCGCGTGATAATGTTGTCTCTTCCTAAAGTGATATCGAGTGTTGATTTACCGAAATGAAATAATATCTAATTAGCTTAACTGATTACTTGATCATTTCGAAAAATACGAGCAAACAAACTATATGTCAATAATGATGCCATTAATTTTACTTTTATTCAATTGTTTATTTCTGTGTTTATGTCACTCTCATTATTCGCCCAATATCAAGCAATTTTCTACTTTGTTAGATGTTATAAAACAATTATACAAAATTTATATATGTAAAAAAATTAATATCATTTATCATTTATATAAAAAATAAATAAACATTACAAAGAATTGACAGTAGAAAAAGAGAAGAGAGAGGAAAATCTTAGAAAAGACATGTAAAGTCAATTAAATGAAAATGACACAATTCTCTCAAAAGCGTTTAAAAAATTATTGTTCCTTCTTTTGAAAAACAAAACAAAATGTAATATATTATTTACGAATAGGTTGAATATAATTACCATTATAAAGATTGCGTATTTTAACAGCTCAGAATTGATCAACAACTCAGCAGTGAATATTTTTATATGATTTTATTTGTTAAATATAAATTTTATATCAACTATATGTCTATCTTTGAAGCATATTAGATTATGACTTATTTTGAATGATTGCTTTAAATTTATTTAAACACACACACACACACACACACACTTACACATTGTATAATTTTATATAGATTGAATAACATATGTTTATATACATTAATATATGTATTTTTACTTTTATGCATCGACAAAAATGATTGTTTTTAATACTGAGGTTTTTTTAGCTGGAGTTTATTAAATATATAGTGTAAAGAAATAAATGCAGTATCTTTCATAATTTTATAGTTATTTTAAAAAATGTATATAAATTAAATTAATTTAATAGCTGAAAGTAATTCCGATATTTATATCTTCGATTTTTTACATAAATAAATTTTTTTTCTAAAGCTCATCCGTCTTTTTGCAAGCGAGCAAATTTCAATCGCAATTAATCAATCAATCTCACAAAGATCTCCGAGTGATCGAGCCGAATCAGTTACAATCGCATTTGCAGAGAAACGAGAAACGAGAGTTGCAAGGCGACGATCCGTGAAGTTGGTCTCCTCATCGGCAATTCCATTCTTTTTCACTTAAGCACGAGCCGTATAATCGACGGCGATCGGATACACGGACTGTCGAGGGTTGTAAGAGTATTTGGAAGAACGCGGAGGGTTAGAAATCCCGTGGGGAGTTGCTCCATTGTTCAGAGGTGGCCCACTAATCTTCAGGAATCGAAGAGATTCGACAATATCGACGATAAAAACAGCGCGATCCTGCAGTTGGTGCACTTGTGTAATTCAACGATCGTATATTGAATGGTCAACGAATTTATTGAACGATGACAAATCCCTTTGGATATAATTAAACACTGGTGCTAATCAATTGAAATTATTTTAAAACCTATCGGAAGATGATTTTGCGTATAGACCAAAGTTTGCGCGAGTGCAATTATAAGTGCAAGCATGCATTTGTTGAGCTTTTTCTAAGTGTATAGTTATATATTACAGTGTTGATTTAATTCACAATATTCTCTAATTAATCTTTATGTTTTATTGTTCTCTTCTTGTTCTTGTCACAAAATGAAAACTATGTATTCAACTTGTCTGCAATTTCTTCTTCACTATTTTATGTTTTCAATTGCGCTAAAATCTCTCTACTTTTCTAATATAATATAATTAAGCAAATATTCTTTCTTTTTGAATTTCAAATAAATATTTGATCAGTTCATCGACAACATCGGAATAAGCTAATGGAATCATCTGCGATCTTCTGACATCAAATCTGTTCTTCACTTCCGTCGATCGGGACGCGTCCAAGTTCAAGCTTGGAGGACATGATTGAGGTAAGCGATGTAGCAGATCGCCAGTCGAAGTATCTCGATTTTGGAGAGCTTCTTGTCCGGTGGTAACGTCGGCAGCAATTTTCGCAGTTCCGCGAATGCCAGGTTGAAGGCCTCCACCCTGACTCTTTCCCTGGCGGAATAAACGCTGTCGTGAGCAGCTACACGGAAAAAAGAATTAGTTACCATAGCTCAATTTTAGCTATCCATATATCATAACTTGAAATTTAGTTAGTTATCATGCACAGAGAGAATGTTCTCTTCAAATTTACCCTGAAAATCATGGTAATCTAAGACAATATAATATTAAAAGAATTTTATAAGAGTTTCTCTAATTAATATTCACCACAATAAAAATATTAATATCTATTACATAAGATATAAAATATGTTCGATTAATTTTTACCGTGCACATATTAATATTTTTATTGTGGTAAATATTAATCAGAGAAACTCTTATAAGATTCTTCCAATATCATATTGTCTTACTTAGATTATCATAATTTTCAAGGTAAATTCTAAGAGAAAATTCTCTCCGTGCGCCTAAATTTTAGCTAAGGTAACTAATATTTTTAGCCATAGTTTAACGGAGAATGTTATAGTTAAAAAATATTAGCTGTCATAGCTCAGGCATGATAACTAAATTTCACGTGTAATATACAGTATCCTCCATAAGTTTGAAAACACCTTACATTTTACAGTTAAACAATCGTATGGCAGCGATCTGTGTAGATTTTTTGTAATCAATAAATCGTAAAATATTTAAATAACATTTTTATTTATGACGCAGATCGCTGCCATGCGATTGTTTAACTGTAAAATGTAAAGTGTATGCAATAAATAACAAATGTCCATTTATAAGACTGTTTTTTGTTATCACGATTAATAATATTTCAAACAATATACTGATAAAAAACATTCCATAAAGTTTATATTCTTGCATGTTACGAATATCTAATTAATCCTTAGTCCCGACGGTTCTTTTCGGCACCTTTAATCCCGACTCATGGGTCGTTTGCGTCTTTGCGTTATTTGGATCAGTAAAAACGCTTTAAAAAATCTGAAGAAATTCATGGAGCTTCTTGCAACCTTCAACTTGAAATCCCAATCATAATATTTCAATAAAAAATTTTTTTTTATATAGTTTGTTATTAAAAAAATGGAGGTACCTAAGGAAAAATCACTTGTTCGTTTGGGTCGCAAACGACCCATGAGTAACCCGGGACTAAGGGTTAAAGAATATTTCTTTCGAGAATTTTTCTCTGAAATTAAGAGGACTCTTTTGACAGATCTGTGCAGATTTTTCGTATAAATAAATCATAAAATAAACATCAAATATTTAAATGACATTTTTATTTGTAACAAATCGCTGCCATGCAAAATTCTTCAACTGTAAAATGTAAGGTGTTTCCAAATTTGTGGAGGGTACTGTATGGACAGTTAAAATTTCGCTATGGCTAATTTTTTTCCGTGTGCAGCATTCCTTGCTCCTGTACGAAATTCCAATGCTGCATGCCCTTACCGTGTGGCGTGCGCGGTTCGATATTTCTGGGTGGCTCTTCTTCGCCTGCGCCTCTCCTCTCTAGACAAGGTGCCCGAACCAGGAGGACTCACCCCATTAACGGGGATCCCGTGGCCGCCGTTCGCCATCGATACCGCTCTGTCCTCGCTCGCGAAATCGCAATTGAAGCTCTTCATGTGCCTCGACCGCGATACGAGAACGTGCCTTTCGAAGGGATTTAATCTGAATCTGTCGCGAAAGATTGTCTTCTCACCTTCGCCGTCGTGGAGCACCTTCGCAAGATACACCTATTCGGGAATTCGTAATTTCGCTTTCCATAGCACGAGGCTGTAATTATAGTCGTAATAACCATTGAAGGAGTACGAAATAATATATGTAGGTATAAGCGGGAAAATTGAGTTTTTGTCGCGCAACTTGCGGTTTTAATTTTAGAAACACTTTATCTGATTAATCTCCAATTTGTCGGTCGATTAGTGTATTACTTTTCGCTAAGGAAAAGCTGTGTTTGAATTTATCACATCATTTATCATTGGAATATAGCAATAGGGGATGTATAATATCGAGTTTATTATTAATTTAATTACTTTGCAGTTTATTTATATAGATATATATTTTGTGACATTTTATTCACTAATGCAGCTTTCGAGCAAAAAAACATTAAAATACATCATATAATTATAAATAATATAATTAATAATATATTTGTTATATAAATATATCATCGCTAAAATTTATAATTTTAAATTATTTAGTGTTCAGAAAGTATATATTATTATATCAGCATAGGTGTAAATAAATAATAATTAAATTTTTCGGAATGGTGAGACTCTAGGGAATTGAAAGAACGTCGGAAAATGCAGCGCAAAAGGGTTTATTCTAAGAATATTGGGGTTCGGTCAGCGATAATTGGATAGCAAAATATTTGCCAAGTACACAACCGTAACTTAAGTAATAGAATTAAGGCTTCATATAAAAGAATAAAACCAGACGACAAGTTTTCAGGAAGCGGAATATTACATTAAAAATTTTTCGTATACAAAAGAAAGCGTAAATTTTCAAAGATGCTGAATTTTATCGTGTCACTGAAACGGTCTCGATTTGATGTCGATTTATGGGAAAGATGTTGCATTATTAAAAGAAACGCGGTTCACGGTCTGCATAAATGACGCGTTCTTTCATCAAGTATTGACGAAAAAGAACCCCGTATCCTGTTCGATCTGAATCTCATGGTAAACCGGCAATTTGTATGAGCGTTCACCTCTCTCTTCGATTTTTTTCTTTAATATTTCAGAGAAGACTACCAGATTTCAGACGACAAGTCTTCCCGACGCTTCTTGTAATATTTATCGTAACACTACTATCCGACAAATCGGCACGATTCCCTATGGATATTTTTTATTTTTACGATTTCACATCATACATTTTGATGTCAACTCAGTTTTGTCGAGAAAGCATTTCATAATTTTTAGAAAATTTATACATAAAATTTCCTTAAAACATTTATACATAATATTTAAGTTAAAAGATTTATAATCTCATGGTACTTAAGCAAAATTTAATCAATAAGAAAAGACTGCATAATAATAAATTTAATTTCTAATTAGTGTTTAATTAAAAATGAAAGTTAAAATTGATTATCTAAAAATGTAAAAAAATTGTCGAGTAATATCTACGATAGACTTTATTTTTGATAATTTTTATAAAATATAAAATCTATACGTTTCTTTTATAAATTAATACAGATTAGTACGAATAATTATTTAAGAGTATCGCTATATAATAAATAAATATTTTAATTACTTTTTACTCACCGCACACAAGTTTCTACGACAGGAAAAACTTTCGACATTGCCAGTCTTATCCGATTTGTGGCAACATAATTCTTCCCTCACTCATCTCATATTAAATAATTCGACACCAAATTATCCGATCACTTTTCATTAATTTCAACACGAAAAGGTCCACAGATTTGAGATCAGAATTCGCTGCAAACCGGCATCGCGATTAGATCGACCTCGATTGTTCAACTTATCCGCGGCAATAAGATTGCTTCTGGCAATATCTCGATCTCCTCAGCCTCGACGAGATCGTCGGAAGAGACAACGGCAGCATCCCTGTCGGGAGAAAAGGGAAGGGCGAAGTTTGGTACTCAGCTCGCGGGTAGGGGTTGTTTCATCCCCCGTAACCACGCCCTTGGTCCCGGCATTGTAGGCTCCCTTGCCCTCCCGTTTTCCCAGCATCCCTGACAAGCACCCCGAGAATTCTCCAATGGACAACCGAGAGATATCCCGACAATCCCGCCCCGACACCTGATGCCACGTCGCCATTTCGCCGCATTTCGCAATTCACGTGACAGTATTTTACAGCATCCCGGATACACGAACCGTTTTATTGATCATTCGTTGTCCCGTAGCTAAAATGTCAGTTTTTTGGGAGGAAATTTGTCGTCGTTTCTTTTTTTTCGATGCGATAGAATTTTGGTGCTAGATACATATACGAAGATATCAAATTTAATTATTTTTTATATTAGCCTATCTCGTTTATATTCTATCTGCTAATTGGAATCTTTCGTAGAAAGATTTTGCAGAGATCCATTTAATTACAGACACGTCCTACTGTTCATGGCTCTAATAGCTGAATAATAACGTATTTAATTCGCGTGACTAAAAGCCATTGACGCTATTTTCTTTTTTTTTTACGTCAGTGATCAACTCGAGATACTGTCAGACGTGAAATTATACAGATTAACTGAGAAGGCGCGACTATATTATCCAAAATTTAAAAATATGGAAACGCGTTTAAATTCTTGTAATTAAAATTATAAATAGAACTTGGGGAGTACAATAATATAAGATTACATTATTATATAAAATTATATTATATTATGTGTAATCTAATTTCGTCAATAATTTTTTCTTGCTTTTATACGATTGTGACATTTATTTATTTGTCACCTAAAAGCAAGGAGGAAAAATAATAAACCAGGAAGGAAGATAGATTTGTCGGAGTAATATGGATTTCTTCGGAGGATCAGGTGGCGGATGGGTCGCATCTGTGCGATTCGACTATAATAATAATAATCCTCCCTTGTTTCATTGTAGAATATTTCTATATAAAACCAGAATCCCTTCGTTTCATTCATACTTCATAATAACATATATTTACATGTAGCCAATCTCTTTATATTAGAAAACGTGTTAATGTCTCGAATATTTTGACATATTTCGATTAATAAGAAAGGGTCAAATCTACGATGACGTTGTTAATTTTGAGTCCATCTTTTTTTCTTATAGAATGCATATATTCTTGTATATTCCGCGACGTGTATTATCTTATATATACATACATATATATATATATAAAACTTGTGTGTTCGATGTCAACATAATCGAAGAAGGAGAAAGTAGAGCCACCCTCTCTTTAAAAAAAGACACGACCACGGAACTCGCAATTATTCAAATTAGTCAATAGGAATTTAATCTACTTTCAAGCCGATAGAACATTACGCAATCAACACCTATCTCAGAAATTGCACGCATATCGGGGGCTGACACGTGCAACCAGGACTCAACAACAAGGAGTCGCGTGCGTTGCACACGACCGATGATTCTCTAATCAAGAACGCAGCACACTCCCTGTTTCGACACACCCGATTAATGTCTTTTGCGGTCATGAGATAGTTCACACCTTGTTACTACGATGACAATTCCTTTTGCATGAACCCTTTCATTTCTTTTTTCCGTTTCCTTCTATTGTATGCCAAACATATGTATATGTTTGTATCAATTATTGATAACAAATATTATTATAATAGGAATATAAAATTTTAACATATTGCTTAGCGTTTATATAAATTAATTAATAATTCATTTTTTATGTCACTATATTTGCATGGAATACAATAATATTGCAAAGCGGGTTTTTCAGTCTTTCATTTATAGCATATTTTTCTCATTGGATTTATAGTATACTATTATTGCACATATAATAAAAAACTTTGTTATTAAATTAACATTATTGTTAAATATTAAACATATTTTACATATCCTGAATTTATATACGAACTTCAGCAATGAAAAATTATGTGAAAATATAACTATCCTTGACTTCTTAGTTATCCTGATATTTTTGGTATAATATCATACATACATCATTATTCTGATGATTATTATTAAAAATTTGTTGAATTAAGCAATTATTATTTATTTTTATACTAATCATAAAATAGTATCAACACAGTAATATGAAATTCGATTTTAATTCGTTAAATGCTACGTACAATTTAGCAAAACATATTTCTATGTTTTATATAATTTAAAAAATTAAAAAGATAATGAACAAAGAAAAATATGTACTTATGATAATTAAAAAAAGAATAAAACAAACGAAGCTAATCTGAAACGGTGGCAGCACAAACAAGAGCAGCACAATTAAAATAATCGATACTGAATGGAGGAACTTATCAAGGGAACATATTATAGTCTTACCTTCATAAGATTAAACTTTCAAAGTTACGACTATTTCCGTATGTTAATAAAAAAGTATTTAAACTCACAAGATAATAAACATTTACATCAGCGGACATTTACATAAATATTTTAATAATAATTTTTTTAAAATTTATGGTCTTGTGTTTCACATCAAAAATTATATATAAAAACACTTTTTAATTATTTTCTGTAATACAAAATGCTTTGTGATATTTTTTAATTAATAATTATATATCATATTGTTTAAGAAACATAGTATATTTCGTGAATACATATTTTATAATACATTATGAAATATTTCAACATAGAATAGTGTTCTTAACAACATGTAGTACATTTGTTTATATGGCAGCTTTTTTGAACATTTATTCGATTTGCATTTAACATTTATTCGGACAATAAAATAGCGATATGAGACGCTCTGTCCATCTTGACGAATTTCTTCTCAAAACGCGATCATAAAATTCGAGATATAATTTATTACAATACATTATAAAATATTTCAACATTGAATAGTGTTCTTAACAACATGCAGTACATTTGTTTATATGGCAGCTTTTTTGAATATTTATTCGATTTGCATTTATCATTTATTCGGACAATAAAATAGCGATATGAAACGCTCTGTCTATTTTGACGAATTTCTTCTCAAAACGCGATCATAAAATTCGAGATATAATTTATTACAATACATTATAAAATATTTCAACATTGAATAGTGTTCTTAACAACATGCAGTACATTTGTTTATATGGCAGCTTTTTTGAACATTTATTCGATTTGCATTTAACATTTATTCGGACAATAAAATAGCGATATGAGACGCTCTGTCCATCTTGACGAATTTCTTCTCAAAACGCGATCATAAAATTCGAGATATAATTTATTACAACTATTACAATTAACGTTTAATTAATTTTTAATGACAGAACATTGTATCGTAATAATAGTTCTTTATCGAAGTATGTATTCCATAAGGTATTAAATAATTTTTTCATTAATTGATTTCGTAAAAATTATGAAAAATTAAAAATTAAAATTATTTGTAGTAAAAAAAATTTAAATTTATTTTTAGAAAGTTTAAAAACAATAAAAGCTCGACAAATTATTCTCATTATTAAAAATTTTAAGCATATTTAAGTGACAAATACTTATCAAAATAGATTTTAATTTTTTTAAGAGAATTTATGTAATAGCTATTGACAATGAAAAAGTTAATTTGACATTTTACAAAGAAAATAAGCGATAAACTTCGAGAATTTTAAGAGAACATTGATATATCGATTTAATATGCTTTTATTAAGAATAGATAATCGATTGTTATCTATATGACTTTTTCATTAATATTCTTATACTAGTAAAAATTTTTTATAAGTAGATTATGGGAATACCTACAATTTTATTCAGCATCGAGATAGTTGATAGAATCTACTTAACATCTTTCGTTGATAACTTCTTCATTACGGTGTGAAGTACCATCATTACATTCCGATCGATACTGCTTTCGGTTGATTCCATTCTCTAAATTTTTTGGTATTTCTCGAAGGACAAATACGAATTAAATAAATAAATCGACCTTCTTCTTTGATTGAGTCCTCCATGCTTGTCGCATTTCCTCTATGACTTCGCTGTTTAGCAGACAATACAGTAAAGACACGAGAACACCCTAGAAAAATAAATACTGTAAGTGTCTGCACAAATTAAAAAAAAAAAAAAATAAATTCTTTCGCATATGCGATAAATACCTGATAGGACACAAATAGCTCTTTGCAAAAGTATAACCACATGAGTGCGACACTGAGATCTTCAAAGAAATAATATCCAATATGGCAAATATTCTGTATTCTAAGAATCAGTAGTATAAGCATAGATGCTTTTGCGCATGCCCTGAATTAAAAATAAACAAAAATGTCCATAGTAATTATACCGCCGAAGAAATATATTTTTTTAAATTAAATATTATATGTGTATGTGTTTACGCATAAATAAATTATTATTGTAACAATTTTTATAGACTGGTAATTAAAAAAGTTAATTAAAATAAATATATCATACTAACTTATTGCTCATCACTGCCTTTCCAAACAGAACGATGTAGATTAAGAACAGGAAATTATACTAAAGGAGAAAAATGACATAAGGTAATTTGAAATATTTATACAATTTAAATCGACGTCGCGTAAAATACAATAAACATACCAACATTCCTACGGTGAGTGGTATATGTACGGCATAGAATGCTGAAGGGGTTAGCCACTGGGTAGACCAACAGGAAATGTCTCCAATAGTTTCCTGTATTATGATCAATGTCACTACTATCAAGACGGGAAGACCTATTTAACAAAATTAAATTTGAATAAGATACGGTATAATAAAATTTTAAAGATTTCGTAATCTTGAAAATTTATCTCACCCCAGCCTAATATGATATACCGAGTTATTTTACTCGGGTCGACATATAGCGGTTTGGAAATTAGTTTACAATTAGATAGATACAACACCTCCATCAAGATCCACAAGTAGCTTGCCACATTGAAATATTGCCACAAACTCACGAGAGCCTTATAGATCCAATTCTAACAATATTGATTAATAAAACTTAGAATTATCAGTAATAGAGTTTGAGAAAAATAGAGACCTAATTAAAATAATTTAAAGTATCGCTTTTATACCGAGAGAAATATTTCGATGCAAATTCGTATGATTGATTAATATGATAATAACTAATCTTAGTAAATATATTGGAGACTATTTAATAAAAATTATTTTTTTCTCGACTATATAATTAATTTTTAGAGAGATATTAATAATAAATTATATAATAATAATAATAAGTGTCCTTTACATTGCGTTTCTGCATAACAGCATCGTATTCGTTGACAAAGATGAAGTCCAAATTCATTCCAAGTTTATCAATAAAAATCCAATCCTTTAAAATGATTATGAAAGTTTTCATCATAAGAGACACAAATAGGTGCATGTCCAGTTTAATTTTGGGATTCTTGAGTTTCCTACGAATTAACAATGAATAATTAACGTAAACTTTCAATGAAATTGAAAAGAGAATGAAAATATGTGTGTAGTTAAATAAAAAAAGAACCGCACTCACCTAAGCGAAAAGAAGGCTATTATAGCAATAAGAAGAGTAGTTAACGAAATGACGCATCCAATTTGCGATGTTATCCTAATATATGGCGACCATTCCTATCAAAAGTATATAACAATGATAATAATCTGCATTGAATAATTAAATAAATTTTATTTTAAATTCATTACGTTTTATTTTACGATTAAAGAAATGAAATAGAAATATTATTTGATATATATTTATGTTAACTTTATAATAATATACATAATGCAATTTCAATTCTACCGTCATAATTAATCATATGCATGTGTCAATATATGTATATTATCATAAAATATCATAAAATATATATTAAAATTCGTACTCATTATAAGTCGAAACATCTTAAAATCGTGGAACTAATAAGTAATTAACACAGGTCAATAAAGACATATAAAAGATAAAAAAGCTTACAAGCAGGGTCCAATTCTCCGTTATTTCGTACCCTTGCGTGTTCTCAGTACCGTTTATCACGTGACGTAGTGCATTCAACAGACACAGATCGTACTTCCCCGGACAGTTCCCGTTGGTAATCATAACTGCTTTCAGATTCTCACTTATCTGATCAGTAAATCCCAAAATCGAGTCAAATGGACAGGGCAGGTCCAGTGTTGCTTTTACATTGTCGAGCGACAAGCAGAAATTGAAGTTGTCATAGATCGATGGACATCGGTGAAGATCCGTTCCATTGCTCTTTTTGATGCATTCTGCATGTGTGCATTTCGGCAAAATTATAATTATTTTTCGACGATTCTTATCAATGAGATTTAAAAAATTTTTTAGGTATTGAGATATTCTTAGCTGTTAAACATGTATACAAAAGTATATTTTATTAAGCAATTTAAAGAATATAGAGAATATCTTCTACCTTCTTTAAGAAGCTCGCATTTGGGACCGATGAAGAAATCCTTCTTAGCATAGAACATAACGCTAAAGAAGCGAAAAAATCGACGTATTATTTCGTGTCTCTTTGAATTTGATAAAATTCTTTTTTGACATTCATTCCAATTATGATACAGAAAATTATACTAATAATCTATTCATCGTGATTGCAAATATATTATACATTATATCAGCACTAATTATTTAAATTAAAAAATTACGCATTGTATTAATAATATAATTAATAACACGCGATGCTATAACCAATTGGAAGACGAATAAGTACAATATTTAATACAATATCGTAAACATAAACTTCTTTAAAACATATCAAATCTTCTTCATTTCATTATTATATTCAATTTTGCATCTTTTCTGTAATATAAAAAATTTTATTTGCTCATTACAAAGATTTTATGTAAACTAACATTAAGATATCCTCAGGATGATCCTGAATATATCCTGAATATCCTCGGATATATGTGGGATATATTTAGGATATATACAAATCCAAACACCTGAGGATGTTTCTTGGATCTTTTAAGGATGTCCTGCGTGGCTATATATGAAGCATTTTAAGGATATTCTTTTGTGTTTTTTATTTTTTTTTTTTTCAGAAATGAAAGAAATAGCAAATAAAAAAATCTTCACAATTAATTGTTGATCGCCAGTGATAAATTTTAACAAATAATAAGATGCAATTTAATTCGACCAAAAACTGGCTATTTATTTACTGAAAATAAGTACACACTATAGTGTAAGTATATATATATATATATATATATATATATATATATATATATATATATATATATATATATATATATATATATATATATATATAATTTTTTTGTTTTTATTCATATGCAATAAATTTGTAATATGCAATAATATTAATAAAAATTTGTATACATATATATGTATAATATGTGTAAAAAATTTTTTAATTTATCCTGAAATAGTCCTGCAAAAATATGCATATAACCTAAATTAATCCTAGAAATAGCACCGCAATGATGTATCCTGGACTAATTTAGGATGTATTGTAGACCTTTTAAGGATTATAAGAATTCCTATGAACATCCTACAAATATCTTTAGGAAGTTGAAATAGAATCTCCCGAAGATACTTCTAAGCATTATTGAGGCGCTCATTTGCTATTCCTTAGGACATCCTATATAAGAACGTACCAGGATTACAAACAGACGTCCTCAGGATATGTCGATATCCCAATAAAGTATCCTTAAAAGATCCAAAAGGCATCCGTGTGCTGTTTGGGGATATTATGACAATAAACTATAAATCTTTTTATCATTATAATTTATGCAATATATATATCACTTTATCTGCAATTTTATTTTATTTTTATCGGAATAATTTTTTTGCTACTCACGATGATGTAGTTTTGTCAGATACGCTTTCTTCAAGATGTATATCCACGTGCACGGGATTGCGAATCTTTGCGACTATAGCAAGAGAAACTACAATGAAAAATCAATAACTTTATATATATGGATACGTATAAAGTCCTTTGCACAATGCCAGGTAACAGGCAATGAAAATAAAAAATAGAAAATATCAACCAATCAAAAAGGAGATTGATATTATCCTCTGTTCCTATTGGTGGATATTTTATATTGCTTATTCCTATATCCTGTTGCCTGGGATTGTGCAAGGACCTTAACACATGCACCTGTATATTTTCCTCCGAATTTGCTTTTTGTAATGACGCATGTGGAAACGAACTTGAGTAAGTAAATAGAGAACGAGTCAATCGTGTACTGAATAAAGTCTGATTGTAAACATAAGTAAAAAATTTTAAATTTTTAATTGCAATTATATTATAAAATTTTCAAATTTAGCATTTAACTTGGCTTTATTTAAAATGTTCACACTGTAGATATAAATTTTTCAAAACATATATTAATTTGCTGCAAACTGGCTCGTCTGTTTATTAAATCTGGATCGCGATTAGATCGACCTCGGTTGTTAAACTCATTCGCGGCAATGAGATTGCTTCTGGCAATATCTCGAGTTCCTCAGCTTCGACGAGACGGTCGGAAAAAACCAACGGCAGCATCCCTGTCCAAAAAAACAGCGAAGTTTGATTGAGAAATTAAAGTGTAAAATTATTTGAAAATATAATTATTTTTCATTTCCTACTTATCCAAATATGTTTGGTATAATGTTACACATTATTATTGTGATGGTTATTATTAAAAACTCGTCGATTAAGCAGTTAATATTTATTTTTACACTAATAATAAAATAGCATTAACACAATAATTTAAAATTCTATTTTAATTAATTAAATGCTAATATTTAATTAATTAAATGCACATAATTAAAAAATTATAAAAAGTAGTGGAGAACAAAAAATATCTATTTATGATAATTTAAAATAAAATAAAAGAAGCTAAATATAATATGGAATCGCAGCACAAACAAGAGAAACACAATGAACCTTATAATCGATATTTTACTGAAAGAGGAGGAACTTATCAAGGGAACATATTATAGTCTTACCTTCATAAGATTAAACTTTCAAAGTTACGACTATTTCCGCATGTTAATAAAAAAGTATTTAAACTCACAAGATAATAAACATTCACGTCAGTGGACATTTACATAAATATTTTAATAATAATTTAAAAAAATATATGATCTTGTGTTTTACATCAAAAATTATAAATAAAAACACTTTTTAATTATTTTCCGTAATACAAAAGGTTTTGTGATATTTTTTAATTAATAATTATATATCATATTGTTTAAGAAACATAGTATATTTCGTAAATACATATTTTATAATGCATTATAAAATATTTCAGCATTGAATTGTGTTCTTAACAACATACAGTACTTTTGTTCATATGGCGCAGCTTTTTTTAACATTTGCTCGATTTGCATTTATTATTTATGCGGACAATAAAGTAATGATATAAGGCGCTCTGTCCATATTGACGAATTTCTTCTCAAAGCGCGATAATAAAAATCAAAATATAATGTATTACAACTATTACAATTAACATTTAATTAATTTTTAATGACAGAAAATTGTATCGTAATAATAGTTCTATATCAAAGTATGTATTCCATACAGTATTAAATAATTTTTTCATTAACTGATTTTATAGAAACTATGAAAAACTTTAAATTAAAATTGTTTGTAGTAAAAATAAATTTAAATTTATGCTTGGAAAGTTTAAAAACAATTAATAAGCTCGACAAATTAATTCTTATTATTAACAGTTTTAAGTCAATTGAATTGACGAATATTTATTAACCTAAATTTCAATATAAATATGATGTTTTCTAAATCGGCCAATAGAGCCACAGCACGAAAAATTAATTATTCGGAACTGTATCTCGAGTACGAGATTACTAAAAGTTCCATATATTAATTTACCTTGAACTTACATATGGAGAAATAGGCGCGAAAAATATAGGTCCAAAAAGTCGCTGAAGCGGGAAGCGTTTTCGGACCTATATTTTTCGCGCCTATTTCTCCATTTGTAAGTTCGAGGTTAATTAATATATGGAACTTTTAGTAATCTCGTACAAAGAGATACAGTTCCGAATAATTAATTTTTCGTGCTTTGGCTTTGTTGGCCGATATAGAAAACATCATATTTATATTCTTTATATTGAAAGCCGATAAAAATATTTATTTCTGGCTAAATTTTAATGTTTTCAAAAGAATTTAAGTGATAGCTATTGACAATGAAAAAGTTAATTTGACATTTTACAAAAAAGAGAAGCGATAAACTTCAAAAATTTTAAGAGAACATTGATATATCGAATTTATATGCTTTTATTAAAAGTAGATTTTCGATTGTTATCTATATGACTTTTTCATTAATATCTTTATACTAGTAAACATTTTTTTATAAGTAGATTATGTAAATACTAAACATATACACTTTTATTCAACATTGCGATACCTGATAGAATCTACTTAATCTTTCGTTGACTTCTTCATTATAGTGTGAAGTACCATTATTACCTTCCGATCGATACTGATTTCGGTTGATTCCATCATTTAAATTTTTTGTTAATTCTCGATGGCTAAGTACGAATATATTCAATAAATCGACCTTCTTTCTTAATCGTCGAATCCTCCATGCTCGTCGCATTTCCTCTATGACTTCGCTGTTTAGCAGACAATACAGTAAAGACACGAGGGCACCCTAGGAAAGTAAATAGTTTGAGTGTCTGTACAAATTAAAAAACAAGAAATAAATTTTTTCGCATTTGCGATGAATACCTGATAGGACGTAAATAGCTGATCGCAAAAGAATAACCAGACGTTTTCGACTTTGTAACCTTGAAAGAACGATAATACCATGAAGCAAATATAGTGTATTCCAAAAAGTGGTATCACAACCATAGTCGCTTTTGCCCATGCCCTGTATTAAAAAAAAACAAATATGTCTATAGCAACTACACCGCTGAAGAAATATTTTTTTTAATTAAATATTATGTGTGTATGTGTTTACGCATAAATAAATTATTACTGTAAAAATGTTTATAGAGTGGTAATTAAAAAAGTTAATTAAAATAAATACATCATACTAACTTATATTTCATCTTTTTCCATAACAGATGCACTGATACCTTTCCAAGCCTAACGATAGAGAGGAACAACAGGAAATTACACTAAAGAAGAAAAATGACATAAGGTAATTTGAAATAATTGTACAATTTAAATCGACATTGCATAAAATACAATTAACATACCAAAATTAATACGATGATTGGTATATTTATGATAAGCAACACAAAAGGCCTTTTCCACTCGGTAGACCAACAGAAAGTGTTTTTAATACTTTTGTGTATTACGGCCCATTTTACTACTACCAAGACAGGAAAACCTATTTAATAAGATTAAATTTAAAAAAGATACAGTATAATAGAATTTTTAAGAATTCGTAATCTTGAAAATTTATCTTACCCCAGCCTATTGTGAAATACTGAGTTATTTTATTCGCGTATAGCGTTTTGAAAATTACTTCATATAAATATAACCCTTCCGTCAAGATCCATAAGTAACTTGCCAAGTTGAAATATTGCCACAAACACGTGAGAATCTCATAGATCCACATCTAACAATATTGATTAATAAAACTTAGAATTATCAGTAATGGAGTTTGAAAAAAAAAATAAAGACGCAGTTCAAATAATTTAAAGTATCGCTTTTATACCGAGAGAAATATTTCGATGCAAATTCGTATGATTGAGTACTATGATAATAACTAATCTTATTAGTTTGTAAATATATTGAAAACTATTAGATAAAAATTATTTTTTTCTCGCCTATATAATTGATTTTTGGAGAGATATTAATAATAAATTGTTTAATTTTTGGGATAATAATAATAATCAGTGTCCTTTACTTTGCGTACGTTGATAACAGCACTGTATTCATTGATGAAGATGACGTCCCAAGCCATTCCAAGTTCATCGATAAAAATCCAATCCTTCAAAAGTGTTATGAAAGTTTTCATCATAAAAGACACAAATAGATGCATGTGCAGTTTATTTCTAGGATTCTTGAATTTCCTACAAGTTAACAACGAATAAGTAACATGAACTTTCAACGAAATTAAAAAAAGAATGATAATATGCGTTTAGTTAAATAAAAAAACCGCACTCACCTAAGCAAGAAAAAGACTGCCATGGCGACAATTAGAGTAATTAACGAAATGACACATCCAATTTGCGATGCTATCTTGATACGTGGCAACCATTTCTATCAAAGCATATAATAATGATGATAATCTGCGTCGTATAATTAAGTAAATTGTATTTTAAATCCATTACGTTTTATTTTATGATTGAAGTAATGAAATGCAAATGTCATTTGATATATATTTGTGTTAACTTCATAATAATATAATCCAATTTCAATTCTATCGTTATAATTAATCATATACATAATACATATTAATATATGTATATCATGAATATAATAAAATATATTAAAATTCGTATTCGTTAATTCGAAACGTCTTTAAATCGTGGAACTAATAAATAAATAACACAGGTCAATAAAGGCATAAAAAAGATAAAAAAGCTTACAAACAGGGGCAAATCCTCCGTTATTTCGTACCATCGCGTATTATTCTCAGTACCGTTTATCATGTGACGTGTTGTATTTAACACACACAGGCCGTAATTGTTCCAAAAGAGGTGGTCCGAGGAAGAAACCCATTTGTTGTTCGGCAGACAGATCTTGTTGCCAACCGTAAATGCCTTCAGATGCTCAGTTATCAGATCAGTAAATCCTAAAATCGAGGCAGGTGGACAGGGCAGGCTCGGTATGCCTGGTGCATCGGTTTGCGACAAGCAAAGTAGACCGTCATAGATCGATGGACATCGGTGAATATCCGTTGCTTTGCCCTTTTTGATGCATTCTGCTTGTGCATTATGGCAAAATTATAATTATTTTTCCTACGATTGTTATCGATGATACTTATCGAGATAAGCTGATTCCGGCAGCTTCCGATATTATATATAATATATAAGTATATAAAATATTGATACACTTATTTTATAAATATTCTATTGTCTAATAATTATTGTTTAATTAATCACAGAATAACGCTACAATTGAATGACCTATTTATATAAAATTAATAATATATAATTTAAATATTATTAATTGTGTGTTATTTCTTTGTAATTAAATTTTCTTTCTTATTTGTAAGATTTAATGAAATTTTTTAAACTTTCAAGATATTGACATATTCTTAGCTGTTAAACATGTATATAAAAGTATATTTTATTAAGCAATTTAAAAATATAGAGAATATCTTCTACCTTCTTCAAGAAGCTGGTCGCATCTGCGATCGGAAAAGAAATGCTTCTTAGCATAGTTCATTCTGACGCTAAAGAAGCGAAAAATCGACGTATTATTTGGACGTGTCTCTTTGATTTTGATAAAATTCTTTTTTGTCATTCATTCCAATCACGATACAAAAAACTATAGTAATCTATTCATCGTGATTGCAAAAATATGATACATTGTATCAGCACTATATTATTAATTAAATTTAAAAATTACGCATTGTAGTAATAATATAATTAACAACACGCGATGCTATAATCAATTAGAAGATGAATAAATACAATATTTCATACAATATCGTAAGCAAAAAATTCTTTAAAACATATAAAATCTTTTTTTTTTCATTATTATTTTCAATTAAATTTTGCATCTTTTCTATATTATGAAAAATTGTATTTGGTCATTACAAAGGCTTTATATATAACAATAGTATTGAATGGACTAACAGTAAGTCATAAAAACAATTTATAGGAAAGATCTATAGATAATTTTGAATTATATAATTATGTGTAATCTTAATAAATAATAAAATCATTCTTTACTTTTTTCGCGCTATTATGACAATAAACTATAAATCTTTTTATCATTATAATTTATGCAATATATATATATATATATATCACTTTATTTGGTCTGCAACTTTATTTTATTTTTATCGGAATAATTGTTTTGTTACTCACGATGACATAGTTTTGTCAGATACGCTTTCTTCAAGATGTATATCCACGTGTGCACGGGATCGCGAATCTTCTGCGACTGTGGCAAGATAAACTACGATGTAAAAATCGATTGCGTTATACATATATAGATACGTATAACATATGCACGTGTATATTTTCCATTTTCTATGAATTTTCTTTTTGACGCATGTGGAAACAAACTTGAGTAAATAAATAAAGAGCGAGTCAATCGTTTACTGAATCAAGTCTGATTGTAAACATAAGTGAAAAATTTTAAATGTTTAATTGCGATATTGTAAAATTTACAAATTTAGCATTTAACTTGGCTTTGTTTAAAATGTTCACACTGTAAATACAAATTTTACAAAACATATATCAATTTACTGCAAACTTGCTCGTCTGCATGTCTATTGAATCTGGATCGAGATTAAATCGACCACGATTCTTAAACTCATTCGGCAATAAAATTGCTTCTGGCAATATCTCGAGGTCCTCAGCTTCGACAAGATGGTCGGAAGAAACAACGGCAGCATCCTTGTCGGAAAAAACAGCAAAGTTTGATTGAGGAATTAAAGTGTAAAATTATTTGAAAATATAATCATTCTTCACTTCCTAGTTATCCAAATGTGTTTGATATAATGTCACACATTATTATTGTGATGGCTATTATTAAAAATTTGTCAATTAAGCAGTTATTATTTATTTTTACGTTAATAATAAAATCAACATATTAATTTAAAATTCGTGCAATGTAACGGATGCGTACAGACGCATGAATTTAATGGAAGCGCAGATATTTTGATTGCAAGATTCTTGTAAAAATTTTATTTTTTGTTTTTTGTTTAAAATTTATATATTGAATTTTTATGAATCGCGAAATTAATAAATATTATTTCTGTGCATGCATTGCAATAATAATTATATATATGTAATACAACTTTAAGGTTTTATCAAAGAATAATATACCTTCGTTTTGCACACATAATTATATTCGATAAAACTATAAACAAAATGAGAAAAAAAAATATATATAATAGTATTATATATATATAATAAGATATAAAATAGTTCTCAAACAATACAATAGAAACTTGGTAAATTAAAATTATGTACATAATAGAAATTCGAAGAATTAAAATTATGTACATAATAGAAATTCGGCGAATTAAAATTATGATTGCAAAGATTAACAATTTGACAGTTGTAAAATAAATAATAGAAATAATCAAAACCGCATGCAAAGCGCGCTTGTGTAATCTATAGTATTTAAAAATTCGTGAATTAAACTAGTATTATTTATTTTTACACTAATAATAAAATAGCATTAACACAATAATTTAAAATTCAATTTTAATTAATTAAATGGCACATACAATTTAACAAAACATATATCAATTTACGTTCCATATAATTATAAAAATATAAAATGCTGTGAAGGACGAAAAATATGTACTTATGATATTTTAAAAATAAACTGAAGTAAACGCAGCTATATAATATGAAACGATGGCAGCACAAACAAGAGAAACACAATTGAACCTTATAATCGATATTATACTGAAAGAAAAGGAACTTACCAAGGGAACACATTATAGTCTTACCTTTATAAGATTAAACTTCCAAAGTTACGACTATTTTCATATGTTAATAAAAAACTATTTAAACTCACAAGGTAATAAACATTCACGTCAGCGGACATTTACATAAATATTTTAACAATAATTTTTAAAAAATCTATATGATTTTGTGTTTTTCATAAAAATTATAATAAAAACACTTTTTAATTATATTTTCTGCAATACAAAAGGCTTTGTGATATTTTTTAATTAATAATTATATATCATATTGTTTAAGAAACATAGTATATTTCGTAAATACATACTTTATAAAGCATTATAAAATATTTCAGCATTGAATTGTGTTCTTAACAACATACAGTACTTTTGTTTATATGGCGCAGCTTTTTTTAACATTTGCTCGATTTGCATTAATTATTTATGCGGACAATAAAGTAGCGATATGAGACGCTCTGTTTATATTGACGAGTTCCTTCTCAAAACGCGAAATATAGTTTATTACAACTATTACAATTAACGTTTAATTAATATTTAATGACCGAACATTGTATCGTAATAATATTTAGTTCTTTATCGAAATATATATTTGATACCGTATTTAATAATTTTTTCATTAATTGGTATCATAGAAATTATGAAAAATTAAAAACCAATATGATTTGTAGTAAAAATAAATTACTTATATTCTTAGAAAGTTTAAGAACAATAAAAGCTCGGCAAATTAATTCTCATTATTAACAATTTTAAGCATATTGAAATGACGAATAATTATCAAAATAAATTGTAATTTTTTCAAGAAGATTTATGTGACAGCTGTTGACAATGAAAAAGCTAATTTAACAATGAAAAACTAATTTGTCATTTTACAATAAAGAGAAGCGATAGACTTCGAGAATGTTCAGACAACATTGATGTATCGAATTAATATGCTTTTATTAAAAGTAGATTTTTGATTGTTATCTATATGACTTTTTCATTAATATCTTTATACTAATAAACATTTTTTATAAGTATATTATGTAAATACTAAACACATACACTTTTATTTAACATCGCGATAGTTTATAAAATCTACTTAACATCTTTCGTTGACAACTTCTTCATTACGGTGTGAAGTGGTACCATCATCACCTTCCGATCGAAACCTCTTTCGGTTGATTTCATTCTTTAAATTGTTTGGTAATTCTCAATGGCCAAGTACGAATACATTCGATAATTCGACCTTCTTCTTTGATCGTCGAGTCCTCCATGCTCGTAGCATTTCCGCTACGACTTCGCTGTTTAGCAGACAATACAGTAAAGACACGAGAGCACCCTAGGAAAGTAAATAGTGTGAGTGTCTGTAAAAATTAAAAAACAAGAAATAAATTTATTCGCATTTGCGATGAATACCTGATAGGACGTAAATAGCTGATCGCAAAAGAATAACCAGATGTTTTTGCCTCTGACACCTTGAGAGAAAAATAATACCAAGAAACAAGTATAGTGTATTCCAAAAAGTAGTATCATAACCATAGTCGCTTTTGCCCATGCTCTGCATTTAAAATAAACAAATATATCCATAGTAACTATACCGCCGAAAAAATATGTTTTTTTATATTAAATATTATATGTGTATGTGTTTACGCATAAATAAATTATTACTGTAAAAATGTTTATAGAGTGGTAATTAAAAAAGTTAATTAAAATAAATACATCATACTAACTTATATTTCATTATTTTCCATAACAGATGCCCTGATACCTTTCCAAGCCTAACGATAGAGAGGAACAACAGGAAATTACACTAAAGAAAAAAAATGACATAAAGTAATTTGAAATATTTATACAATTTAAATCAACATTGCGTAAAATACAATAAACATACCACAATTGATACGATGATTGCTATATTTATAGCAAGCAATCCTAAAGGGGTAATTTGCCAAAAGGTAGTCCAACAGAAATTGTTTTTAACAATTTTCTGTACTATGAACCATTTCGCTAATACTAACAATAAGACGGGAAGCCCTATTCAACAAAATTAAATTTGAATAACATACAATATAATAGAATTTTATAGATTTTGTAATCTTGAAAATTTATCTTACACCAGCCTAATTTGATATACTGAGTTATTTTACTACCGTCGACATATAGCGGTTTGAAAAGCAGTCTATGTAGATACAACCCCTGTATCGAGATCCAGAAGTAACTTGCCACGTTGAAATATTGCCACAAACTTGTGAAAATCTTAGTGATCAACATCTGACAATATTGATTAATAAAAATTAGAATTATCAGTAATAGAGTTTGAGAAAAATAAAGACCTAATAAAAATAATTTAAAGTATCGCTTTTATACCGCGAGAACTATTTTGATGCAAATTCGTATGATTGATTAATATGATAATAACTAATTTTAATTTATAAATATATTGAAAACTATTGAATAAAATATATTTTTTCTCGACTATATAATTGATTTTTAGAGAGATATTAAAAATAAATTATATAATAATAATTATCAGTGTCCTTTACATCGCGTTCGTGGATAACAGCACTGTATTCGTTGACAAAGATGACGCCCCAAGCCATTCCAAGTTTATCAATAAAAATCCAATTCTTTAAAATGGTCATCAAAGTTTTCATCATAAAAGACACAAATAGGTGCATGTTCAGTTTACTTCTGGGATTCTTGAGTTTCCTACGCGTTAGCAATTAATAGGTAACGTAAACTTTCAACGAAATTGAAAATGTAATGATAATATGCGTGTAGTTAAATGAAAAAAAACCGCACTCACCCAAGCGAACAAAAGACTATCATAGCAATAATAAGAGTAATTAACGAAATGACACATCCAATTTGCGATGCTATCCTGATATGTGGCGACCATTCCTATCAAAAGCATGTAACAGTGATAATAATCTGCGTTTAATAATTAAATAAATTTTATTTTAAATCCATTACTATTTATTTTACGATTAGAGAAATGCAATAAAATTTTATAGAAATATTATTTGATATATATTTATGTTAACTTTATAATAATATACATAATGTAATTTTAATCTACCGTCATAATTAACCATATGCATGTGTCAATATATGTATATCATAAATATCATAAAATATATATTAAAATTCGTACTCATTAATTAGAAACATCTTTAAATCGTGGAACTAATAAGTAATTAACACAGGTCAATAAAGACATACAAAAGATAAAAAAGCTTACAAACAGGTTCCAATCTTCCGTCATTTCGTACCATTGCGTGTTATTCTCAGTACCGTCGATGATGTGACGTAATTTATTCAAATAACACAGAGAGTAGTTCGTTGGACGAACGCCGAATTTGTTCGTGTCAAAATTTCCTTGTGTGTTGTTCAGAAAACATTTCTTCCTGGCAATCACAAGTGCTTTCAGATTCGCAATCATCAGATCGGTGTATTCCAAAATTGAGGTAGGTGTACAGGGCAGGCTCGGAATTCCTGATACTTCGGTTTGCGACGAGCAGAGTAGATTTTCATAGATCGGTGGACATCGATGAATATCCATTCCTTTAAATGAATATCCTTTGCCTTTTTTGATGCATTCTGCATGTGCATTTTGACAAAATTATAGTTATTTTTCCAACGATTCTTATTGATGATACTTATCGAGATAAGCCGATTCCGGCAGCTTCCGACATTATACATAATATATAGGTATATATAAAATATTGATACACTTATTTTATAAATATTCTCTTGTTGATGTTAATAATTATTATTTTATTACTCACAGAAAAACGCCACAATCGAATGAACTATTTATATAAAATTAATTATATATAATTTATATATTATTAGTTGTTTGTTATTTCTTTGTAATTAAATTTTAATTTCTTATCTGTAAAATTTAATGAAATTTTTTAAACTTTTAAGGTATTTACATATTCTTAGCTGTTAAACATGTATATGAAACTATATTTTATTAAGAATTTAAACAATATAGAGAATATTTTCTACCTTCTTCAAGAAGCTGCTTGCATCTGGGATCGGCGAAGAAATTCTTTTTAGCATAGTACATTCTAACGATTCTAACCCTAAAGAAGCGAAAAATTGACGTATTATTTGGACGTGTTTCTTTGATTTTGATAAAATTCTTTTTTGTCATTCTATTCCAATCATGATACAGAAAACTAGAGTGATCTATTTAACGTTATTCCAAAAATATACATTGAATCAGCACTATATTATTATTTAAATTAAAAAATTAAGCAGTGTAGTAATGATATAATTAACAACACGCAATGCTATAACCATTTAGGAGATGAATAAGTACAATATTTAATACAATATCGAAAACAACAAATTCTTTAAAACATATCAAATCTTTTTTATTTCATTATTTTTTTCAATTTTGCATCTTTCCTATAACATGAAAAATTTTATTTGCTCATTACAAAGATTTTATATAAAATAATATTATATGAATTACTAAATAGACTAACAATAAATCATAAAAACAATTCTTGGGAAAATTTGTATAGATAATTTTGAATTATAATTATGTATAATCTTAATAAATAATAATATCATTCTTTAAACTATTAATTTTTTTATCATTATAGTTTATGCAATATATATCTCACTTTATCTCGTTTGCAATTTTATTTCATTTTTATCAGAATAATGTATTTGTTACTCACAATCACAGATACGCTTTCTTCAGGATGTGCATCCACGTGTGCACAAGATGGCGAATCTTTTGCGACTGTGACAAGAGAAACTACGCTTAAAAATCGATTGCGTTATACATATAAATACGTAAACACATACACATATATTTTCTATCTTTTCTGAGTTTACTTTTTGTAATGACGCGTGTGTAAACGAACTTGAGTAAATGAATAGAGAGCAAGTCAATTGTCTACTAAATAAAGTGATTGTAAACATAAGTGTAAATTTTAAATGTTTGCGATTATATTATAAAAGTTACAAATTTAGCATATAACTATGCTTTATTTGAAATGTTTACACGGTGGATACAAATTTTTCAAAACATATACCAATTTCCTCCAAACTAGCTCGTCTGTTTATTGAATCTGGATCGCGATTAGATCGACCTTGATTGTTAAACTCATTCGCGGCAATGAGATTGCTTCTGGCAATATCTCGAGCTCCTTAGCTTCGACGAGATGGTAGGAAGAAACAACGGCACATCCTTGTCGGAAAAAACCAGCAAAGTTTAATTCAGGAATTTAAGTGTAAAATTATTTGAAAATATAATCATCTTTCACTTCCTTGTTATATAATAATGTTTGGTATAATATCACACATTATTATTGTGATGGCTATTATTAAAAATTCCTTAATTAAGCATTTATTATTTATTTTTACATTAATAATAAAATCAACATAATAATTTAAAATTCGATTTTAATTAATTAAATAGTACATACAATTTAACAAAACATATATCAATTTACGTTCCATATAATTATAAAAATATAAAATGTTGTGAAGGACGAAAAATATGTACTTATGATAATTTAAAAATAAACTGAAGTAAACGCAGCTATATAATATGAAACGATGGCAGCACAAACAAGAGAAACACAATTGAACCTTATAATCGATATTACACTGAAAGAAAAGGAACTTACCAAGGGAACACATTATAGTCTTATCTTTATAAGATTAAACTTCCAAAGTTACGACTATTTTCATATGTTAATAAAAAACTATTTAAACTCACAAGGTAATAAGCATTCACGTCAGCGGACATTTACATAAATATTTTAATAATAATTTTAAGAAAATCTATATGATTTTGTGTTTTTCATAAAAATTATAATAAAAACACTTTTTAATTATATTTTTGTAATACAAAAGGCTTTGTGATATTTTTTAATTAATAATTATATATCATATTGTTTAAGAAACATAGTATATTTCGTAAATACATATTTTATAATGCATTATAAAATATTTCAGCATTGAATTGTGTTCTTAACAACATACAGTACTTTTGTTTATATGGCGCAGCTCTTTTTAACATTTGCTCGATTTGCATTAATTATTTATGCGGACAATAAAGTAGCGATATGAGACGCTCTGTTCATATTGACGAATTCCTTCTCAAAACGCGAAATATAGTTTATTACAACTATTACAATTAACGTTTAATTAATATTTAATGACCGAATATTGTATCGTAATAATAGTTCTTTATCGAAATATATATTTGATCCGTATTAAATAATTTTTTCATTAATTGATATCATAGAAATTATGAAAAATTAAAAATCAATATAATTTGTTATAAAAATTAATTTCTAATTCTTAAAAAGTTTAGAAACAATAAAAGCTCGGCAAATTTATTCTCATTATTAACAATTTTAAGCATATGGAAATGACGAATAATTATCAAAATAAATTGTAATTTTTTCAAGAAGATTTATGTGACAGCTGTTGACAATGAAAAAGCTAATTTAACAATGAAAAACTAATTTGTCATTTTACAATAAAGAGAAGCGATAGACTTCGAGAATGTTCAGACAACATTGATGTATCGAATTAATATGCTTTTATTAAGAGTAGATTTTCTATTGTTATCTATATGACTTTTTCATTAATATCTTTATACTAGTAAACATTTTTTATAAGTAGATTATGTAAGTACTAAACACATACACTTTTATTCAACATCGCAATAGTTTATAAAATCTACTTAACATCTTTCGTTGAAAACTTCTTCATTACGGTGTGAAGTGGTACCATCATCACCTTCGATACTGTTTTCGTTTGATTCAAGTACGAATACAGTCAATAAATCGACCTTCTTCTTTGATCGTCGAGTCCTCCATGCTCGTAGCATTTCTTCTACGACTTCGCTGTTTAGCAGACAATACAGTAAAACCACGAGAGCACCCTAGGAAAGTAAATAGTGTGAGTGTCTGTAAAAATTAAAAAACAAGAAATAAATTTATTCGCATTTGCGATGAATACCTGATAGGACGTAAATAGCTGATCGCAAAAGAATAACATGATGTTTTCGCCTTTGTAACCTTGATAGAAAGATAATACCAAGAAACAAGTATAGTGTATTCCAAAAAGTAGTATCACAACCATCGTCGCTTTTGCCCATGCTCTGCATTTAAAATAAACAAATATGTCCATAGTAACTATACCGCCGAAAAAATATGTTTTTTTATATTAAATATTATATGTGTATGTGTTTATGCATTAATAAATTATTACTGTAATTTTTTTTAGAGAGTAGTAATTAAAAAAGTTAATTAAAATAAATATATTATATTAACTTGTATTTCATCTTTTTCCATTGCAGATGCACTGATGTCTTCAGATTTACAAGCAGAACGATAGCGAGGAACAACAGGAAATTACACTAAAGGAGAAAAATGACATAAGGTAATTTTAAACATTTGTATAATTTAAATCGACATTGCGTAAAATACAATTAACATACCACAATTAATATGATGATTGATATATTTATAGCAAGGAATCTTATAGGGGTAATTTGCCAGATGGTAGCCCAACAGATATCGTAATTAAAATATTTCTGTGCTATGATCCATTTTGCTAGTACTAAGACGGGAAGCCCTATTCAACAAAATTAAATTTGAATAACATACAATATAATAGAATTTTAAAGATTTCGTAATCTTGAAAACTTATAAAATATTACAAGAAAATTGATATACTTTTGAAAATTTAACTCACCCCAGCCTAATTTGATATACTGACAATGAGTTATTTTACTCGTGTCGACATCTAGCGTTTTGAAAATTAATCTATATAGATACAACCCCTGCATCGAGATCCAGAAGTAACTTGCCACGTTGAAATATTGCCACAAACTTGTGAAAATCTTAGTGATCAACATCTGACAATATTGATTAATAAAACTTAGAATTATCAGTAATAGAGTTTGAGAAAAATAAAGACCCAATTAAAATAATTTAAAGTATCGTTTTTATACCGAGAGAAATATTTCGATGCAAATTCGTATGATTGATTAATATGATAATAACTAATTTTAGTTTATTAATATATAGAAAACTATTAAATAAAAATTATTTTTTTCTCGACTATATAATTAATTTTTAGAGAGATATTAATAATAAATTATATAATAATAATAATCAGTGTCCTTTACATTGCGTTCGTGAATAACAGCACTGTATTCGTTGACAAATATGACGTCCCAAGCCATTCCAAGTTCATCAATAAAAATCCAATCCTTTAAAATGGTCATCAATGTTTTCATCATAAAACACACAAATAGGTGCATGTTCAGTTTACTTCTGGGATTTCTGAGTTTCCTACGAGTTAATAATTAATAAGTAACGTAAACTTTCAACGAAGTTGAAAAGGTAATGATAATATGCGTGTATTTAAATAAAAAAAAGCCGTACTCACCCAAGCGAGCAAAAGACTATCATAGCAATAATAAGAGTAATTAACGAAATGACACATCCAATTTGCGATGCTATCCTAATATGTGGCGACCATTTCTATCAAAAGCATGTAACAGTGATAATAATCTGCGTTGAATAATTAAATAAATTTTATTTTAAATCCATTACTTTTTATTTTACGATTAGAGAAATGAAATAGCAATATTATTTGATATATATTTATGTTAACTTTATAATAATATACATAATGCAATTTTAATCTACCGTCATAATTAATCATATGCATGTGTCAATATATGTATAGTAAATATCATGAAATATATATTAAAATTCGTACTCATTAATTCGAAACATTATTAAATGATGGAACTAATAAGTAATAACACAGGTCAATAAAGACATAAAAAAGATAAAAAAGCTTACAAACAGGTTCCAATCTTCCGTCATTTCGTACCATTGCGTGTTATTCTCAGTACCGTTGATGATGTGACGTAATTCATTTAAATAACACAAATCGAAGTTCGTAGTTTGACGAACGACGAATTCGTTCGTGTCAACATCCCATTTTACGTCTTTCAGCAAACATTTCTTCATGGAAATCACAAGTGCTTTCAGATTCGCAATCATCAGATCGGTGTATTGCAAAATCGAAACAGGTGGACAGGGCAGGCTCGGAATTCCTGATACATCGGTTTGCGACGAGCAGAGTAGATCCTCATAGATCGGTGGACATCGATAAATATCCATTCCTTTGAATGAATATCCTTTGCCTTTTTTGATGCATTCTGCATGTGCATTTCGCCAAAATTATAGTTATTTTTCCAACGATTCTTATTGATGATACTTATCGAGATAAACCGATTCCGGCAGCTTCCGACATTATACATAATATATAGGTATATATAAAATATTGATACACTTATTTTATAAATATTCTCTTGTTGATGTTAATAATTATTATTTTATTACTCACAGAAAAACGCCACAATCGAATGAACTATTTATATAAAATTAATTATATATAATTAATATATTATTAATTATGTGTTATTTCTTTGTAATTGAATTTTAATTTCTTATCTGTAAGATTTAATGAAATTTTCTAAACTTTTAAGGTATTTACATATTTTTAGCTGTTAAACATGTATACGAAACTATATTTTATTAAGCAATTTAAACAATATAGAGAATATTTTCTACCTTCTTCAAGAAGCTGGTCGCATCTGGGATCGGAGAAGAAAGCCTTTTCAGCATAGTTCATTCTAACGATTTTAACCCTAAAGAAGCGAAAAATTGACGTATTATTGGGACGTGTCTCTTTGATTTTGATAAAATTCTTTTTTGTCATTCTATTCCAATCATGATACAGAAAACTAGAGTGATTTATTTATCGTTATTCCAAAAATATACATTGAATCAGCACTATATTATTATTTAAATTAAAAAATTAATCAGTGTAGTAATGATATAATTAACAACACGCAATGCTATAACCAATTAGAAGATGAATAAGTACAATATTTAATACAATATCGTAAACAACAAATTCTTTAAAACATATCAAATCTTTTTTATTTCATTATTATATTCAATTTTGCATCTTTTCTGTAATATAAAAATTTTATTTGCTCATTACAAAGATTTTATGTAAACTAACATTATATGAATTACTAAATGGACAATAAGTCATAAAAACAATTTTGTTATTAATAAAATAAGTTTTATAGATTATTTTGAATTATAATTATGTATAATCTTAATAAATAATAATATCATTTTTTACTTTCTTCGCGATATTATGACAATAAACTATAAATCTTTTTATCATTATAATTTATGCAATATATATATATATCACTTCATCTCGTCTGCAATTTTATTTTATTTTTATCGGAATAATTTTTTTTGCTACTCACGATGTAGTTTTGTTAGATACGCTTTCTTCAAGATGTACATATATCCACGTGCACGGGATTGCGAATCTTTGCGACTATGGCAAGAGAAACTACGATGAAAGTTCAATAGCTTTATATATATGGGTACGTATAAAGTCCTTTGCACAATTCCAGGCAACAGGCAATAAGAATAAGAAATAGAAAATATCAACCAATCGGAAAAGAAGATTGATATTATCTTCTGTTCCTATTGATGGATATTTTATATTTCTTATTCCTATTGCCTGTTGCCTGGGATTGTGCAAGGGCCTTAACACATGCACATGTATATTTTCCTCTGAATTTGCTTTTTGTAATGACGCATGTGGAAACGAACTTGAGTAAGTAAATAGAGAACGAGTCAATCGTGTACTGAATAAAGTCTGATTGTAAACATAAGTGAAAAATTTTAAATTTTTAATTGCAATTATATTGTAAAATTTACAAATTTAGCATTTAACTTGGCTTTATTTAAAATGTTCACACTGTAGATACAAATTTTTCAAAACATATACTAATTTGCTGCAAACTGGCTCGTTTGTTTATTGAATCTGGATCGCGATTAGATCGACCTTGATTGTTAAACTCATTCGCGGCAATGAGATTGCTTCTGGCAATATCTCGAGCTTCTTAGCTTCGACGAGATGGTAGAAAGAAACAACGGCAACATCCCTGTCGGAAAAAGACCAGCAAAGTTTAATTCAGGAATTAAAATGTAAAATTATTTAAAAATATAATTATTTTTCATTTCTTACTTATCCAAATATGTTTGGTATAATGTTACACATTATTATTATGATGGTTATTATTAAAAACTTGTCGATTAAGCAGTTAATATTTATTTTTACACTAATAATAAAATAGCATTAACACAATAATTTAAAATTTGATTTTAATTATAATAATTAAATGCTAATATTTAATTAATTAAATGCACATAATTAAGAAATTATACAAAGTAGTGGAGAACGAAAAATATGTATTTATGATAATTTAAAAATAGAATAAAATAAAAGAAGCTAAATATAATATGGAACAATCGCAGCACAAACAAAAGAAACACAATTGAACCTTATAATCGATATTATACTGAAAGAGGAGAAACTTACCAAGGGAACATATTATAGTCTTATCTTTATAAGATTAAACTTTCAAAGTTACGACTATTTCCATATGTTAATAAAAAAACTATTTAAACTTACAAGATAATAAACAGTCACGTCAGTGGACATTTACATAAATATTTTAATAATAATAAAAAAATATATATGATTTAGTGTTTCACATGAAAAATTATAAATAAAAACACTTTTTAATTATTTTCTGTAATACAAAAGGCTTTGTGATATTTTTAGTTAATAATTATATATCATATAATTTAGAAAACAGTATATTTCGTAAATACATATTTTATAATACATTATAAAATATTTCAGCATTGAATTGTGTTCTTAACAACATACAGTACTTTTGTTTATATAGCACAGCATTTTTATCATTTGCTCGATTTGCATTTATCATTTATTTGGACAATAAAGTAATGATATAAGGCGCTCTGTCCATATTGACGAATTTTTTCTCAAAGCGCGATAATAAAAATCGAAATATTATTTATTACAACTACTACAATTAACGTTTAATTAATTTTTAATGACAGAAAATTGTATCGTAGTAATAGTTCTATATCGAAGTATGTATTCCATACGGTATTAAATAATTTTTTCATTAATTGATTTCATAGAAACTATGAAAAACTTTAAATTAAAATTGTTTGTAGTAGAAATAAATTTAAATTTATTCTTGGAAATATTTAACAAGGCTCTGTAATATAAATATGAATATAAATTGAGAGTGTCAAACAGACAATAAGAGGCAATTCGCGGATGACAGTGCGTTATCCCAACAAAACTAATTTTTTTTTTTTTTTTTTTTCGTTAGAATTTCCGGGAAGAGCAGTCGCCCGGCAATTGAAAGGTCTCGGATTCGATTCCCGATTCAGCGACTTTCGGATTTATATTTTTTTCTCGCATTTATTTCCTTTAGGGGGGAACAGCTAGGGGATGTATGGAATTAAATCTCTTGTAGAGAGATTATTCCAATTTAAATCTTGATCTTTGGGATAACGCACTGTCATCCGCGATTTGGCTCTTATTGCCTGTTTGACACTCTCAATTTATATTTATATTTATTCTTGAAAAGTTTAAAAACAATTAATAAGCTTGACAAATTAATTCTTATTATTAACAGTTTTAAGTCAATTGAATTGACGAATATTTATTAACCTAAATTTTAATTTTTTCAAAAGAATTTAAGTGATAGCTATTGACAATGAAAAAGTTAATTTGACATTTTACAAAAAAGAGAAGCGATAAACTTCGAGAATTTTGAGAGAACATTGATATATCGAACTTATATGCTTTTATTAAAAGTAAATTTTCGATTGTTTTTCTATATATGACTTTTTCATTAATATCTTTATACTAGTAAACATTTTTTATAAGTAGATTATGTAAATACTAAACATATACACTTTTATTCAACATTGCGATAGCTGATAGAATCTACTTAACATCTTTCGTTGACTTCTTCATTATAGTGTGAAGTACCATTATTACCTTCCGATCGATACTGCTTTCGGTTGATTTCATCCTTTAAATTGTTTGGTAATTCTCGATGGCCAAGTACGAATACATTCAATAAATCGACCTTCTTCTTTGATCGTCGAGTCCTCCATGCTCGTAGCATTTCCGCTACGACTTCGCTGTTTAGCAGACAATACAGTAAAGACACGAGAGCACCCTAAGAAAGTAAATAGTGTGAGTGTCTATAAAAATTAAAAAACAAGAAATAAATTTATTCGCATTTGCGATGAATACCTGATAGGACGTAAATAGCTGATCGCAAAAGAATAACCAGATATTTTTGCCTCTGACACCTTGAGAGAAAGATAATACCAAGAAGCAAGTATAGTGTATTCCAAAAAGTAGTATCACAACCATAGTCGCTTTTGCCCATGCTCTGCATTTAAAATAAACAAATATATCCATAGTAACTATACCGCCGAAAAAATATGTTTTTTTATATTAAATATTATATGTGTATGTGTTTACGCATTAATAAATTATTACTGTAATTTTTTTTAGAGAGTAGTAATTAAAAAAGTTAATCAAAATAAATATATTATACTAACTTGTATTTCATCTTTTTCCATTGCAGATGCACTGATGTCTTCAGATTTACAAGCAGAACGAAAGCGAGGAACAACATGAAATTATACTAAAGAAGAGAAATGACATAAGGTAATTTGAAATATTTATACACAATTTAAATCAACATTGCGTAAAATACAATAAACATACCACAATTAATACGATGATTGATATATTTATAACAAGGAATCCTATACGGGTAATTGGCCAAAGGGTAGCCCAACAGAAATTGTTTTTAACATTTGTCTGTACTATGATCCATATTGCTAGTACTAAGACGGGAAGCCCTATTCAACAAAATTAAATTTGAATAACATACAATATAATAGAATTTTAAAGATTTCGTAATCTTGAAAATTTATAAAATATTACAAGAAAACTGATATACTTTAACTTGAAAATTTATCTCACCCCAGCCTAATTTGATATACTGAATTATTTTACTCGTGTCGACATATAGTGTATTGAAAATTAGTTTATATAGATACAACCCCTGTATCGAGATCCAGAAGTAACTTGCCACGTTGAAATATTGCCACAAACTTGTGAAAATCTTAGTGATCACCATCTGACAATATTGATTAATAAATCTTAGAATTATCAGTAATAGAATTTGAGAAAAATAAAGACCCAATTAAAATAATTTAAAGTATCGCTTTTATACCGAGAGAAATATTTCGAAGCAAATTTGTATGATTGATTAATACGATAATAACTAATCTTAGTTTATAAATATATTGAAAACTATTAAATAAAAATTATTTTTTTCTCGACTATATAATTGATTTTTAGAGCGATATTAATAATAAATTATATAATAATAATAATCAGTGTCCTTTACATTGCGTTTGTGGATAACAGCACTGTATTCGTTGGCAAAGATGACGTCCCAAGCCATTCCAAGTTCATCAATAAAAATCCAATCCTTTAAAATGGTCATCAAAGTTTTCATCATAAAAGACACAAATAGGTGCATGTTCAGTTTTCTTCTGGGATTCCTGAGTTTCCTACGAGTTAGTAATTAATAGGTAACGTAAACTTTCAACGAAATTGAAAAGGTAATAATAATATGCGTGTAGTTAAATAAAAAAAAGCCGTACTCACCCAAGCGAGCACAAGACTATCATAGCAATAATAAGAGTAATTAACGAAATGACACATCCAATTTGCGATGCTATCCTAATATGTGGCGACCATTTCTATCAAAAGCATGTAACAGTGATAATAATCTGCGTTGAATAATTAAATAAATTTTATTTTAAATCCATTACTTTTTATTTTACGATTAGAGAAATGAAATAGAAATATTATGTGATATATATTTATGTTAACTTTATAATAATATACATAATACAATTTCAATTCTACCGTTATAATTAATTATATGCATGTGTCAATATATGTTCATTATCATAAAATATATATTAAAATTCGTACTCATTATAAGTTGAAACATCTTTAAATCGTGGAACTAATAAGTAAATAACACAGATCAATAAAGGCATAAAAAAGATAAAAAAACTTACAAGCAGGGACATATCCTCCATTATTTCGTACCATTGCGTACCATTATTCTCAGTACCGTCGATGATGTGACGTAATTCATTCAAATAACACAGATCGAAGTTCGTAGTTTCACAAACGACGTCGTTCAGCAAATATTTCTTGACGGTAATCATAATTGCTTTCAGATTCTCACTCATCAGATCGGTAAATTGCAAAATCGAGACAGGTGGACAGGGCAGGCTCGGAATTCCTGACACATCGGTTTGCGACGAGCAGAGTAGATTCTCATAGATCGGTGGACATCGATGAATATTCATTCCTTTGCCATTTTTGATGCATTCTGCATGTGCATTTCGGCAAAATTATAGTTATTTTTCCAACGATTCTTATTGATGATACTTATCGAGATAAGCCGATTCCGGCAGCTTCCGACATTATACATAATATATAGGTATATATAAAATATTGATACACTTATTTTATAAATATTCTCTTGTTGATGTTTATAATTATTATTTTATTAATCACAGAAAAACGCCACAATCGAATGAACTATTTATATAAAATTAAATATATAATTTATATATTATTAATTATTTGTTATTTCTTTGTAATTAAATTTTAATTTCTTATCTGTAAGATTTAATGAAATTTTTTAAACTTTTAAGGTATTGACATATTTTTAGCTGTTAAACATGTATATGAAACTATATTTTATTAAGCAATTTAAACAATATAGAGAATATCTTCTACCTTCTTCAAGAAGCTGCTTGCATCTGTGATCGGCGAAGATATCCTTTTTAGCATAGTTCATTCTAACGATTCTAACCCTAAAGAAGCGAAAAATTGACGTATTATTTGGACGTGTCTCTTTGATTTTGATAAAATTCTTTTTTGTCATTCTATTCTTATCATAATACAGAAAACTAGAGTAATCTATTTATCGTTATTCCAAAAATATACATTGAATCAGCACTATATTATTATTTAAATTAAAAAATTAATCTGTGTAGTAATGATATAATTAACAACACGCAATGCTATAACCAATTAGAAGATGAATAAGTACAATATTTAATACAATATCGTAAACAACAAATTCTTTAAAACGTATCAAATCTTTTTTATTTCATTTTATTAAATTTTATTTACTCATTACAAAGATTTTATATAAAATAATATTATATGAATTACTAAATAGACTTACGATAAGTCATAAAAACAATTCTTGGGAAAATTTGTATAGATAATTTTGAATTATAATTATGTATAATCTTAATAAATAATAATATCATTCTTTAAACTATTAATTTTTTATCATTATAGTTTATGCAATATATATCTAACTTTTTCTTGTTTACAATTTTATTTCATTTTTATCGGAATAATTTTTTTGTTACTCACAATCACAGGTACGCTTTCTTCAGGATGTGCATTCACGTGTGCACAAGATCGCGAATCTTTTGCGACTGTGACAAGAGAAACTACGCTGTAAAAATCGATTGCGTTATACATATAGATACGTATAACACATACACATCAATTTTCCATCTTTTCTGAGTTTACTTTTTGTAATGACACGTGTGTAAACGAACTTGAGTAAGTGCATAGAGAGCGAGTCAATTGTTTACTAAATAAGTGATTGTAAACATAAGTGAAAAATTTTAAATGTTTGCGATTATATTATAAAACTTACAAGTTTAGCATTTAACTATGTTTTATTTGAAATGTTTACACGGTGGATACAAATTTTTCAAAACATATACCAATTTCCTCCAAACTGGCTCGTCTGTTTATTGAATCTGGATCGCGATTAGATCGATCTTGATTGTTAAACTCATTCGCGGCAATGAGATTGCTTCTGGCAATATCTCGAGCTCCTTAGCTTCGACGAGATGGTAGGAAGAAACAACGGCAACATCCCTGTCGAATAAAAACCAGTAAAGTTTAATTCAGGAATTAAAGTGTAAAATTATTTGAAATTATAATCATCTTTCACTTCCTAGCATTTATTATTTATTTTTACATTAATAATAAAATCAACATAATAATTTAAAATTTGATTTTAATTAATTAAATAGTACATACAATTTAACAAAACATATATCAATTTACGTTCCATATAATTATAAAAATATAAAATGTTGTGAAAGACGAAAAATATGTACTTATGATAATTTAAAAATAAACTGAAGTAAACGCAGCTATATAATATATGGAACGATGGCAGCACAAACAAGAGAAACACAATGAACCTTATAATCAATATTATACTGAAAGAGGAGGAACTTACCAAGGGAACATATTATTTAATCTTACCTTTATAAGATTAAACTTTCAAAGTTATGAACTATAACTCACAAGATAATAAACGTTCACATCAGCGAGAATTTATACAAATATTTTAATAATAATTTAAAAAGTAATCTATATAATCTTGTCTGTCAAAAATTATAAATATAGACACTTTTTAATTTCTTTCTGTAATACATAGTGGCTTTGTGAATACATATTTTAATATAATACATAAAACATTTTGGCAATAAATTAATGTGTTTTCTTAATATAAAAATACAGTTCTTTTGTTTATATGGCACGGCTTTTTCGTCATTTGCTCGATACATTTATCATTTATGCAATTTTTTAGCAATAAAGTAGTGATATGAAACGCTGTATAAGCAATTCATATTCATGAGTTTCTCCTCGAAACGCGATCGTGACAAATATCGAAACATGGTTCACTACAATTATTTTAATTAACGGTTAATTAATTTTTAATGATACAAAATTCAATCATAATAATAGTTCTTTATTCAAATATTTATTTCATACGTCATACGGTATTAAATAATTTTTTCATTAATAGTTTTTATAGAAATCATGAAAAATTTTAAATTAAAATTATTTGTAGTAGAAATAAATTTAAAAATATTCTTGGAAAGCTTAAAAACAATTAATAAGCTTGACAAATTAAGTCTTATTATTAACAGTTTTAAGCAAATTGAAGTCACAAATATTTATCAAAATAAATTTCAATTTTCTCAAGAGAATTTATGTGATAGCTAATGAAAAAGTTAATTTGACATTTTACAAAGAAGAGAAGCGATAAACTTCGAGAATTTTGAGAGAACATTGATATATCGATTATATGCTTTTATTAAGAGTGGATTTGCGATTGTCTATATATATGACTTTTTCATTAATATTTTTATACAAGTAAAATCTTTTTATAAGTAGATTATGTAAATACATTTTATTCAACATTGAGATAGCTGATCTTTAACATTTTTCGTTGACATTTTCTTCATGACAGTAATTGCGAAATAGTACCAGTATTATCATCTTCCGATCGATACTGTTTTCGGTTGATTGCATCTTTCAAACTTTTTGGTAATTCTCGATGGCCAAGTACGAATACATTCAATAAATCGACCTTCTTCTTTGATCGTCGAGTCCTTCATGCTCGTCGCATTTCCTCTATGACTTCGCTGTTTAGCAGACAATACAGTAAAACCACGAGAGCACCCTAGGAAAGTAAATAGTGTGAGTGTCCGTACAAATTAAAAAACAAGAAATAAATTCTTTCGCATTTGCGATGAATACCTGATAGGACGTAAATAGCTGATCGCAAAAGAACCAGACGAGTTCGACTCTGTAATCTTGAGAGAAAAATAATCCCACATATAAAATATAGTGTGTTCCAAAGAGTAGTATCAGAACCATAGTCGCTTTTGCCCATGCTCTGCATTAAAAATAAACAAATATGTCTATAGCTATTATATTGAAGAAATGTATTTTTTTTTATTAAATATTATATGTATATGTGTTTACGCATAAATAAATTATTATTGTAAGAATTTTTATAACGTGGTAATTAAAAAAGTTAATCAAAATAAATATATCATACTAACTTGTATTTCATTTTTTTCCAATGCAGATACGCTGATGTCTTCAGATTTACAAACAGAACGATAGTGAGGAACAACAGGAAATTGTACTAAAGGAGAAAAATGACATAAGGTAATTTTGAATATTTATACAATATAAATCGGCGTCGCGTAAAATACAATCAACATACCAAAATCGATATGATGATTGGTATATTTATGATAAGGAATAGTAAAGGGCTGTTATTCGTGGACCAACAGAAAGTGTTTTCAATAGTTGTCTGTATTATGATCTTTAGCACTAATACCAAGATGGGAAGACCTATTCAACAAAATTAAATTTGAATAAGATACGGTATAATAAAATTTTGAAGATTACATAATCTTAAAAATCTATCTCACCCCATCCTAATATGATATACCGAGTTATTTTACTCGGGTCGACGTATAGCGTTTTGAAAATTAGTCTATATAGATACAACCCCTCCATCAAGATCCATGAGTAATTTGTCACATTGAAATATTGCCACAAACTCGTGAGAGCCTTACAGATCCACATCTGATAGCATTAATTAACAAAAGTTAGAATTATTAGTAATGGAGTTTGAAGAAAATGAAGTCGCAATTTAAATAATTTAAAGTATCTTTTTTATACAGAAAGAAATATTTCGATGCAAAGTATATGATTGATTGATATTATAATTAATTTTAATTCATAAAACCTTGAAAACTACTAAATAATAAAAACACGCAATTTATTAATATAGAAAAATATAGAATTGATTTTCAGAGAGATATTAATAATAAATTATATAATTATCGGGATAATAATAATCAGTGTCGTTTACACTGCGTTATAGAAAAATAAATTATATAATCGGGAAAAAATAATAATTGATCATGTTATTATTTTTTCCCCTATTATATAATTGATTTTTAAAGAGATATTAATAATAAATTATATAATTGTCAGGATAATAATAATTAGCGTCGTTTACACTGCGTTCGTTGATAACAGCACTATATCCGTTGATAAAGATGACGTCCCAAGCTATACCAAATTCATCAATAAAAATCCAATCCTTCAAAAATGTCATAAAAATTTTTATCGTAAAGGATACAAATAGGTGCATGTGTAGTTTATTTCTGGGATTCTTGAGTTTCCTACGTAAACAAGTTAACAATGAATAGGTAATGTGAATTTTCAACGAAATTGAAAAAGGGATAATAATATGCGTTTAGTTAAATAAAAAACTGCACTCACTTAAGCAAGGAAAAGACTGCCATAGCGACAATTAGAGTAATTAACGAAATAACGCATCCAATTTGCGATGCTATTTTAATAATTGGCAACCATTTCTATCAAAAACATATAACAATCATAATAATTTACGTTGAATAATTAAATAAATTTTATTTTAAATCCATTACGTTTTATTTTACAATTAAAGAAATGAAATAGAAATATTATATAATATATACTTGTGTTCATAATAATATAATGCAATTTTAATTTTACCGTCATAATTAATCATATACATAATAATGTATGTATATATCATAAAATATTATAAAATATATTGTAAATATCATAAAATATATTGAAATTCGTATTCGTTAATTCGAAATGTCTTTAAATCGAGGAACTAATAAGTAAATAACACAGATCAATAAAGACATAAAAAAGATAGAAAAGCTTACAAACAGGGTCCAATTCTCCGGTATTTCGTACAATCGCGTGTTATTCTCAGTACTGTTAATCATGTGACGTGTTGTATTCAACACACACAGACCGTAGTTGCTCCAGAAGACGTCGTCCGAGTCTAAACTCCATTCATTGCGCGGCAGACAGATCTTGCTGGCAACCACAAATGCTCTCAGATTCTCACTTATCAGATCTGTGTATCCCATAATCGAGGCAGGTGGACAGGGCAAAGTCGCTGTTTCTGGTGCATCGGTTTCCGACCAGCAGAGTAGACCGTCAAAGATCGGTGGACATTGATGAATATCCGTACCTTCGCCCTTTTTGATGTATGCTATATATGCATTTCGGCAAAATTATGATTATTTTTATAATGATTCTTATCGATAATATTTGTCGAGATAAACCGATTCCGGTAGCTTTGAACATCATAAAATATTGATAGTTATGAATATTTTATAAATATTTTTTTGCGTTGATGATAATAATGATTGTTTAATTAATCACAGAAAGACGCCACGATCGAATAAACTATTTATATATATATATATATATATATATATATATATATATATATATAATGTATATACAATTGTTTATATATAATTTATATATAATTATTTGTGTGTTATTTCTTTGTAATTAAATTTTCTTTTTCATCTGTAAGATTTAATGAAATTTTTTAAACTTTTAAAATATTGACAAATTTTGAGCTGATAGACATGTACAGGCAAGTATATTTTATTAAGCAATTTAAAGAATAAAGAATAGTTCCTACCTTCCGTTAGAAGCTGCTCGCATTTGGATTTCTGATCGAATAAGAAACGTTCCACTTCAGCATCGCTCATTCTAACGCTAAAAAAGCAAAGAAATCTATGTATTTAGATATATTTCTTTGATTTTGACAAAATTCTTTTTCGCCATTCATTCTATTTATGATACAGAAAACTATAGTAATCTATTCATCGTAATTGCAAAAATATGATACATTGTATTAGCGCTATATTATTATTTAAATTTAAAAATTACGCATCGTAGTAATAATATAATTAACAACACGCGATGCTATAACCAATTAAAAGAAGAATAAGTATAATATTTAATACAATATTGTAAACAATTCTTCAAAACATATAAAATCTTTTACATTTTATTATTATTTTCATTCTTGCATCTTTTTTGTAATATGAAAAATTGTATTCGGTCATTACAAAGGTTTTATATAAAATAATATTTTTACATGAATTATTAAATGGACTAACAATAAATCATAAAAACAATTTTTGAAAAAGTTCTATAGGTAATTTTGAATTATATAATTATGTGTAATCTTAATAAATAATAATATTATTCTTTACTTTTTTTGCACTATTTTGACAATAATCTATTAATCTTTTTATCATTATAATTTATGCAATCTATATCTCACTTTATCTCGTTTGCAATTTTATTTTATTTTTATCAGAATAATTTTTTTGCTACTTACAATGACAGTTTTGACAGGTACGCTTTTTTCAGGATGTATATTTACGTGTGCACGCAATCACGAATCTTTTGCAACTATGGCAAGAGAAACTACGCTGTAAAAATCGATTGCATTATACATATATAGGTTGTAATTTGTATAACACGTGCACGTATATTTTCTTCCTGTAACCTCGCCCTTGGTCCTGAAATTGTAGACTCCCTTGTCTTCTCGTTTTTTTAGCACCCCTGACGAGCACCCCGAGAATTTGTCCAATGGACAATCGACAGATATCCCGAAAATCCCTCCCTGATACTTGATGCCACTTTACTATTCCATCGCATTTCGCAATTCAGTGATAGTATTTTACAAGTTCCTGGATACATGAACCGTTTTATTGATCATTCGTCGTTCTGACGTTAAAATGTTAGTTCTTCGGGGAAATTTTTTGAGAATATTCCTTTCAAAGTAAGAAATACGAAATAATATAGGTGGCAAAATTGATTTTGTTATAAGCACTAGCACTTTGTTGCGTAACTTACAACCTTAATTTTAGAAACATTTTATCTGATGAATTCTGAATTTGTATTAATTTGCTTGATTGATCGATTAGCATATTACATTTTGTTAAAGAAAAGCTGCTCTTAAATTTTGTCACATAATTTATCATTAAATTTATTGTATAATATCAAGTTCATTATTAATTTTATTATTTTGTAGTATATTTATAGATTTATATTTTGTGACATTTTTTATTCATTAATGCAATTTTCAAGCATTAAAATACATCTCAATTATCGGTAATATGATTGGTAATAAATAATATATTTAATACAGATAAATATCATCACTAATTTATAGTTATATTTCTTTATTATTCAGTATTTAGAAAGTTTATATTATTACAGCAGCATATAAATAAATAATAATTAAATTGTTTGCAATGGTGAGATTCTGGAGAATTGCAAGAGCTGCGGAAAATGCAGGGTGCAAAATGACTTATTCCAAAAATATTGAGTTCGGTAAGCGATAATTGGATAGCTAAATACATGTATTTGTCAATCATACATTCGTAACGTATGTAAAAATTGGCTTCATATCAAAGAATAAGCTTTGTTTTTTTGGATGCGATAATATTTTGATACTGCGAATACATATAAACGTAACAAATTTAATTTTTTCCATATATTCTTATTTCGTAGAATCTCGCAAAAAGATTTTGCAGAAATCCATTTAATTACAGACACTTCGTATTGTGTTCATATCTCTAATAATAGCTGAATAATAACATTTTTAATTTGCGTGACTAAAAGCCACTAACGCAACTTTTTTGTTGCGTCAGTGATCAACTCGAGATATCGTCAGACGTCGAAATACAGATTAATTGAGAAGGCACGACTATATTATTCAAAATATGGAAACGTGGAGAAACGTATTTAAATTTTTTAATTGTAAATATAATTTAGTATACAATTATATGAGATTATAATATATTATTATATATGTCATCTTACACAGTGCCTTTTACCATGGATACAAATAAATAAATACTTGTTTTTACAATTTCTTATCTTAGTATATTGCATATATATATTATATAGCATCATTTATACCTGCATTATTTTTTAATGAAAATTATTGAATTGTACTTCTGAAATTTGTATTAGTATTATATTATCAGTTTATTATATTAACAATAATTACTATCATAATTAAACTTGATCTCGAACAAAACTGTTGTTTGATTTCTGAGTCGACACAATTACTTTTACTTGTAAGTTTCTATTGTATTAAAATCACAAATCTGTTTATAAATACTAAATTTATATAGCATATATATATATATATATATATATATATATCATTTCGTTTAATCTAATCGAATATAATTACGCACGCAAAGCAAAGTTATATTATTCTTTGATAATAAAATCTCAATAATTGCAACGCATGCATGCAAAAATTATTATTGCGATTAATGCATAAAAATATATTAATTATGCAACGCATAAAAATTTAATATTTAAATCTTTAACAGAAAATACGAACAAAGAAATAAAATTTTCTACAAGAATCTTTGTGATCAAATATCTACGCTTTAATTAAACTCGGGCGAGACTCTATACCCCATACATCTATCATGCTGCGCGGTTCGCGCGAAACTGATTCTCGTGCGAGATATCGCAAACGCGGGCCCGATGGTCACATGACCACTGGTCATGTGACCAGTGCTAGTCATGTGACCAGTGGTCACGTGGCCATCGGTCCCGCGCTCGCGATACCCCACACGAGAATCAGTCTCGTGCGAGCCGCGCACCGTAATGGATGTGTGGGGTGTACTAATCTGATCACGTGATCAGTTTTGCGCGAGCTGAGCAACGTAACGGATGCATACAGACGCATGAATCTAATAGAAGCGCAGATATTTTGATTGTAAGATTCTTGTAAAAATTTTATGTTTTGTTTTTTGTTAAAAATTTATATATTGAATTTTTATGAATCGCGAAATTAATAAATATATTTCTATTCATGCATTGCAATAATAATTATATACATGTATTGCAATTTTATATATATAGATAAAACTATAAACAAAATGAGAAAAAAAAATATATATATATATAAAAAGATAAAATAGTTCTCAAACAATACAATAGAAATTTGGTAAATTAAAATTATGTACATAATAGAAATTCGATAAATTAAAATTATGTACATAATAGAAATTCGGCGAATTAAAATTATGATTGCAAAGATTAACAATTTGACAGTTGTAAAATAAATAATCAAAGGCGCATGCGAAGCGCGCTTGTGTAGTCTATAGTATTTAAAAATTCGTGAATTAAACAATTATTATTTATTTTTTCACTAATAATAAAATAGCATTAACACAATAATTTAAAATTCGATTTTAATTAATTAAATAGTACATACAATTTAACAAAGCATATTTCAATTTACGTTCCACATAATTAAAAAAATATAAAAGGTAGTGAAGAATAAAAAATACGTATTTATGATAATTTAAAAATAGACTGAAATAAACAAAACTATATAATATGGAATGATGGCAGCACAAACAAGAGAAACACAATGAACCTTAAAATCGATATTATACTGAAAGAGAAGGAATTTACCAAGAGGAACTTACCAAGGAAACATATTATAGTCTTACCTTCATAAGATTAAACTTTTAAAATTATGACTTAATAAAAAAAACTATTTAAACTCATAAGATAATAAACATTCACGTCAGCGAGAATTTATACAAATATTTTAATAATAACTTGAAAAATAATCTATATGATCTTGTGTGTCACATCAAAAATTATAAATATAGACACTTAAATTAATATGCTTTTTTTAAGAGTATGTTTTCAATTGTTATATGACTTTTTTATTAATATCTATATACTTGTAAATATTTTTTATAAGTAGATTATGTAAATTTTACATAAAATTTTATTCAGCCTCAAGATAGTTGATTGAATCTACTTGACATTTTTTGTTGATAATTTTTTCATGACTGTAATCGTGAAATTGGTACCATTATCACCTTCCGATCGATGTTGTTTTCGATTGATTCCATCCTTCAAACTTCTTGATAATTCTCGATGCCCAGATATGAATGAGTCGACCTCCTTCTTTGATCGTCGAGCCCTCCATGCTCGTCGCATTTCTGCTCTGACTTCGCCGTTTAGCAGACAATACAGTAAAGCCACGAAAGTACCCTACAAAAGTAAATAATTTGAGTGTCTGTACAAATTAAAAAAAAAGGAAGAAATTCTCTTGCATTTGCAATAAATACCTGAAAAGACGCAAATAGCTGGTCGCAAAACAGCCAGATGAGTTCGACTCGGTAATCTTGATGGTAAGATAATCCCAAGAAGAAAGTATAGTGTATTCCAAAGAGTGGTACAAGAACCATAGTCGATTTTGCCCATCGCCTGCGTTAAAAATAAACAAATATATCTATAGCAACTATACCAAAGAATTATTATATTTTTTAAATTAAATTTTATGCGTGTAAGTTAATTAAACAAGTCGATCAAAATACATATATATCTCATATACTAACTTGTATTTCATCTTTTTCCGTTGCAGATGCACTGACGTCTTCAGCTTTACGAGCAGAACACGAACGATATTGAGGAACAACAGAAAATTGAACTAAAGGAGGAAAACGACATAAGGTAATTTTGAATATTTTATCTAGCTCAAGCATGGTGTAAAATACAATCGACATACCAAAATAGATATAATGATTGGTATTCTTATGACAAGAAATAGTAAAGGGTTTTCATGCGTGGTCCAGCAGAGAGTGTCTTCGATAATTGCGCGTATTATGACCCATGGTACTACCACCAAGACGGGAAGACCTATTTAATAAAATTAAATTTGAATAAGATACGATGTAATAGAATTCTAAACATTTCGTAATCTTGACAATCTATCTTACCCCAGCCTAATAGGATATACAGAGCTATTGTGCTGGTGTCGGTACATAGCGCTTTGAAAACTAAATTATGTAGATACAACCCCTCCATCAAGATCCATGAGTAATTTGCCACGATGAAATATTGCCACAGACTCGTGATAGCCTTACAGATCCACATCTGACAATATTGATTAATAAAAATTAGAATTGCCAGCAACAGAGTTTAAAAAAAATAAAGACGCAATAATTTAAATAATTTAAAGTATCACTTTTATATACAGAGAGAAATATTTCGAATTTGCAAATTCGTATGATTGATTGATGTGATAATTAATCTTAGTTTATAAAAGCATTGAAGACTATACTAAATAAAAACACGTAAATTGTTAAAATAAAAAAATAATTATATAATCAAGAAAAAATAATAATTGATCGTGTTATTATTTTTCGCCCTATTATATAATTGATTTTTAGAGAGATATTAATAATAAATTATATAATTGTCAGGATAATAATAATCAGTGTCCTTTACGCTGCGTTCGTTGATAAAAGCACTATTTCCGTTGACGAAGACTACATTCCAAGCCATTCCGATTCCATCAATAAAAATCCAATCCTTTAGAAGTGCCATGAAAGCTCTCATGATAAAGGACACAAATAGGTGCATGTGCAGTTTATTTCTGGGATTCCTGAGTTTTCTGCGTAAACGAGTGAACAATGAATAGGTAACGTGAACTTTCAACGAAATTAAAAAGGGGATGATAATATGCGTTTACTTAGGTAAGAATGCCGCACTTACCTAAGTAAGGAGAAGACTATCATGGCGACGATTAGAGTAATAAACGAAGTACCATATCCAATTTGCGATACTGTCTTGATAATCGGCAACCATTTCTGTCAGAAGCATATAATAATGATAATAATATAATCGGAATTAATTAAATAAATTTTATTTTAAATCCATTACGTGTTATTTTACGATTAAAGAAATGAAATAGTAATGCAATTTTAATTATGCCGTTATAATTAATCACATATGTATTTGTAAAATATATTTTTTATACATAGAGGATACGAAAATATAAAGAATGTACATCTTTATAAATTATAAAAATCTCTCTCCTCCAATTTTAAAGTCGACCAGACTGGCAATAATTTATTTAAAAAATTAGTTAAATTACAACGTTTCGGCTGTCATTGCAGCCCTTTTCAAGTAATCTATGAAAACAATTATATACATATAAATATACTCTTAATGCGCTTAATCATAGAAATAATTATAAATTTACAAAAATATATATATGTTTACGTACCAGATTAATACAATAAATCAAATTTACAGCAAACCCCCGACAAAATAACCATTGTTTTGATGAACAATGTATAACTGACAGAAGTGAGCACGAAAAAATAGATGTTGACTGTTAGCAGAAAAACTTAGTCACTAACGCGTTGAGAAAATAGAAAACCAGAGTACTGTGTCTTTCGCAATTTTTAAAACGTCAATACAAAGTCAAATAAAATAAATAAATAAATAAATAAATATGTAACATATGACATATAATATATTAAATAGCTTCAAGAACGCGATCATAAATCCCACTGAAATTCTCCGTATCTTTTTGTAAATTAATGCTCTTTTTTGGTTTTTATATAGAACATTTCTGCTATTTCTCTTTTTCTTGTTTATTTCTTGTTTATTGATAAAAAGAGGAAAAGATAGTATGACAACTTAAAAAGAACCGATGTCGTTTATAAGATCGAATGCGCGAACTGTGACTCTACATATATTGGACAAACAAAGCGACATTAGAAACACGTATTAAGGAACATAAAAATAACATCAAAAAAGACAGGACATCACACTCAGTTGTTAGTTTGCATCGGACTTGCAACGATCATGAGTTCCGTTGGGATTCTCCTGTGATTCTGCATCAAGAAAAACAAACAAGAAAAAGAGAAATAGCAGAAATGTTCTATATAAAAAACCAAAGAAAGAGCATTAATTTACAAAAAGATACGGAGAATTTCAGTGGGATTTATGATCGCGTTCTTGAAGCTATTTAATATATTATATTGTCATATGTTACATATTTATTTATTTATTTATTTATTTATTTGACTTTGTATTGACGTTTTAAAAATTGCGAAAGACACAGTACTCTGGTTTTCTATTTTCTCAACGCGTTAGTGACTAAGTTTTCTGCTAACAGTCAACATCTATTTTTTCGTGCTCACTTCTGTCAGTTATACATTGTTCATCAAAACAATGGTTAATTTTGTCGGGGGTTTGCTGTAAATTTGATTTATTGTATTAATCTGGTACGTAAACATATATATATTTTTGTAAATTTATAATTATTTCTATGATTAAGCGCATTAAGAGTATATTTATATGTATATAATTGTTCATAGATTACTTGAAAAGGGCTGCAATGACAGCCGAAACGTTGTAATTTAACTAATTTTTAAATAAATTATTGCCAGTCTGGTCGACTTTAAAATTGGAGGAGAGATTTTTATATTTATTACTGGCGACTCTAAGGATTATCATTTATTTATAAATTATATTCGTTCATTATGATTATAATTATTATTAAATAGATATACACAATTATTAAAATTGCAGGTACTATATACATATCTAATAAATTATGAAATTATCATTGATATATATGTATATTCTATAAATATCATAAAATACATCAAAATTTATATTCATTAATTCGAAAATTCTTTCAATCGTGGAACTAATGAATAATTAATGCAGGTCAATAAGGACAAAAAACTTACATTCAGGAGCGAATACTCCGCCGTTTCGTACCACCGCGGATTAACACCATTGATCATGTAACGCGTTCTATTCAGCACACACAGACTGTAGTTGCTCCAGAAGATGCCCTCCGAGTTCTGGTACCATTCGCCGTTCGGCAGACAGACCTTGCTGGCGACCGCAAACGCTCTCAAATGTTCACTCGCCAGGTCGGTGTATCCCATAATCGAGGCAGGTGGGCAGGGCAGGTTTGCTGTTCCTGGTGCATTGGTTTGCGACCAGCAGAGCAGACCGTCAAAGGTCGCCGGACATCGACGAAGATCCGTTCCGTTGCCCTCGTTGACGGTAATATTCATTTCGGTAAAATTGTGATTCTTTTTCCATCGATTTTTATCGACGAGACTGGATAAGCCGATTCCGGCAGCTTCCGACATCAATGAAATATTTTAATATATTTTTTATTTATATATTTTATAAATATAATATTTTATAAATATTCTCGAATTGATGGTAATGATCGTTTAATTAATCGCACATAAATATCACGAGAATGAACTAATTATGCATAATTAATTTATTTCGTACTCTCTAAATTTCTTGTAATCCAAAAGAGTGAGATTTCATTCTTTTAGAATGAGATTCCACTCTAAGAAATTTAGATAGCATGTCTTTATAATTAAATTTTCTTTTTGTCTACGAGATTTAATGAAATTAAAAAAGAAATTTTTTAAAATTTTTTATTAGGTAATTTAAAAGTATATAAAGAATATCAGGTCTACCTTCCTTGAAAGCTCCTCGCATTTGGATTTCTGATCGACTAAGAAACGCTCTACTTCAACAGCGCCCATTCTAACGCTAAAGAAACACATGAATAAATCTTTGTATTATTGAGACGTGTCTCTTTGATTTTGACAAAAGTCTTTTTCGCCATTCATTCCATTCATGATACGGAATTATATAAAATAACATGATTATAAATCACTAAATAGATTAACAATAAATCATAAAAATAGTTCTTGAGAAGAATTCTATGAATCTTAACATTTTAATTTTCGAAAATTTTCCTAAATCTCGCATTTCTTATTGATAACAAATTTTGAATTAATTTTAAAAATAATGTTTGTACAACGAAGTATCCACCCTTTAAAATAGGATATAGAATAAAATAGTGGCTATCATTTTGAAAAAAAGATTTCACTGGTCGATGGTATGTAATTTAAATAGTTTTTATAATTTTATAATTTATTTGACATTATTGCATCTTTTGTATCTTTAAATTTGTATGATTTTAGTCTCTGAAGATGGCCCGAAGTGGGACCGAAACGTCAGATAATTAAATTTATATTCAACTTATGATTTATTTGTTATTTTAATTTATTATCCTCTTTAATTTTATATTGCGTGCACGATCTCTACGCATGGTTCTTATTGGCCTTTTAATTGTTTTATATTTTTAATACATAGAACCTTTATATATTTATTTCTAATATTTTAATAATATTACTTTATAAAATTACGATAAATAACAAATAGTAAAATTATTTTTTGTATATTCTTATATATAAAGTGTTTCTTTTATCACATCATACTATCTGTTTGTATATCTCTCTAAATAATAAAACTATTCTTCACTTTTTTTGCGCTATCTCTGGACAATAAACTATAAATCTCTTTATCACTGTAATTTGTGGAATTTATATCTCACTTGATCTCGTCTGCAATTTATTTAATTTTATCGGAATAATTTGCTACTCACGATGACAGTTTTGTCAGATACGCTTTCTTCAGGATGTATACCCACGTGTGTACACGATCGCGGATCTTCTGTAACTTTGGCAAGAGAAACGACGCCGTAAAAATCGAGCGGCTGCGCGTTATACATTACATATGCACGTGTATTTTCCACTCCCTCCGAACTTCTTCTTGTAATGACGCATATGGAAACGTACTTAAGTAAGTATATGGTACATATAAGACGAATCAATCGTTTGCCAAGTAGTCTGATTGCATAAGTGAAATATTTGGAATTTTTAATTATTGTATTCAATACTTAACTTAATGCTCTATTTAAAATGCTTTTGCACTAAATTATATTTTAAGTAAGTTTAAAAATTATATAAATAATAAATGTCTGATTTATATATAATTTTGTAAATAAAATGTTATATACTTATAATATGTCATAAGATTTAAGTAAATATACATTTATCTAAATAAATACATTTTTCTATAATTAATACACGGTCAAAATTAGTGGTAAAGTTCTGCAAAAATTATATTTTTTGGTAAATTGGTTGCAAGATACAAAAATTTATATATGATATCAAAACTTATTTAAATTGAAAAAAGACTATTATATATCTAATATATTAAAAGATATTAATCGAATTTTTATCGCATTATTAAATATTTTTTATTATTACAAGTTTTATTGTATTAATTATATAGAAACCATTAAATATGCTTTATTTTAAAATTTTTATAATGTAAGGAATTTTTACAAAATTTTAACTTTTAGTATATTTTTCATCATATTGTTCTATTTTTATTTCTTTTATGCTGCATATCTTCATTCGATTTTTTCGCTTATCATGAATACCTATCATGCGATAAGTAATGTATTTATGAGAATACAAACAAATCACTTACTTGGTAAATATAATCCATCAATAACTAATTTCTGAAAGACCTCTCTTCGATCGATCGTCGTCAATATTGGCTCAATAGCCAAAGGTTGATGGTTTTTCTAATCATATTACTTGATTTTATCTTCACTTCCGCATAAACTATATAAAGTAGAATAAATCACGAGAATAACCATCAACACAGAATATAACAATGTAATTTTCAAAGATCTGCTTATTCGATCAATATTAATTATTTTCAATTAATAAAACAGCAAATTTACTAATATTAATTTTGATTAATTTACAGATAAAAATACTAAAAAATACTACACCCTCACAATTTTGGTTAAAAAAAATATTACACTAGACACAAGATTGATGACAATATAAAACACTGCGTATCAGACGATGCGTCTGTAATTTATGATAAACCATTCTGTGCATTTAGATTTTTGTTTTTAGGTACTTGTTCATAAAATTTATATTGTATATATTTTTAAAAAATGTATAAATATTAAAAAATTTTTTTTCAGTTCTTAGAATTTTTTCACGACATTTTACATGTATATTATTATTATATATGTATTATATATTCTTTATTATTCTTCATGACAAGCTTTCAATCTAACGTCTACTATAATGTATATGTTTAACAAGGAAACAAGATAATGGGAATTTATGGGGAATAAAGCGAATAGCGTGTGATGTATTCAAAATTCATTTTATGTTAAACCCGTGTAGGAGACACGTCATAACAGAGTATATCTTTCTGGGATCAGTTCGGAGAACTGCGACACACACGCACACTCACACACACACACACACACACACACACACACACATACATACACACACATACACATGTATACGCACACAAAACTGTGTCTTATTTACATGCATTCATCGTTGCGGACCGAAGAGAGTCGCATAACATAAGTATACGTACCGTAAATATCACCGTTCTAATCGCCATAAACTTCTTGTTGTTTACAAGTATCGTGGAACATTTTGTGTTATGCATCGTAGCATACAATTTCTATCGAACTCTGTTTCATTCACTGCGATTAGGACGAACATGACGACATAAGAAATAACCGGAGGAGAGTAATTCGTGCGCTTATATCTATATAACTACGATTTTAAAGATCCCTTCAATATTTATGTCATACATCTTACATTATGACGTCATAAAGATATTTCGAATAAAATAATAAAATTCTAAATAATGATATAATATATAATAAATATCTCTTTATATTTTATATATTAAATATATATATTTATTATTATTAGTATTATACATTATATATTATATATTATTATTATATAATATTATATGAAATATGATATGAATTATATAATAAAATATATAATAAGTAGTATAATTAAAAGTGTATCTATATATACAAATATATTAATATATATATTAAATAAACATAGCAAATGCCATAAAATTATTCGAAAAACTACATATTATTTAATAAAAAACGCGTATCATATACGTTTAATAATTATTAATAATTATTTATGTATATAGTTTTTTGTATATGGCATCATAATCGAGGATGATTAACATAAATATTCGCAAACGCACAAACGAATTAACTCCTCTTACAGCCATCGATATCAGTAAGTACAGATATCTCATCGTCTTTCCTAGATTTGCATTACAATATTATTTCACACCCCCATCGCCTTTGTCTACTTATTCTAAATATCTATCTATCAATTTATCTAATTATCTAATTATTCGTCTATCTACATGTTTATCTAAATAATATACGTTGCTCCCTACGTTGTTACAAAGTATTTACAAATTTTTTCACGGCTCACTCGTATTTCCTTAATTCGTAGGCCGTATTGTACTACAGGGAGCAAAGGGGGCGAAATCCATGTGTGGTTGTTTATCTGCCATAATCATTCGCAATCGTTTAAATCGTGTTGAAATTATTACAATTTCGGACGAGCTTCCTTGCGTAAGTTCTATCAGTCGAATTTTCATCGTGATTAAACACGTACATATATTGTATTATAAACGCGGGCATCAAAAGTCACAATATAGTAAGATTTCAATTATTTAAAAATGCAGATCATTAAAAATAAAAGAAGAACATAATATAAGCATAATTCTTTTGAACTTTTTTTAAAGTTATCCACCTAAGAAATGAAAGCAATGTTTGAAAAAAAATTAAAATTTCAATTTACGACAATAGTCCTGTGTTGTGTTTTATAAAATAATAAAATGCTGTAAAGTTAGAGAATGCAATAAATTTGACGTAACTGATCTAGAATCTTACGTAAATAGCTTCATCTCTAGATTAGATATCATGCTTGAAAAAAAACATATCTTTCGTCCTCCGCGCACGTACATAAAAATCATTTGATAATTATATCGTACTCTGCCCTGAGCATTTTTACGTTGAGAGATAAGTAGAAAATTCGTGATTAACGTCGCCGACAGATCGGCGAATCTTACTGATATCAAGCGTTCTCGTTATCTTTAATACAGATCACACATAAACACACATACATGCATACACATATACACACGCACATGCACATACGCATACACATTTTCTTTATTTCTCTTTCTCTCTTTCATCCATATCATAGTGTCAGCACGACGATGGTGCTTTTTTCGTTTTATTTGTTACTTATACTTTCAATATAATATAATCTCGATCGTTAGAAAGCTAAATTACACAATATAAAATTTCTCTCGCAGCGTCAAGGCTACCATGTAATTGTAATAGCCTTCGCCATTCTTAGATTCGAGAAATAACGCGATAATAAGCTTCTTACGCGCTGATAACGCATATGAGGCAACGATTTTATTCTATCCGATATCATTTGTCGGTTCAAAGACTCTAATTGATCAACGAAACGGTGCTTTGTCATTTCTCGATATTAGAACACAGCACAATTATCTCAATTTGTTTCTATTACGCATTATCGTGCGATATAATATGATTAAATGATTAATACTTTATGTTAGTTTCATCGAATCGACAAATAAAAGTAAAATACAATATTAAGAAACAATTATCGTGCTGTCGAATCTTAAAAAGTTCAAGTGTAAACAATTTTCTTATTTTAATATAACAAAAAATAAAATAAAAAATAGCACTCTATATTTTTTCTCAACGTAAAATTTAAAAAAAGTAACGAAATATTGTTTATATAAAGAAATTAAAAGATCTGCAATATTTATCTTCATTGCACAATTCGATCTTCGACCATAATAATCAATAATCGCGAAAGCATTTCATCCAAACAACTTTTACCTTATTTCTTGACTACGATTCGACTTCTTAAGTAGACGCTTATAAAACTAAGCTCGCTGAAGCACTTTACAAAAGAAGTTCAATAGTCCTATGTTATGAAATCACGTTTTCAAAAGTCAATACATGTTGATTAAAACTCGCAACTTATTTGTTGTTGCTTGCATAATCTCAATTTCAGCGTGTCTGCACATATTGTACACGTAGAGAGAGCATAAATGATAGTTTCTCGAACCATTATTATTCGCTATATCGATATTGTTTGTTGAACGCTAGGCAAACATTTTTTCGGCATTTGCCGTGAATGATAAAAATCACCATCGGATGATTTATCGAGCAGGAACGATTGTCAAGTTAGTCGGTGCGGCCGACCTTATCGAGAAATCCCGTGAATTACGAATACGCGATGTAAATGCGCGTCGGACGAAATTGATTTCGACAAGGCTTGCGGTCGCCGTTTCTTATCATGTCCCGTTTTCATACGATTATTATCAGCGCTACAAGTACAGCACTCGTGGGACGACTGATCGATAGTTCGCGAATCTCTAACGATCAGAGGTCAGAGACATTTGCCGGGATTCTGGGAACACCAGTACGGCCACATGGATTCCGTCTTGATGCCTCTGCTATTCAGAACTTCGATGTGCGTCGCCAATCTGGTGTAAACGTTCTCGTCCGTGGAGTAACTGTTTGTCGGCAAGTCACTCCTGAAAAAGATTTTCCTCGTAAAAATATTCCTTTCAAAAATATTACATTTATTTTATTATATATATTATTTATGAAATTTAATTATATATATTATTATAATTAATATAATATTAAATATAATATTAAATTAAATAAAATAAATATAATATTTAATATAATATTAAATTAAATATAATAAAATTATATAATATTTTATAATATTATAATTATTATATTTAATTATATATACATATATATATTATTATTTATATACCATAATCGTTCAGCGAACGCTGACGCCCTGGGCCATAGTCGAGGTCCCAGGGATGATTGTCCGGTTTGCTCGTTCCAAATCGCTGCCTCCCCGCCGAGCACCAGAGGCAGTTGCTGGGGCGGATAGTCTCTCCAGGGTCGGTGATTGTAGACCGTTTGCCAGGTACGATATTCGCCGCATGCGGCCTCGCCGCTCTCTCGCCACCTGCCGAAGCCGCAATCCAGATACCAAGCGTCCACGTGCGACAGGATTACGCGGAAGCCGTCCTCCAGTAGGTCCGGCGTTTCCGGCCAGTTGCTGCCGCCCCAGGATTGAATGACGTGGATCTTCGGATCGAAGTACATCATGATGTACGGCCTCTTGGTCAACGGCGAGCTCCAGAGGATCACCGCCTTCGGCACCTTATTGCGATTCGCCCGGATCAGTCGCTGCAGCATTTTCGTCTCGAATTCCGCCCAAAGAGCGTGATGATCCGTCATGTTTTGCGCCTGCATCGCCAGAGTGATATTGCCGTATTGCGCCCAACATTCGAGATTCACCTCGTCGCCACCGAGGTGCACTACGTCGCGAATCTCTGTGAGGTCCAATAGCTCCCGGTACAGACCCTCGAGGATCCGATACGAGTGCTCGTTTATAGGATTCAACTGGCCGCAGTTCGGCTCACCACAATATGACGACCACGGCTGCTGGTCCACGCATAACGCCAACTCGCCGAAACCATGTTCCGCACCTGTCATCGTACATATAAAAAATATTAATCCGTTTCTCACAATATTAACATTATACCCTCTTAGCTTGAAAAAATTATATATATTTTCTCTCAAGTACTTATATAATGTCATCGACTTTTAATTATCAGTAGTAGCGATTTTGAATCTAATTTTTCATTAATATTTTTTTCAAGTTACCCCACTGCCATCCTGCGCCGGCATGAGCCGGGGAATCGATCTCGACGACGATTCTGACGCCGCGCACCTTCGCGTAATCGGCCAGATCCTTCACGTCGTCGGGGGTGTAAATGTGATCACCGCTGTAAGCGCCCCATCTCGCCATCTCCGGGAATTGGGCCGAGTCGAAGGGAAAGCTTTGCGAATCGGTAAGATGCCAGTGAAAAGTATTGAGCTTCGTAGCCGCCATGCCGTCGATCACCCTCTTCAGCTCCTCGACGGGGAAGAATTGTCTGCCGGTGTCGACCAGGAGGCCGCGATAAGGGAACGCGGGTTTGTCCTCGACGGAGGCTCGCGTGAGAACGCGAAGAGCACCCTGCTTGCCAGCGGCCTCGTCCCACCAGAACAATTGGCTGAGGGTCTCGAGGCCATGTCGCACCCCGAAATAACTTTTTCCCGTGATCCTGGCCTCCAAGATCTTCCCTTTTGACACGAGCTCCAGCTTGTACGACTCATCGGTGTCCAGAGACAGAGTGGTGCCTCGCGCGTTGCCGGCGCTCAGGTATATGATGAATGAGTCGATGCCGGATCGACTTTTGGCGTTCAACACTTTGAGCAGACTTCTGATGTTTCCTGTCAGTAAATAAAGGTGTATAGGAAAAAGCAACGGTGTCAATTTACTTGCGCAATATGTTATTTAACTTTCACCAAACAAGAAACTATGTAAATAATCAAGAAGATGACGGCGCAGATGTGTAATTTGTTTACAATTTTTTAAATAAATAATATGAGTGTAATATTTAATTTATGCGTGAGATTTTATACGCAAAGAGCATGATTTTATGGAGAAAATCTTCTCTTAGAATTTACCTTGAAAATCATGATAATCAATTGGTATTGTAAGGATTTTATAAGAATTTATTTGATTAATATTTAAAGCAGAATAAGAAATATTAATGTGTACATAGTAAAATTAATTGAACTTATTTTATATCTTATTGTGGTAGATATTAATATTTTTGATTGTGGTCAAAATATTAATTAGATATAGTTAATCAGAGAAACTTATAAAATTCTTCCAATATCATATTGTCCCATCATTACCATGATTTTCAAGATAAATTGTAAGAGAAACTTCTCTCTGTATAAATAATCAGGAATATGTAAAAAAAATACAAGAAGATGTGTATTTCATTTACAATTTTTTAAATAAATAATACGAGTGTGATATTTAATTTATAAGTAAGATTTAATATGCAAAAAGTATGATTTCACGCAGAATGTATTTTAATACGTGAAATCTGTAACAAAATTAAAAAAAACTTTCCCAAATTATTATTATTTAACTTAATAAAGAGAAACCATTGCAAAGTGTCTCTAATGCTAAATGTTCCAAGACGTTCGCGCTTCTCTTCTCGACACTCACCGATGAAAACATCCTTTGCATGCTCCAGCAGGTCCTTCGTTTCCTGGTCACTCGTATTAACAGTGACGAATTCAATTTGCTGAAGATGCAGAATGACACTGTCATCGCCGAAAACGACACTCTCAGTCGGCCTGGGCCACAACAGGCGAGTGTTTCCTCCGCAATGCGCAGTGCAGGTTGCCAAAGACGTCCTCGAGGATCTTACAGCTCGCCTCTCGCATCGATTTGCCACACAGGCCCAGGACCAGGGGCTTTGAAACGTCCTGCGATCGTGAAAATCGAGTTCGTAAGTCGATCCATTTTTCTTCGCAATATTTTACGAGTAGATACGATGTACCTTGGTAATCTGTGTGAAAAAATCTCGATTCTCTTTACATTAAAAAAAATCAATTAATTAACTCTATTAAAAAAAATCAATTAATTAATTCTATTTAAAAAAATCAATTAATTCACCCTATTAAAAAAATCAATTAATTTCTCTTTAAGACGAAATAATTTGTTCTTGGAAATTTAAATTACCTTTTCTCTGAATTTTGTTCATCTATCTGTTCCTCATATCACGGATTACTAAGTACTGAAGTTATAATTTTTTTTTTTAGATTAGATTACCTTAAGTTTTTGCGAAAATATTTGTTTCGTAGTCGATGCAGGAAAAGTTAAAAATGATAGATATGTTCACAAAGAGAAACAACATGCAGTAAACAATGTTATTTCCAAGCTCTATTGTGTAAAGTTATAATGTTAGTTTATCGCCACAACCGTTCGTTTATCGCTTTTTATAGAGAGCATTTATACATAATTAATTATTGCCCACGCACATAGAGTTGATTATTTTTCATATTTGATTATTAAACCATTACCTTATAATGAACAGAGGTAATAACAATAATGCATATTTCAATAATTAAACGCAAAAAATGAAAAAAATCTAAATGACAAAATTAAGATTAAAGTCCATACAGTATTATAAATAACTTAAATAAGAAATTACGAATAGTTAAAATAATTTTTCTAAACTATTTCATCAATATGCATAACATACATCTGTTTTTATTTTAATGATGAAAAGAAAAATATTTTTAAAGTAATTATCTAAATACTTAATAATAAACTGAAATCTACATTTTATTATTAAATTTTGTGTGTTGTTAAAAATATTAATTAAATGATTTCATAAATTGAAAATGGAAAGAAAACGAATCTTTACAATATTTTCTCACTTTGACAAAAAGAATCAAATCCATCTTCCACGACTCATTCTCTATTCTTGATCAAACAGATATTGCAGCAGAGAAATGAGAAAAGCTGCTCATTACAAGACGAATAAAAGTACAAAAAACCATCGTCGGATTTATCCGAATTAGACGCTTTTGAAAAGCGAGAAAGAAAGAGGAAAATGACTTTTGCTGAAAACGCAAGAAAATAGTTGGCTAATCATAAACGGAAAAATGTCTGCCCAAAATTACGGCAAAAATAATTTTCGGATTTAATAACGCTTCGAACTAATTATACAGAATTATAAAATGATATCTTGCGCTGGAAGTTGACGCGATTGTGCTATAAATAAAATTTAGAAGAGAAAAAGAATTTCTTCTGACTTTTGCTCGAAATATCTTCCTAATCTTTCGTGATTTTTCCATACTAGTCAAGCATTGTGTCTTTGCGAAAGCAAAAGCGAGTCGTTTACAGAATTACGGCTGGGAAAGTCGGGTTCGCGAAGCAGGTCGGGAACAGATGCAACAATATGATGAACAATATAATCCGCGAAATACGGGAAACAATGGTGCTCAACAATAGTACGCTTAGTATGACAGACGTGTTCGGGCAAGTAGATTAAACGAATGAGTGTCAGAATGAGAGTGCCACGAGAAGAAGCGAGAAGTACAAGACTGTAGGGTATATATACACGAGTTCCCACGCGAAAATTCAGGACATTCGGGAATTTGTTCACGAAGAGGTCGACGTGTTGTAGGTCGCGCCCGGGTAGCGTCTTAATTGGGAAAACGATGTCTGATTGGTATCAAATAACACGTGACTGGTTTCGAAAAAAGAAAAAAGATCTAACAAGATATACTTAAATAAGTTTACCTTTTTACAAATATATCTAGATAAATAACATATTTTGATATTTGCGCAAAAAATTATATATTTCAAAACTTACAAAAAAAAAATACCTACATACGACAAACGGAATGATATTATAAAGATTTTATATCTTGCAAAACTTGAAAAATTAAAATTTTTTTTATAAAATATAAATATTATTTATATTTTTATTTTAATAAAAAGAAAAATATTTAATAGAAATATAAATATTAATTTTTTATAAAACTTCCAGATTTATATAGCCCTTCTTTTCTAAATAATTATTATTTTTCCTTTTTATTTTTAGTGACAATTTAAAATCAAATGCATGAATAATGCACTCTGTTATTCGACCAATTTTAACTTGGTAAAAATAGAGTTCAACCTGAAATATTTGTTTTTCCAAACCAGACACATATAAACAGACCAATCGAGGCGAAAGCGGAGATGAATTCGAGCTTAAGGCATCAGAAATACCCGGTACAGTTCGTCTAGCTTAAAATTCCATCCCCAATCAGGAACTGTCCGTTACCTAGGCTCTTCCAGATACTCGTAAAGCCGTTCCTCGGGTCCGATCGTGGTTTCATTACCCACCAGGTAATTAATCAAGCCGCGTTGCAAGTCCTCTAATCTTCTTCGATGCGCGCGTTGTGATGCGAGAGAGAGTACGAAATAAATTCAAAATAAAAAAACATGCAATGTAAGAAAATAATCAAAAGGCACTGGGTTGATACAAATCGCGGCAAATCTGGCCACGCGTTAGTAGAAATTATAGAAAACACAAAAATTAAATTAAAAAGAAAAAAGACACGCATACATGGATTTCTAAATCAAAAACATTTCTAATTTTTTTCTCAATTAAATTTTGATACTTTTCTTAAATAAAAATCTAATGTATATGTCTAAATAAGAAAGTGATATCCAAAAGAAAAAACCACTTGCTCTTCTAAATATACACAGAGAGAATTTTTCATTATATTTTTCCGCAAAATTCACTACAAAATCATGTCTGATAATAAGCCAAAAATTATCATGCTGCATGTTAAAATTATCATGAACGATTAAGCAGGATTAAAAATATGTACTCTACTTCATTGTAAAATTTATATGAAATATTTTATATATTTATCATTTTTTTTACATCTATTCTATTTAAAACCCTTAAAGAATCATAATAAAAATTTTGTAATATATTTTAAAATTATTGAAATTTTACTATATACTTTATACGGAAAAAATTAGCTATCATAACTAAATTTTAGCTGACTCTATATTACAACCTAAAATTTAATTATCATGCCCAAATTTTAGCTAACTAAAGTAAGATAACTAATATTTTTAGCTATATAATTTAACGAAGAATTCTATAGCTAAAAAATATTAATTATCACAGCTAAAAAAAATGTAGCTATACAGTAGTTAATTTACCCGTGTAATAAAATTAATGAAATATATTTAATATCTTGTGGTAGATACTGATATTTTTCACCGTGGCAAATATTAATCGGAGAAACTCTTAACTTGAGAATAAATTCTAAAAGAATATTCTCTCTGTGTAAATAAATACGCCACCGATAGTTTGTTTTATATATAATTGCTCGTGCTCGCGATAAAAAAACAACAATTATATATACTATTTTTATCCGTCTAACCGGTTTTAGGAGGAAATAAATAAAGTAAATTGTCGGCAATTATCTATCGGAAATTACTCACCGACGAGTTGCGAACGGTTGGAGCGATGCGAGCGGCGGAGCATGTGCGTACATGGCGATCAGCAGGACTCCGGTCATCAGGACGAGAAAGAGGAGGACTCTCCTCATCCATCCGCTGGGCATGCTACCCACCATCCTGGCGAGTCTGTAAATAAACGAAACAAGAAAAATTGCGGATGCTGGAATTGGCGGATCGAACCATCGTGCTTGTAATTCAGCTAAATGTTTCTCACTAAAAATCGAGGACGCGATAATGATCTTTTTTCCTAATTGTGTTTCCGTTTTTTCTATTTATTGTTTTCTCACAAACAGAATTTTTCATTATATTTTGCCGTAAAATTCATATATCAATACAAATTTTATCATGTTTGGTAATAAGCAGAAATTAATGAAAATGTTATACTGTATTGTAAAATTTATATAAATTATTTTATATGCTTAGGTATCACTTTTTTAATATCTGTTCTAAGTATTTAAAACACTTAAACAATCATAACTTTTTAATATATTTTATTTCGATAAAAATATTTAATCAGAGAAACTCTTATAAAATTCTGATAATACCATAATGATTACCATAAATTTCAGGATAAATTCTAAGAGAAAATTCTCTCTATGTAGATTAGTCAGACAGTATTCGCAGATAAAAATGCAAAGTCCTTTCGCGTTTATTTTCACCTCTGATTAGCATCACGTTTAGCCGATTTATTTCAAATATTTTTCATATAATTTAAATCGCCTTGACACGTGAGAAAGATAATTATGTATATATATATACTATTATATGAATTACTATTTTCTACTTTCTTTTCATTTCTATCCAACGCTAAATGTAGCTCGTCATCTAATGATCGTTAATTAAAATATACGTGAATCGTAGATTTTGTACTTTAATATTTTATTTATTTAATTAATTTCTTTTTTCATTTTATCGCGACACAGATGGCTCGTATTTACTAGCAAACGCGCAACAAGAATATAGATGCGCGTTTCTAGTGCAGAATCCAGATGGTGACACGCGAGAGATAAGACCGTGATTTACGTGAAAAGCGTGTCTGAATAAAGACACGGCACGGTGTACCTCGAGAGATTAGAGCCCAGGCATCTCGAAAGGAAATGTTTCCCGCGCATTTCCGGCGATTCTTCTAGACACGCGGGAGAAACGCGTTGTTCTTTTTCATCGAGCCGACAGACACAGCGAGAAAAACGACGGCGAAAGTGTTTCAGACGTAAATGCATGAACGTAAAAGCGTTTGCTTTCCCGCTTTATGATCCCGCAAGAAATTTATGGACCCTTGCCAGGCATCACCTTTTCGATATTATGTTACATTTCCGTCGGAAACCCAAGCAGATTTTCATCCCTCGTGATGTGAGACGCAGCCGAGATGTTGCAATTCAATTTATAGAATGTAAATACGTTGAGGAAATTTGCGTAGACGCAATAATTCGCGGTGTAATTTCTCGAACTGTTTCATAAACCCGTGATTAATAAAAATTTCAAGGTCCCTAAAAAAAATTCATGTAAATTAAATGTCTAATGTAGGAAAATAAAAAAGATCATACATAATATCAAATAATAAATAAAGAGTATATATAAATTTAATAAATTCATAATCTTTCATTGCTATATTTTTATAACATATTTTTATAATATTTACAATATTATAAAAATAATATTTCACAATATATTTTTCTAACATATTTTTATAATATATATTTTTTATTACTGAAACTTGAAAAGAAAAACATGGCGATTGTTACGAAAAGACCATCCTGTATATTATTCTCTATTAAAAAGATGCGATCTTTTTTTTTTTTTTTAAATAACGTTTTCAATTATCTACATTTCTGAGATGGTCGAGTGTTTATTTTGATCTCGCTCTCGTCGCGTCGTAAAGAGGAGCAGCGTCCTCGAGTGTTGCTACTTATCGCGGTAAGTGATGGTGTGTCTAAGGGCCACCTGTCGAATTGCACAGAAATACACTTTGGACGAGCCAAGCTCTAAGCTTAGCTCAGTTCAGCTCTCTCGAAATGTGTAACGCGAGTTAGACTTAGGTACTGCGTTCTGATTACTGCATAACTGACACTTGGCACCTCCGGCTCCTGTCCCCGGGGATAGGCAATTTAGGTTTTTATACCCGTCACCCGAAATGAGTCACAATGCTTCCACAACATGCTAATTTATTCCGTCGTAATCATAAGTTTACCGTTGAGCATGGCAAGTAGTTGTAAGAGAAGCAGCGACGCTGGCTTTAACAATTTTCGTGCGCTGTTATATTTTTCATTCCGCGTGCATACTTGACGTGTTTTGCATTTAGGCAGCTCTAATGACATTCATGCACGAAGCCAAGACGGCCGAGCAAATTAGAACAGCACAAAACCCGAAAAAATCGATTGCTAGTAACGCAGACTGATCGATATCAAACGACCACTTTGGACCAAAAGGTTGTTTCAGCAAATGTGATATGCGACAAAAAAAAGAATGATCATAGAGAGTTCTGTACATATGCCACACATTGTTAACATGTAAACACTTGCCGCTAATTTTCTCTATTATGAATAATTAAGCATTGAACGAGATAAATATCTACAAGATGTAAGATAATAAATTTTGTAAAAATTATTATTAAGAATTTTGTAAGAGTTATTATTAAATATATTAATATTTTTATACAAACATATTAAATGTAAAAATCTTTCCTCAATGGTAAAAGTCGACCAAACTGGCAATCATTTATTATAAATAATTAGTTAAAATACAACGTTTCGACTGTCATTGCAGCCCTTTTCAAGTAAATCTATAAAAAGTTACATAAAAATAATTATAATTTTAATACATTTCATCACAACAAATAATTATAAATTTATATACAAAAATATGTTACATACCAAATGTAAATGTATAATAAATTTATACAGTAAATCAAATTCACTGCATACCACCGACAATATTCACCATTGTTTTAAGCAAATTTCAAGTCGCATTAATAAATAATTAAGCATTGAACAACATAAACATCTACAAGATAATAACCGGAATTTTGTAAGAATTATTATTATAGATATATTAATATATTCTTGCAAACATATTAAATATATTTAAGAAATATATATTAGAAATACATTTTTTTTATTAAAAAAAGATAATAAAAATTGCACTTAGTATGTGTGTGTGATTATTTTAATAATAAAATAATACCCAATTATTTCAATAGAATGAAATAATGTAAATGATATTTAACTTTACTACACATTTCGATAAAGTATAATAAACTTAAAAATTAGATTTAAAAAAAATATAAGAAGAATATTTTTTACTCTTAAAATTCATTATAGATTTCTCCTCGCATATTATAGATTTCACTTTCTAAAAACAGACATAATCGACGATGTGAGAAACTAAACGGAGCAAATGTACACTGTCTATACCACTGTCTACACCACATAGATCAACTTCCACGCATGAAACACGACACATCAATTTTCACATGGAGACTCCAATTCGACAGAGAGAAAGAGAGAGAGACACCGTTTGAATTTTCGCACGACACTCGCTCAGATGAAATATACTATACCGTCGTGATACCTATGTGACGACATCGGCGGAGAGACTGACGAGCCGAGCGGCGCTGCACCAAAAACCACGTTGGCCGAAATTCACTCTCGCGCGAGAGGGTGGTTTAACATTACCGCGCCGGTACAAAGGGTGGTATAAAACCTACCTTCTCTCTCTCTCTGTCTCTCTATCGAACAACGAAGGGGTGGAAGAGGGACCAAGGTGAAAGAAAGAGGGTGAGTCGGGAGAGGGTGGTCGAGAGAGAGTGTGACGCAACCCCGACGACGGCGTCGAGGAAGGTGGGAGCGATGTCGGTCGTACCTCGAGCACACGTGAACTATACCTAAATGCCGTGCCTGGCCGCGAGTCGCGTGGCGTAGCCAAGCAACGAGCATGCCATGACCGTCGACGCCGATAGTCTCCGATGGAACCGTACTAAGGACGGACCGGACGCACCAGGACCTACCCGAACAGGGTCTCGACTCCCGGTGCGCGACGTCGTGCCGTCGTGGTCGTCGTGCTGATTCAACTTGGAGCGAATGGACACCGGCCAGGATCGCCGTCATCGATCGCCAGGAGAGACCGTATCGCAGGTGTTCGCTGAGCGACCGATCGACCGGGCTCTTTCGTGCACTCAGGGAAAGGTCAGTTTCGCTCGGCTAATTCGAGCCTGTCATCAGAACAGGTATATTGAGTGAATTTCAACAGAGAATTTTTTTTCTTGAATTTACGGGAAAATTATGGTAATCGTGGATTTCTTTTTATTTGCCACAATAAGGATATTAATATCTACGGAATAAAATATATGAAATATAAAAATTAGAAACATTAAGTGCCCAACGCTCTGACTGCTTCTTTTCGCTCGGCTAATTCGAGCCTGTCATCAGACAACAGGTATTGAGTGAATTTCAACAGAGAGAGAATTTTTTTCTTTGAATTTACGGGAAAATTATGGTAATCGTGGATTTCTTTTTAGTTGCCGCGATAAAAATTATTAATGTCTACTAGAATAAAATATATAAAATATGAAAATTAGAAACATTAAGCGATTCTGGCTGCTTTTTATTTTATTGTGTGAGTTATTACAACGTTTCAACCATACCGATTGTGATCCTTTTCAAGTAATTATAGAGAATAAATTAATTGCATATGAAACACTGGAAAAACAACAATGTTTTGACATATTATTTAACATTGGAACTTTAATTTAAATGTTAATAATAGTTACCTAGAAATCAAACTTATATTTCTTGAGTTATTCATTTTCAAAACTTTCTTTCTTCAAGGTATGTCGTTCGTCTTCAACACTACATGTTAACTAAATAACCAAATCATAACTAATTTAAATCAGCAAAAGGACAACAAGAAAGTCAGAGACTGTAACCGAATAAAACAAAAATAGATAAAACTATAGTCTAAGTAAACTGTCATAAACTGTATTCAAATATTCGATGTCGCAGTTAATCGCATTGTCCGTTAAACAAAAAATATGTCCGATTAATTTTATTATGTAAATGCATAGCAAAATTTACTATGTATATATTTAATATTTTTTATTCTGATAAATATTAATCAAACAAATTCTTATAAAATTCTTCCAATATCATATTGTCCTACGATTATCATGATTTTCAGGGTGAAATTGAACGCAGAGAGAATTGTTTTTCTTAAAATTTATCCTGAAAATTATGGTAATCGTTCTTTGATTAATATTTATCACGATAAAAAATATTAATATCTACCACAATAAGATAGAAAATAAAATATGTTCAATTAAGTTTATTATGTAGATACATAATAAAAAAATATTTAATATTTTTTATTGTGATATATAAATATTAATCAAAAAAGTTCTTCCAATATATTATTCCACGATTATCATGATTTTCAAGGTAAATTCTAAGAAAATTTTTTCCATGAAGGGTTTTTGCAATGTGTTTACAGATGGATTATCTTGTGAAAAATGTAGAAATTCGAAGAAATTAGTTTTAAAGCTGAAGAGTATTTAAAAATCGAAGACGAGTTAATCAAGTTTCTTTTTTTACATAATTAAAAAAAAACTAATTTTAAATTCTTCAGAAAATTAGATCAATTTTATCAGAAAAGAAAAAAATAAATTAGAAACATTTAACATTGCATTCTTCAATTAACAAAATGCCTTATTAATTTTATTGGCAAGTAACTAAACTAAGAAACAATATATATTTTGTTAACTTTACTTTAGGATTATTTACTAGATAAATTAATCATTTTATTCTGTCATCTCGATAATATTTTCTCTGTATACGAGTTAAAAAATGCGTTCGTTAAAACAAAAATTAAGAAATATAAAATATTAAAGAGATTTGATAAAGGGACATTTCATGAGGCGATTAGATGATAAAACTACAGAATATTAAGGTAATTTCAGGCGACTTTCACTACTACCTTAAACACCCTACGTAAAGATCATTTGGTTAAAGCACCGCTATTAATATTCAGGAGGAAAAGGGAACCCTAAATCATCACTCGCCTAATTTAATTACATGCTTTAATTGAACGTGTAAATAATGAACTTACTTCGTCTTAATCTACAAGCTCATAGGATTATCGATAGCGCCAATTGATTCATTATCGGGACACGAAAGATACTTCCTATTTCTCTCATTAAAGGAAAATGTCACTCTAGCGCCCGAAAAACAGCCTAATTTTGACAATTTTTTGAAAATATATAGTGAATGGAATAAGTACAAGATCTGTTTAAAAGTTGTATGTAACTTTGAAATATATTCACAAATTTTTTATCCATTTTTTTTACAAAATGGCGGCGCCAGAATTCAACAAAGATAGGCTCTTCTCACGGATAGTAGATTTCTTCTGTAATTTTGGACCTAAAATAAAGACCAAACATTTTTAGTTTTATATAAGATTAACTTAAGAGGTACGGATTTGAAATTTCGTCGAAAACAATTTTTCACGTATAATTTTTACCTAAAAATCCAACTTTTTGTTCAAACGTGCATTATTTTTACAAAAACGATATTTTTTAATTTCCGTACGTACTTTCTAAGTTCTAAGCCGGAGAACATTATCCGTAAAAAGAAGCTTTCTTTGCAGAATGAAATTCTAGGGATGCCATTTTAAAAAAAATTGAAAAAAAATTGTGAATACACTTCAAAGTATGTACAATAAGAGTCTTTAACAGATTTTCCATTCAGTATATATTTTCCAAAAATTGTCAATATTAGGCTGTTTTTTCGCTAAAGTGGCATTACTCCTTAATCATAAAATAATCGAAATTTTCGCCAAGTATACTCTTCAAAAAGTTTGCGTACTTTATCCTCCCTGTCACATCGACAACAAATATAAATATATATATATATATATATATATATATATATATATCGTGAAATATTTATACAGCCACTAGGCGAACGTGACATCGCATAGGGATGGTCGTCAGCACCTGTATGCGCAAACGTCACATACATCTCCGCGTTCTCTTCGGAGGATCTTAAATTATTCTTCGTGCTCCTCAGAGAAGCAACGTGTAATACCGGTATACGGTTGACGACGTCACTCTCTCGTCCCATCGCAATCGTTGGATTATAAAATGATATGCTGGCGCACGTCGTCTTTGTAGCAAGTCATCTTGCCAAGAAGTCGTCTCGCCATGGCATTAAATCTCATGACATTCGTGATGATCATGACAAGCTGTTAGACGGTATTAATTCTCACTATCGCGCGCGTGCTAGGAAATTCATCCAAGAGCCGTTATAAGTACTATCGAATCCTTAGAAATGTGGGTATACTTATTTACGACCCGCGATGTCGTAACAGCATATGCGAAAGTATAATTAGCACGATATTTCATACGTCGGATGCTTTAATTACTGAAAAACATCCTTCTAGCAATAACGATGGCAGACTGATTGCGAATTATCTTCGGCGATCGGAAGATATCATTCGTTTCGATCATATTTACAAATTGAGAATTGTAATTATATATATTTAAAAAACAGAGACGAGTTAATTAAATTTTTCTTTTTAATAATTGGAAGAAAATTAGATCAACTTTTAAAAACTCTAAAGAGATAAGATAAATTTAACATTGCATTCTTCAATAAAATTAAAAAAACGTCTTGTTTATTTTATTGGCAAGTAAATGAACTAAGAAACATATTTATTTTGTTAACTTTACTTTAAATTTATTTACTAAATAAATTATCAATTTCAATCTGTCATCTCGATAATATTTTCTCTGTACAAGTTGAAACAAAATTCGTTCGTTATAAGACAAAGATTAAGAAATATAAGATAAAATATTAGATTATTTTTTTTGATAGAGCAATCAATAATGTGGCTAAAACAAACATAAAACAATGGTTTAGCTATTTTTTGATCATTTTAATAAAAAATATATGTATATAAATTTAATGTTACAAAATAAGACATAAACATATAGGAAGATATGAGATACGAAATTAAAAACAAATTAAACGACAAAAGAATAAAATTAAACAAAAAAAGATCAAACATAAATATCATTAATTTAATATTGATCCTCAGATCATTATTTTAATGAATATATATGTTTATTAAATTAATTTCCACTAAACTAATTAGGTACTAAAAATTTAAGATAGTAATCATATGACATAAAAGACATAAGTCACTCTATATAAAATCAATTAAGCACTTTCATTAGTTTAATCGAAAGTCTTGCAGCAGTGACATACTAGGTCATTTAAACAAGCGTATAATATTTTCTTGGCTCGTTTTTACTGTTATTATAAGCTATTATGAATTATAGTTCAAATTAAAAACTGTAATATTTTTTCGAGGCTAGTAATTCCATAAAAAAAGTCAAAAATTATTAACAATATTAAATTCCCATATTTGCGACTCAAACGACTTTACATCTTATTTTTTGCATTTTTACTTTTCGCAAAAATAAGAGCGATCAATAATATTTTGTCATATATATAGACGAAAAAGCTGGAAAATGATTAAGATTTGCTTTAAATGAAAATTCAATAATACACATGAGATATTTTATCCTTTATCAAATCTTAAAAAGCGAATAAGCTCAGAGTTGTTCAGTGATTCAGCGATTATATTTAGTCAATAATTATTTTCCATTCAACATGTTATCGACTCACAAGTTTTTCGATCACATTGCAACACACAGCGACGACTGTTTATCCGACAATAAAATCCTTAATCGCTATAATCGTTATTTATAGCTCTTTTCGATCACCCCGAATTTTTACGAGAGCATTATCTTGGGAAAGATTAACTTCGCTCGAGTCGCGAATCGTGAGCGTCGAACTGAAGCGAGGCGTTCGATACAAAACGGAAAAAAGGCCGACGTGGTTTTGCGTGACCGAGGGCAAACCCACCCACAACCACAGCATCAGCGAAGGCGCCCACGTATAGTTCTATATATATAGAACACTATATATACTATAGACTATATATATACGACGTACACATATGTCACGTGCCGTCCTTTAATCGATACACGCACGCAATCACGTAGTACGTTTGATGTCCAAGTTTATTTAAAAGTGCGATTGCATTTGCATCGTCTTTTTTTGCTCGCGAAAATTTCATTTTTGCCTAACTAAGAGAGACACAGTAGGAAAATTTGTGTTTTCTTGTT